TTCTATATTTTTGTTAAAAAAAAACAGTAATTCTAAACTTGGGCACAGATAATTTATTTATGAATTAGTCAAGTAAAATATACCAATACACCTCGTAGATTTAATTATTTTAATTATTAATTATTCAAGCAGTAATTTGACATAAATATGTATATTTTGTATTATAGACCTCCAAAAAAAATGTGTCTGAATAATAATAATAATAATACAAAAAAAAACAAAAGTTTGATATTTTGAACTATATTTCTTGAGGATAAGAATCTTTTGAAATGAATAGATAGATAAAAGAAATATCAACTATTTGGTATATATTTGTTTAAAGATTAATAAGCAAATAAAAGCAAAAGCAAGGTCGAGGTAAGTTGATCACAGGAAACAAATTTATTCCGTATTCAGATTAAAATTAACATTGTACAAACATAGGAAAAGCTTGTCAAATCTTGTCAAACTCAATTCAACTTAAAATCTTGTATATTGATACTGATACTGATATTGATATTGATATTGATATGAAGTATCTTTTACATTTACATTCTTTAACAACCCCCCCCCCCCCCACCTAGACCCCCTGTAAATCACACCATTCCACATTGTATGATTTTTTTTATCTAACATTAATATCTCTAAAAAGTTAACAAACAAATACATAGGTACAGAAATAGATAGATAAATAAATAAGCAAGCAAGCAAGCTAAGAACTAAGAACTAAGGACAAATTGTTGACAGTCAAGAATATTATTGAAGTTTAAAAGTATAAAGAAGAAGAAGAATAAGAAGAAAGGTGATCAAATTAATATTTCATGCAAAGGTCGATATACATTCTATCCTTAAAGAAAGGACGAGGGGTCAATTGGGGGTTGAACAGGTTTCAGGACTCTCGGCCCATATCCACACCCTCACCCTCACCCTCACTCATACACACAGATATATACATATATTTATGTGCGTATATGTACGTGTGGGTGTATACAATAACTCAAAAGAAAGAAACAAAAGAATCTGATCAAGTTCATGACCTTATCTCTGCACAGGCCATTCGCCACGTCCACCGAAATATTGACTTGGGGATTTCGGGGCTATATACATACATACACATACAAATATGTATAGCATTATTAGTTGTATTTATACACACCTATACAGCGCTGCCATAGATATTATTGACAATAGTAGTAATACATTTAATTTTCAAGGATAAATTTCATTTTATCTGCAGAACCAAAATGATTATATAACATAAAGAATGATTCTTATTTTTTATTCTTATTCTTATTCTTATTCTTATTCTTATTCTTATTATACACACACACATTTATAGAAGTATATAATTGAAAAAGGTAGCTTAGAATAGTCTTTAATTGAATGTTCTTTGCTATCCTTAGAATAAGGCCTTCTCTTTGTCTTTTTTTTTTTTAAAAAAAAAGACAATGTATGTGGGATGGTTTATAGTTGGGTAATAAAATTAACGTGGTGTTAATAGACATTCTCGAGAAATGCATTAATTTGGAAATTCAAATACAGCTTTACATGCTTAAAGCCATTGTTGAGCATAATGTTTACTGTGTTTAAAATACCAAGCATTATATATGCTTATAAAAAAGGAACAATCGTGTAACCATCTATTTTGAAACATTGAAACATAATACCTGTATTATCATTATTGTAACTGTGACTTGTCGTCTATCGTTTTCTTAATCAGCCATTAATTATCCAGATGATATGCTTTACTTTGTTGAATGATATATATATATATTAGTACTACTGCTGCACATATATCAATAGTAAATTTCCTTGATTGTAATTGCAATTGTAATGAATCAACCAGAACATGATGATGCTGAAATAGATGAAGGAAGAGATGCACTAGTAAAGTAAGCCAAGAAAAAGAAAAAGAAAAAGAAAATTGCCTTATGATTACAATTGTTGACATTTATGTTCAGTAATGTCATCCAGCTTCAGTCTCAATTACGTGGTGAGTTTGGTTATATTAATAGTTTAATAAATAATAATTCATTGTCTTTGTTTTTTTTTGTTATTGTTGGGTTGTAATACAGGACTGATCGCAAGAGTAGACTCGGCCAAGAATGAACATCATTCTCTATTGACCGAGAATCAAATGTTACAAAAGTATATCAACAATTCCTTGACCTCGACAGCTGTATTTGGTGCGACTGGTGGGGCTGTCAATCCAGCCATGGCACAAAGCAAATCTGGGCCAGAACCACCTCGTTAAAGAAAATAATAATAATAATAATAATAATACTACTACTACTATAATTTTTGGTTTTGTAATAATTACAATACTCCTTATAAGCTAAGCGTCATTGAGGAATAGCATTGGATCATTCATGTATGTGACGGGCCTTCTATTGTTCTCAGCCATAAAAGGGGCTGATTGCAAGAGAGATAGAGATAGAGATAGAGATGGGGGTACGAAAGAAAGGGGTGTATTTACAGTGTACTTCTATTGTATGTATAGATATATAGTGTGCGTGTTTGTGTATTTTTTGGGGGGAAAAAAAAAGAGGAAAAGAGGGAGAAAATAAAGAAATATATATATATATATATATAAAAGAGAGAGAGAGAGAGGGAAATACAAGGGGAGAAAGAGGGGGAGAGAGAGGGGGTTGAATTCATAAGGGTTGTTGCATTAACGCGCGCATCGAATGTGGAAAAGGGGGAATGAATCGAGAGAATGGTAATAATATAGGAGAGAGAGAGAGTGCGTGTGTAATACATTCATGGTATTTTACTGCACGGCAATGTCACGAACGAGTCGGGATCTCTTTAAGCTATGACGCTGCGAGTTGGACTGGAGACAAAAAGGGGTCATTTTCGCTTTCTTTCTTTCTTCCTTTCGACGGGGAGGTCAGAATCTATTATTCTCCTTTATTATCGCTGAACGCGGGATTATTACTTATTACTTATTGCTTATTACTTATTACTTATTACTATTGCCATTATTTCATAATTTGTTTTTTGTTCTTTGTAATGGTGATGTATAATACATAAATTAGACTTGGATTTAGATTTAGATTTCATTATCATTATCATTATTGTTAGACAATTGCTCTGTCAAATGATACTATATTATTGCCGTAGAATGCCGGCAAACTTGTTCTGAATTGAAGATAATCCGGATGCTTGGCCAAGGTAATTCCATTAAATTAAACAGTGATTTTAAGACTAAACCATGAGAATATTAAAATAGAATTATAGTAATAATAATACTAATAATAAAAAAGGACATTTCTTCCCAAACTCTGATTTCTAATGAGAATGATCAACCTCTCTCTCTATATATATTACATTGTACTATCTATCTTGTTGGGCTACAGCATATAGAAAGTTTGATATATATATATATATATATATATAAAAGTAAAGTAAAGTAAGAAATACTAGGTGTAGATAGAGTTCATTAAGGGCAGGTTGTTAAGGAGGTGAAGATCGGAGAGTAGCAATGGTATCACAAGCAGCAAGATGGCTCTCTTTGGCACTGGTCTGGTTTCAAATGCCAACATAACTGATTATTATATATACACTATATCAAATCGATCTGTAGCAATTGTTGAATAAGCACCATAATATTACAGTGTATTGTATTGTATTATATTAATTTTATTTAATAAAGTATATTAAGATAAGATGGCTGAATATACCCTATTTGATTTTTCAATATTCTTTTGCCCATCGATCCTGTTGTTTTTTAATTGAGTAAAATCCAGCGCCAATTCGGTCTTCATTTTCCATGCCCGTCCCTCCTTCCCCACTTTGTTACCCTATTTATCTAATGCATCTCTTCAAACCCCCAAATCTGTCCATCAATCCTTCCTACAGCCCCTCCTGTTTGCACTTTTCTTTTTTCTTTTTTACGCTTCTGGCTGTTTTACTCCCTGCTCATCGCGTGTTCCTATTGAGGCACCTCGTTTTGGGCTTGCATTTCTAAAATACTTAATGTGCATTTTTTGTCTCCTTATCAAAAATCAATTTCTCGGTGAACATCTGTGCTTTCTCTTCGTTTTCTTGGCTGTCTATGCAGAAAGAACTAGTGTGTAGGAGATCTTCTATCCCTAGCATCTCCCCTAACCTTTATATCTACTCTATTAATCTTGAACCGTTCTTTTAACCGGTTCCGTCTCCTTTATTAAGCCTACCAAGGACACCTCTCAACTTCTTCGTCTTGAACTTCTTAGTCACGCATCCCGACCACGGACCCTTAAACGTGCTCTGCTAATATTATTGACGATCGCGAGATCTGAATGTTCATCTCAAGACATTAACATCCTAAATCTGACCTCGATCCACATTCAAAACCACACCAAAAAAAAACAATAAAATAAAATAAAATAGTAATAGTAATAGTAATAATAATAATAACAACAATATTATTATTAATAATAATATTAATATTAATAATAACATTAAATAATAATACTCAAACTTGCACCCACACACTCATCCACACACTCACCCACACACTCACCCACACCCACACAAACCTCAACCTCAACCTCAACCTCAACCTCAACCTCAATACCTCTCTTTCTTTCTTTCTTTCTTTCTTTCTTTCTTTCTCTTTCTCTCTCTCTCTATTTCCTTCTTCATTTCCTTCATTCTTTCTCTCTACCTCTCTACCTCTTTACCTCTTACTTCTTTACCTTTCTTTCTTTCTTTCTTTCTTTCTCTCACTCCTAAAGAAAAAAAAGAAGTATGACAAAATCTGAACCCAACGAATCAATCAATGGACCGAACGAGGCCTCTCGTGTATCTGTAGGTCTTAAACTCTATTATACTCGAATTATTTCCCAGACTCACCTTCCTTTAAGATGGACCCTCTTTATCAACGCTTGCTCAAAAAAGGCTTTGCGGATAGCGTCTCAGCAATTGAATACTGCCGCGATGTATGTGCCGAATATGGATTTACGATCAAGCAAGAAGCTAGTGCTAATAAAGTATGTCTAATATTCAATTGCATTGTCTATGTCCACACACTCCGTCCAAATCGAAATGATCTTCTACATTTCTTTAGCTGAGCGGGTCTGAGCGTGTTTCTTATTATTATTATTATTATTATTATTTATCATTATTGAATTCTCTTTCCGGTGCCTAATATACACAAACCCACAAACCCCAAAAAAAACAAAGACTCATAACCTTTAAATAATTCTGTTATCATCATCTAGAACATATACGTCTATTGTTCTCGCGAAGGCCTGCCAGATTCTCAGCGGAACCCCAAACCTTCTCCACAAAGAAAACGACCCTCAAAAAGGTGTGATTGCAAATGGAGAATTGTACTTTCTGAGAACGAACAGGAGCAATGGGAATTCCGGAAGTCGCTAACTGCTACTGCACTTGAGCACAACCACGAGATGATGTCTCCAGACGAGATGGTTAAGGCCTGGCCACCTGAGGTGAGCGACATGATCATTCGTCTTGCACAGCAGAGACTACAGACGCACGAGATACGCGAGGCTGTCAAGCAAAACTTCCCTGACATTACATGGAACGAGCGGCGGTTCTATAATCGACTGACCGAGGAGCGCAAACGAATTAGGCAGCGTGGAGTCGTCGACCGCTCACAGCGCCTACTGTTACTGTCTGCCAGGCTCTGTTCGGTAGTGGCGGGCAACGAAGGATGGGCAATATGTGTAGAAAATGACTTGGTTCGGATGTTCGACAACTTCTGCCAGCTGACGCGCCTCACCCCCGAGGCCATCGAGTCACTTGTGGATATGCAGCAGAACCAAATCCAAAGCGACATGAGTGGAGAACGCTCATTACAGCCACACCGATTGGTGGGAAATTCCACTGGAGACTCCCTCTCGATTGCCGATCCATCGGCCTCAATCGGCATGTCATCCAACAGTGATCTCGAGGACCATTGCTCGGGAACACCCGCAGCCAAGCGTCGCAAGTCCAACTTTAGATCAAACGAGTCCCCCAAGGGAACTCAGGTTGTCACTGTCCCGAGTTATACGCTCTTTGTACGTTCGCAGCCCCTTCGTTCACCCTCTGATTCATCATCCCAAGGCAGTCGTCGGACAATGGCGGACTCTCCAACTGGTCTTGAGAGCCATAGCCCTCAGAATGGACCGCCAACAGCATTCAATGGACCATCTGCCGCTTCATTCTTTGCCCTTACCTCTCCAACATCCTCCTCATCCTCGACTTCAAATATGGCCTTTTCACGTCACAGGATCGACATGCCACAACAACGCAGTATGTCAACCTCTCACCACCCCCACACATCACCTTCTGTTCATGACACACCATTTATGACACACTCTCTATGCCATCGTGCGTCTCCACAACAGCAGCAGCAGCAACATCAACAGCAACAACAACATCAACAACAACAACAGCAGCAACAACAGCAACAACAGCAGCAACAACAGCAACAACAGCAACAGCAACAGCAGCAGCAGCAACAACAGCAACAGCAGCAGCAGCAGCAGCAACAACAGCAGCAACAACAGCAGCAGCAGCAGGCTACTTCTTCCAACTATGCTATGCCCAATGTATCTGCATATAATCTGCAAGCTTCTTTTTCTCCTTATAGCATGTCAGCCACATCTTTCTCTTCGCCCCCTGATATGCCGTTCAACTTTGATGGTGCCAGTATAATGGCTCCTCCCCCAAGTTCGAGCAATATTTTTGGGTCCATGCACAGTACACCGCAACCACATCAGACCGCCAAAGTGCACCACAACCTTGTTCCTGATCGCCACGAGCACACCCACCCTCATGAGCACAGAACACCGGTGTTTGGATACTACGCTGTCAAGAACGATGTTGAATCAGCAGTACTGCAGGAACAGCAGCGGGCCATTATGAGGCAGCAGGAGCACGAGTATGACCAGAGAGTCCAGCGTGGCTACCCTCAAGGATTTACCACACTGCCTATGATCCGTGCTAATAATGAAGATCAACAGGCATCACCTATTGTGGTAGCCACTCCTGCCTCTCAGCAGTGGTCTTGAAAGAAGAAGAAGAAGAAGAAAAAAAGAAGGAAAGAGAAAAAGAAGAAGAAAAAAACGAGCAGCAGTAACAATGACCGCAACAATAACGATAACTATATCAAAATCCATACTTTATAACTACTTAAACTATACATTTATACCTCTATACCTCTACCTATATATTTAACTACCTTACCTATCTACCTATCTACCTACCTATTTAACTATCTGTCTATCTATCTATTTAACTATCTATCTATTTAACTATTTAACTATCTATCTATTTATCTATTTAACTATCTCTCTTTTGCTTGTTTCTATTTTTCATATTATTGTTTTTTTTTCTATAGCCAAATATCTCTTTCATTTCTCAATCCTAATTCTTTCGTATGACCAAGCGCTATTGCGTCTAACTTCTTGTTCTTCCTTTTTCTTTACTTTATTCTTCTGTTATATTTTGATCATTTGTCATTAGCAAGCGGGCCTTTATGCTTTTCCTTTTATTATATTCTATTCTATTCTACTTTATTCTACTCTATTTTATTCTATTTTACATTTTACATATGTTGGAAACATGGTGCCTCTATTTTCTAGTTTTTCATTCTCATTCTCATTCTCATTCTCACTCCAACTCTCCAACTCTCTTATTTACGTAGCCATATATGTAAAAATCTACTATCTTATACTAAAGATGATCAACTTTTTTTTTTTTTTAAAAAAAAAACTATTATACTGGACAGCTTAGTATGTATGAATCTATTCGGCGTGTATTATTATTATTATTATTATTATTATTTTCTTTGGTCCTGTATTGACTATATAATATGTACACCCACCCCACGCACACACGAATGTATGTATGTATGTGCTTATGTATGTATGTATGTGCGTATGTGCGTATGTATGTATTTATGTATGTGTGCATTGTTTTTATTTTTATTATTACTATTACTATTGTTTGTATCCATTAACTTTGTACACAGCATTAGCTCCATTTCATTCTACACCCTTACAAGGTTTGCAGATCTCTTTGATGAGAATTTGAGTACATGACTCTACATAATTGACATTTAAGCTTTCGAGCTTAAGACTATGGACTCTGTCAACCCTGTAATACACATATTAGGCACTAGGACACAATATACCACTATTATTATTACTATAACCATTCTTCCATCTTGTTCTTAAAGACCAGTTAGCTGTAGCTAGACGTACAAGATTCAGTTGAAAGGTGCCAAATCTTATTAAGCTTATTGCAGTTACTAACCTTGACACAAGTCTAGCTAATAGTCTGATAAACGTGGATTTATGGTTTATGTATAGTTTACACTACATAAATCCACATTAGTTAAAAAAGAAGGTCTTGGAATAAAGGAAGATCACTTCTAAATAATTTCAATTCTCTCTCTCTCTCTATCTCTCTTTAGACCATTAATTACTCTCTAAAGAGTAACAACCAGAATATTTCATACATTAAAGCATATACTAGATCGTATTGATGCTGTAGGATATCATCATAATGATCATATTAGTTTGTGGGGACATGAAGTATGTACACCAAAAATAACCTTGACAAATGTGGAAATCTGCTTAAGGAACATACCAGTCTAATGTAAATGAATTTAACTTGTTCCAATAGAAACAAGTATAAAAAGGTACAATTTTGTAATATTAACATTAAAAATAAAACCTCTATCTTTAATATATATATATATACTGACTTCTCATTTTTACTAATATCACTCGACAATTCCCATACCTACTAATCAACCCACTATCCTATTCCCCCCAAAATTTCAATTATCTCTCTCTCTCTATATATATATTTCTTTCTCCCTTTGCCCCCTTATACTTTCTAATCTATACTCTCCTTTTGATTAGAGCAGAAAGAAGGATATGCACGTCAAATAGAAAAAAAAGGAGTAGTGTAATTTATTTATCGCAACCCATCTGAATGCTTTGCAAGGCAACCAATAGTGACAACGGAGGCAAGAGCACTTTGCATTTAATCAAATTTTAAAGTATACTGCTTTGCATATAAAGCAATGCATGCATTTATTTTGCACTCAAGCATGCACACATGCACGTACGCACACACGTACGCACACACGTACATACTTACATACATACATACATACATATACACACGCACGTACGTATGTACAAGATACGTAAAAGTCTATTTACATTATGCTACATTTACCATTTGGGTGCCTTTGCATCTGCATCAATTGTTCTTCTGTATAGATGCGTCCTGTCATGGCCTGGACATCCTCAATTGCCTGCTCACGCTCATTCTCTCGCCGCTTCTGTTTGATCTCCTTTGGGAAATACTGCTTCAAAAGGTTCTGACGAGGCAGGTCCAGATCAATCGCACTGGCAAGCTTTACTGCAGTAGGATGTCGACACACAGGGCAGCTATCCATATGAGCCCTTTGTTGCTTAATCAGGCATCGAACACAGAATACATGACCGCACACCAGCCTAATAGGTCGCCATGCTACCCACATGCACACAGGACAAGCTAAAATAAATAGGGAGTACAAAGATCATGGTAATTTTGTGAGAAATTAATATTAATATTGATATTGATATTAGTAGTAGTAGTAGTACTACTACTACTACTACTACTACTACTATTTTTATTGTTATTTAAGATACATATATATATTAGAAAATTAATTTACAAAGACTTACAGAAATCTTCGGGTTGAAGGATAATAGAGATTAGTTTCTCAGTTAACAAGGCACAAAGGATATGTGCCATCTTTTGATCAAAGAATTTCTTGACCTTTGCAATTTCCGGGAAATTTTGGCTTGCACTGGGTCAAAGAAGCAGAAGCACAACCAAAATTAGAGTTAGGATTAGAATTAGAATCAATAGCAGTTTCCTCTTATCTTCTTCTTCTTTAAAACACTAATAAATACAGATGCATACATATATATACATAAATACATATACATACTTACGTGAGTCCACTTCGCTTGTCATGCTTCTTGAGAATTTTAGTCATTGCAGTATGATTTAAGGCTTGATAGTGCTTCATTGTAATGAGAGCAGTATTGACACCAATAAACTGTTCAAATGCTATTTTTGACGACTTGCTCTTAAGTTTGGTAGCCTAGTAATTATGTGAGTGTTAGCACATATTCAAATATATTTTTTATGCGCCTAAATAAATCAATAGATATATAAGTATGAATGTATTACCAAACGTTTTGATTCTATTTGGTTCATAAACCAGGTCATTTGTTGTTTGGATTTCTGGACAGATCTCATTGTCCTATCAGACTCTATTTTTCCTTTGAATATTTGGGCATCCATGTAAATATTGAAGATTGCACGCCATGTGTACATATCGTCTTTTTCACTGGGTGCAGCCTAACTTTACTTTAGAATCAAAACTCAATTGGTTCCCCTCCTCCTCCTCCTTCAATCTTTAACCTTTTATTCTTACTTACCACCTTGGCCATCTGCGACTCTAATCCGTCAATATCAAGCTTGAACTTATCCGAGGTTGTAGCTTGCAATTTGGACGCTAGATCCATTTCCATCATAAGAGTATAAAAAAACTCATCATCTTGTTCGAGCTCCAATACAAGTGTCTTCATGTGAGGGTCGTCAGTGCTAATCTCTTCGTCGCAGTCCATTATTTCATCAGGTTCGCCAGTGTTCTGGGTCTCCTTGATATTTAGCCCCTCTTCTGCAATTGCATGCATCATGTGCTGCCTTTCCTGATCATGGACAGCCAGGTTCATAAGTTCTTTGATCAGAATAACCGTATCACTTTCTCTCCTGCTCAACCGGTTGTCGTCGTCTATTGTGACCGATGAGTGACTTCCTCGGCGAGAAATCGAAAAGAAGTCTGTGTCGTTTTGGGTTCCTTTGTATTCAATTTCCGGTCGAATGGATGGATTGCTAACTCTTCGAGAGAGAGAGAAGAAGTCTGTATCGTTTTGGGATCCCTTATACTCAAGTCCCGGAGTGCCAGCCTTTGATGCCGGCTTGCTAATCTTAACGGCCTTGTTTCCATTAGAAGTCTCTTGGTCATTGTCATCTTGGCTTTCGTCATCCGAAATGAAGTCTTTATCCTTCAATCTTGTCAGAAGCTTGTGGATTCTCGGCGAATGGCTATTATAGGTAAACTCGATACACGGGCGTACGTTCGGGGGCTCTCCTGTGAAATAATAGTTGATCTTTGGTACACTGGCATGGTCATCGGCATCTTGATCCAGATTGGGTTTGCACAAGGTTTCTCTTAAAAAAGTAGCCGATAAGCCTCGATTCTCGATTTCGTCCGCCACTTTTGCGACTAGCTTCTTGAGGGTGCGATATTGAATTAAATAAGGACGCCAGGCGGACGGGATGTCCTCAGACTCGGTTTCCAGCTGCTTAGCAAACTTCATAGTAGGTTCATTGCCTTTTGGAAGAAAGGGAATAAAAAATAAATTATATGCAATTGATGAGAATAGCAGTGACTCTGTTTCAAGACTTCTTTTACGTTGTATATATAGACAATATATATTTTTTTATAAAAAAAAAGAATGGTTCTTATAGTGATTACCTTCTACTATCGGTGGTACCACGTGATCCTATCCGATTCAGAATAGGCGCTTAATGAGGAAGGACACTTGTCTCTGTGGATCCAACCTTTGTTAAACGAGGCTTTTAATTTTTTTTTACTTGGTAAACTATGATTATCTGTTTAGATTGTTTCTAAACCTAGATCGAATGTGCTACAGCCAGCACCAATATTATTGCGTGTAGCAATGGGTAAAAAGTTGCGTGTTTGACCCCGCACGTATAGACTATCCAAATATTCTGTTTAATCAATTTCCGTTTTTTCTTTTGTTGAATTTTTTTACGGTAACAAATAGTTTAGCTTTAAGTCTAATCTATTGTATTGTATTGTATTGTATTGTATTGTATAAAGCTACTTACTAAGTATCCTTTGCATTTTTTTTTGATCATTGATAATGCCGTCATATCACATCAACTGTTAACGGTAATAATGTCAATAGTAATGCCAATAATAATAGCTGATCAGTTCTTGGTGATTCAAATTAAATAAATAAATATGGTGAGATATCCATATATATATAAATTTATATATTAAGTCTTTTCCCACCGTCCAAGGAAGGTCGTACCCGGAAGCTACCGGTGTCAATACAATTCATTCAGCAATAAAAACCCATTACACAAAATACCGCATCAATAATATACCAAGAAGCGTAATATTTGCATAATTCTTGAGTTTTTTTTTACACTTTGGGCAAAGGGGTAAATTTTATGGCTGTTGACAAAATTTATAAGTCTTTTACAGTTTGCTCCCTCTCTATTTCTCGGTTTTTACTTGATACTTATAGATAGCAGAATTGTCTTTAATATGACTATTAGAGATCTCATATATTAAAAGTAATAATAATAGTAAGGATTTCAATATGTATACAAGTGTATCGACTATCAGCGAGACTTTGATAAACTCAAACAAAGGCAAAAAGAAAGAAAGAAAGAAAAATTCGATACATAGGTCCTGTGTTTCTAGTACAGCAGAATAAAACAAGACGTATAGATGGCTATTGTTGAACAAAACAAAAATAAACCAAAAACCAAAATAAAATAAAGCTACCACATATCACATTTTGCATGGGGATTCATGGGGGTTCCGACTGCACATTGGAATGCTTTTGAAAATTCGCGTGAATTGATTAATGGGCCATTAACTCTCCATCGATCAGGTGCAGATTCGCTTGTACGCAGCTGTCAGACAAAGAAAGATTAGAATTTGGGTGCTCTTTTGTCCGGATCAAGATATTAAGTACTATACCTCTCGAACATCGCTTTCGGGTGTACTCTTGCTACACTTCATTCTCGAGAAGTTGATAAAAAACAGCTGCTCAACACTCCAGTTGACTAGTCCGGGTAAGTGTGCATTGTTGCGCCCTTGAGAAAAACGGGTATTCCATGCTGAATATGCCTCTGCCAGACCACCGTTGTCAGCAAGATTGCTATCAAGTGTCCGTTCACCATCCACCTGATGAATATCCTCTTGTGGTCCCTTGAGAGTAAAATTTGAATACTGTTGTACAAAACAACGTGTCCTGTTGTTGAACTCAGACATGGAATGATTGGACCACCATTGACCCAATGCTCCTTCCTTGTTGTATTGACGACCCGTCAGATCAAACCCATGCTACAAACCATATACCGGATTGAGTACACACAACATTTACATATATGTCATTAGAGTTTTCACTCACGAGCATTGTTTGGCCAATGACCCAGCCCAATGATCCATAGTTTAGATAGTCTGGACCCTGGGAGTCATAGAATGGAGGTTGCAACATCCCGGCGGGAACAATAGCCTTTTAATCACGTTCGTCAGTTCAGTTCAGTTCAGTTCAGTTCAGTTCAGTTCAGTTCAGTCCATCTATTTTATAAAGTATCTTTTTCTTTTCGTTTCTTTTGTTTTTAATATAAAGTCTGAAAGTTAAACCGACCTTGTTCTTTTTGCGACTGTAAGTAGCATCAACATCCTGCGGGTTCACATCCCAAACACCATTGTGAACTGGTTTACCAAGTTGAGCCCACTGCCGCTTCACTGCCCATTCATTTGCACTTTGAACGTTTCCAAAAAAGTCATCTTTTTTTACATTTACAGAGCTATAGAATTCAGCAAGAGAAATCGCTGACTGGGTGTCAGGAAAAGAGCTTGGATAACCAAGTTGATAATTCATCGATTGGACCTTTGTGTGTGTATATGTGTGTTATTAGGTTATTCATGGTAAATAGTTAGAGATGTTTGGGTAAGAATTAAATATTTATCTCTTCTATTAACATTTTTATTTAACTTCCTCACCTTTGAAATCATTTCCTTGCGAGTCTTGTCATCTACCCAAGAGAGACCCTGAAGACTGTCCACAAATGCAGTGACAATAGTAGAAGCCAAGCCTTCAGCTTCTGTTTTTGAGGTACTATCCAGACTGCTGAGCACAAAATAGCGACCCATTAGAAAGCCAATCGAACTGTCCACATGAGATAGACAGGTCTCCCATCGCTCTGGCTTGGCTCTTGCTTCTACGCCATTAAGTTTGGCTTCTAGTTTGCGCCGGGGAGCAAGAAACTCTTCTCCAAGGGTATCTAGATATTTCCATAATGTGCGCCAAACCAAATAAGTTTGGAGTGTACGCGAATTTGTGCTGCCCAGAACATCTTCTGACAAACTGGTGATAAATCGTGGTAGTGGTACAAGCACATCATCAGGCATAGGTACGCCTCTTGGTAGCATTGATTCAACATAAAGCGTCCAGTTAACATTGGGAGCAGTAGCGTGGAGCTTTTCAAGTGACCAGCGTTCATAAATGATACCATTATTAAGGCCGTCCCTGTTTGTGCCAACAGCGATGGTGTCATCATGGTATTTGGCTTGTGCTAGCTTCTTTTCGAATTCAAGAATACGTCTTGCCGTCGCAACTGGACTCCATGATTTCCAGCCAAATTCTCCGGTAGTGTCTTTTTGAAAGACAAGCTCCAAAAGCTCAGTTACGACCTTTGTGTAGGTAGAAAATACATCTGGGTCATCGTAATAATCCCGCGAAGGAAGGCCAACTTCACCCTGCCAGAGTGAAAGGGCAGTTTTGGCAGGGTTGTGTGGATCTGGGACTACCCGTATCTCAAATAGGGCCCAAATATGCTGTTTTCCGAGATGACTCATTGCTTCAGTTAAGCTTTGAACGAAAGGGGGATCCAGTGTGGCCTGCTTGAGGTAGCTGGCTGGAAGGAGTCCTTGAATGTGTCGAAATTGATCATAGAGAGGTTTTATTCCCCGCTTGTCCAATGTATCTTCGTCCATGCAAGCCCCATAAAAGTCTGTCAGTTTGGTGAATATCTGACTGTCCACAATACGATCTGGTCTAGGTAAAGAGCTCGAAGATGAGAGAGATTTTTCAAGGGGATTGCTGTGACTAAGGATCTGGTTCAGGCGTTGCTTGATACGATCTTTTGCCAAACTCTCAACGCTCACTTTGGACTTGGCGTCCGGCAAAACATGATTGTCGATCCAATTACTGCCTATCAACCGAATACGGGGTTTTTTTTTATTAAGGGGTTTGATTTATCCAGCCGCTTATATATTTCTCTTGAATATCACTCCTTTCTCCTTAAGAAAATCATCCAGCTTGAACACTCTAGAGTACTAATGAAATACAGAGAAATAAAAAGGAAGAGACAAGTGTGAAAATTTTCTTACATGTGTAGGCATAAAAATCATCGCACGGATCCAAGTCGGGATTCACGTCCTATATGTTACCAAAATTCACCAAGCGATTAGAAGTCAAATGCATGTACCTCTTTTACGTTTTACAAAAAAATCCCAAATTCTCTGTGTATAACTTTTTTTGTTTATTTATTTATTTTACCTGGAGAATGCTTGCAGCAGACAGAATACAATGTGGCTCGAGACAGATTATCTGTGGATATTAATCACATAAGCTACTGTTTTATAAATTGGATTTTTTTATTTTATTTATCGCGCACCTCGGTGTGATTGTCAATCGGAGGCAACGGAGGTTGCGGAACAGGAAGAGCAGGCGGTAGTTTTGGGCTATCATCATAGCTACTGCGTGCATACAATCCTGTAAACACACACAGTAATATGAAGAGTATTGAACTGACAAAAAACATCAATTTTTCCAACGACGTAAACTGCCCTGGTTGGAGATAGACGGGGTAGCGATATACTCCACTACCATAGTCAGTTGTCGAAACGGCATCACCGCTAGTGTCTGACCGTCTGTCAGGGTCATCGATGCGATCGCGTGCTAAAAGTGGAGATCTAGTATCAGGCATACGGGAAACTGGCTACTAGCAAAAGTATAAAACACAGTGTAGAGCCAGAAAACAAGTCAAGAAAAAAAATATTATAACAAAAGAAGGGGCAGAAGGTAGAAGAAGTAGGCCGACACGAAAAGGGTGAGAGAAAAAACAAGCCAATCGTCATTTCACTTTCTGTTGCAGAACATACACGTGACTTCCGAGACAATTCGGTATTGTCAGTGAACTTGGCAAACTTTGTATTTTGTGTGTATTTATATTTTTTGTACACACATATATACACATGTACACTTTATTTATTCTTCACTGTCTACTAGGGCTTTAAACGAGAATGGCTCAAATATGTAGCCATCTCCCATGTAAAATTTACCATCAAACTCGACCCTGAAGTATATAACTTGTTAGGGCATATCTCTATGACGAATCTTTATATATATATATATATATATATTTATCTATCCACCCACAGCCCAGACTAAAATAAACCTTTAAACTTACCAATGCAGACGAAGGGCGTGGAGAAATGCTGATAAACCTTCCATGCCAAGTAAAATACCAACTGTCAAAACAAACCACATTGAGAAACCAATCACCAAGCCAGCCACGGCTGGGAACCCCGTCAGATTAAACCAGATCTTGAGTGTCATGTCCCACAACACACTCGATAATTCTATCAATATTCATTAATATTTTTATGCATAACATAACATAAGATTATGAGTATACTCACGGGCATGAGCCAAAGATAAAGCCCAAAGGCGAAGATATGACGCAGTGTTGGATATGCAGTTAAGGCAGAATTCGATGGTGTGAATAGTTTGATGAATCATCATCTCACTAAATTCGAACTAACCAAATTTACACTTCAACTTCTTTATTAAACGCTATTACCTCTTCTTCAGTCTCTGCAGTCATGTCATGATCAAACTCGGCTGAATTATGGTCGTCCTCATCATTAGCCACCGTTCTGTATCTGTGATTTTCGTGCTGCTTTTTGAGATAAAATGGTTTCGCAAACCACATCCAGGGTACACATATCAACGCAATCACAATCAGCACTGCTTGAAGAGGGCCCTACAAAGAATTGAATAAACAAACAAACAAACAAACAAACAAGCCAAATATTAACCTGTCCTGGAAACAATTGCTCTTTTGGATCAACTGTTCCTGGTGTCAAAAACATGTAGATCAACATATTTAATAGATTTGGTGGAGCATTTCGGAGAAGCTGGCCGTCTTGACCAACTTCCCACCAGTTCACACTCCATTTGTATATGATACAGAACACAAGATATCCAAAGATAGATTCCATGAACAGGATTTGAGGCAGGAATTCCAGCCACACAAACTCTTTTTTTCCAAAGTAAATGTGGTTGAACACATTGAGACAAATGGCAAATGACATCTAAATTACCAGTATGAGGTAATCTTGCGATTATTTCCAAAATATCTTACATGAAAGACACCAATAATAATAGCCTGTTTCATCTTGTATGAATTTGAAAACAGTAAGAAATTTTCTGATCCATGCCAGGCCTACATAAGCATTAATAAAAAAAATTAATAAGGTTTTCTTTGGAATAAGCAACAATCATTATGCATATATATAAAAAAAATCATGCTACGTAATAATTACAGGATCAAATCCAAAAGAATAGACATGTCCATTTGTGTGAGCCTCGATAGGTCCAGTACCGTTGTGTCTGGGCCAGTCAAACCCAGACTTTCCGAGAGAAAGCGAAAGAGAAAATATATCGTTGTAGATAATACCAGTAAATATGGAGAAAATGCCCATCATCAACATCATATAACGACCACTAAAGAACATAGAGAATATTTCGCCTTTGTTGGATGACAACCTCTTTTCGTTTAGCACAAGGTATAGGGCAAATAGAAACAACAAGAAACCATGTCCGATATCCCCGAACATGACTGCAAACAAAAATGGGAAGGTAACAATGGTAAATAACCCAGGGTTGACCTCACGATAACGTGCAATGCCATATGCATCGATAATTGACTGGAATCCCGAAGTGAGGCGATTGGTGCGATGGTATGTTGGTGGTGCTGCATGAGTAGATATTGGAGTAAGAATTGAGGATAAATTTGTACCAGAGGCTGCCTATAGAAAATATTAGAAGGCATTTGCATAAATAAAACAAAAGCTATTTTTAATGCTTACGACAGTCTCACGAAGTGATGTTTTAATTATATGGATATAACTGGTTGGACACCATCCCTCGGCTATCATGCATTTTCGATCTGGGTCATAACTTAAAAGATTCATGATATGAAAAGTCGCCTTTTCTTTGCGCACCATTGTTGTCCACGCAGCAAGTTGTTTAGCGATCTTGACGAGTTCACTTTGGCGTGCGTTCTCTGTGTTGACAAGAACAGTAGAAAGATCTTCAAGGCGAGAGACAACATCGATAATTGTGTCTCTGCGCTTGTCAGGTTCATCGGCAACATCGTACAAAGTTCCACCCAGACCTTCGGATATTTTCCTGATTTTATTGACAACTTGCAAGCCATGCGCAAAAATTGCAAACACGTTTTTCTCGGTCGATCTCTCATTCGACGGGTCGTCGTCTATTTCGACCGAATACATCAGCAAATTGCCACGCAGCGAACGCCACAAGACACGTTCAAATGTTGCTACTTTAGAGCGTTCAATTACGCCAGTCACGTGCCCTGGATAAATCGAGCTCATATCCAACAATGAAATGTCTGATGTGCTGTTTAGCAAAGGCGCAGTGTCGTCGAGGGTATCTACAGCATGGCGTCTATCCTTCGACTCTGCCTAAAAACATTTTTTTTTAAAAAAAAAGGTATTTCTGGCCACATGTCAGAAAATCATCGGTCACAGTATAGCCCAATCGAACATGCCTGTCTGAAGAAAGTCTCGGACTCACCCAAGACATGACGGAGTTCGGTGAGTTGCAGGAAGCGGTGTTGGAGAGACTCGTACGAAACATTCATCTCCACCATCCGACTCTCATGACGTCCGAGGGTTTCTTCAAGGTCATCGACTTGCTGGGCAGAACGTGCACGTGTAGATTCTGGGTTTTTAAGGGTTTGGATAGTGATGCCGGCATGTTCGATTTGTGTCTGAAGGAAACCTACGAGATCTTTATTTTCAATTCAAGTCTATATTTGAATAATAAAGGAGAAGCTACGAACGACATTGGCGCTCCATGGCATCGAGTCTTCTGATTTGAGCTACGTAATGCCTTTGAAATGGATTCAGATCTGGATTAAGCTGTGCGTATCATTTACGTTATGTTGAGTTTTTTTTTCTTTTTATTTTAGTGTCACATTCTGTACATCTTATTTGTATTAAATGAGACAATACCTACATCGATAAACTGGACCATTGCAAGCTCTCCTAGTTCTGCTATGCATGAATGAGCTACTTCAGAGGGAATGTACATCTGAACGAGAGACATCTCCTCTGAGCGGAATAGGGAAGTCATACTATGAAAAGTGGTCAAGTGAAAACTAGAAAGGTAGTATATTTTTTTTTATTATATTATATATTGGTTGCAGGAAACTTGTTTGGTACGTATGATCCAAGTCTTACAGCTTAATGAGATGATGGGCGTGACTGACTTATGACGTTTACGGTTTGTTCCAATTTAAATTGCAAAATGTTCGACTTAATTGTTTTACTGTTTTTTGTACTTGTTCTTATTTTTTCTTGATTCTTACCTCTTACTTATCGCCTATTGCTTATTGCTTCTCCTACCTCTTGTTACTTGTTCATCTTTATCGACTCTGTTAAATGATCAAAAGCTTTGTAAAGTTCAAGCAGGTGAGGAGAAAATAGTTTTTTTTTATGTATTTACTTAGACATTTATATACATCTATACACACACACATATATATATATATATGTATAAGTATATGTATATAAAACCCTTGATCTTTGCGATTATTATCATTTTGGGTTGGTTTTCTAAAGGTGTCTGTGCATTCTTATATGCATGTCACCTATTATACTCTATCTGTATTCTTCTCCTGAAAAGAGAAATTATATACATATACAGTCATATTTGTATACATTTGTTTATATGTTCTAGTTCTAGTTCTAGTTCTAGTTCTAGCTTTGTAAAAACTCAATTTTTATTTTTACTTGATTGCATACTAGAAACTATTGATAGCATATTGCGTATATGGTACATTTACTCACACGTGTTATGATTGTATTTTTAGTGGACGGGAGAGCGTCTTGGGGCTGCAAAAGCAACCTTGCAGACAGATGATTTCCAATGCATGCAAATGGAGACAGAAAAAAGACTGGCGGAGTTCGAGATACTCTATAATGTCGCCAAGTCAACACACGTGTATTTGTCTAAGAGAAAAGTGTCGCCAGAAGACAACAAGATAAAGATGTCAGCTTTAGAGACATTTGGACAGACTCTTTTTAGATGTGGCTCTGAGCGTGATGAATATTCAGACCTTGGTAAGAGCAATAATAGCCATATTGTTGTTATTGTCAGCGTTTGAGACCGGTGGGCTGATCTCCTATTTTAGGTGCTGTCATGGCAAAAATGGGTGGGGCGGAGAAGCAAATATCTGTATTTCAGACTGAGTTCTCTGATGTTCTTAAGGATCGCTACATTGCTATGCTTAACGGAGGCCTTCGATTATTCAAAGAGTACAGTTCGCTCAAGAAGAAACTTGAATCTAGAAGACTTGATCATGATGCCAAGCAAACCCGTGTTAACAAGGCAAAGAAAGAGAAGTTGGAGTGGGAGCATGAATATCAAGCCGCAAAAATGAAATATGAAGAGACAAGACAAAATTTGATCAACAAGATGGTGGAGATTGAAGACTATGAGGTACATTGCCACTAGTCATTTTCATTCTATTTACTAAATTAATTGGGATTATATTTTCATCAGGGGGTCCATCGTAGTGAACTCCGTATCTTACTCGAAGCCCAATACTCTTACCACCTTAAATCTCTCGAAATTATCGACAGTCTCCGTAAGGATTGGCCTATGCCAACCGATGATGGTTACGCCAACTACGATCACACTGGGTACGCAAAGTCACACAGATCAACAGCCACCTATCTCAGCAGTAGCGATGGGGGCCAAGAGTCCGACATCTCTAAAGGATCCAGCTTTTCTGGACTCCATGATGCTAAATCTCAGAATAAACAACCCAGCCTGGAGGGTTCAGATGGTGAAGAAGCTTACAATGCATCTATTGTTCCCTCTTTTCATTCTACAGCCCCTCAAGGTAATAATTAAACCAGAAATTATCTTTCTCAAGCTAAATTATTATCATTTATTGTTCTTTTTTTTAATTAGCAGTACCCGATGCACTCCGTAAAGTCGTTTATCCATTTAACGGAGAAAACGATGATGAACTAACGTTACGTACGGGAGATATCATACGAGTACTTAACGCAGTAGACGATGGGTGGTGGTTAGGGGAAATCGACCAGCGACGCGGAATATTCCCTGTCAATTATACAGAACCCACTTGTGAAACCCCTCCACTTGTACCCTCAAAGTCAATTGATGACACCACATCAGTTGCAAATCCATTTGATAAACATATCGATGAACCACCTGTCATCAATAATGTTTCCGAGCCTTCTATTTCCTCTGACTCCACAGATTGTACTGGACCACTCACTCATGTCGATGTTGCCACAAGCTCTCCTTGTTCAATATCCAAGGACCCTCACATACTTTCTGATCATACCATCAAAGTGGCCAATAGTGTTACTACTAATACCAATGATTCTCTGAGACGATCTGTGGATATTTCATCAGTCCCAAATGTGCCCTATAATAATAACAATAATAACAACACCAATAATAATATTAATAATAACAACAATCATAATAATAATAATAATATGCCGGAGATTACCATGGCGCCTAGTCAAGAACTTTCCAAGCCTTCGAGTTCATTGTCAGATGCACTTAAATTGTCAGCCAAACACAAATCTCCTCCACCTCCTGTACCCTCGCGTAGTAGAGAATTTGGAAGGGCAACAAATGAGGCTCTCTTAGCCACTGGAATTGCGCGCTCATAACTCTCATTCGACTATTTCTTTTAGTCTCCCAACTTTTCAATTGCAGTCTATCTCTTTTTCTCTAGTCAACAGTTGGCTGTATATTACTTTTTGCCTTACTACATTTATACATTTATTACACACACTTACACACTTACACTTACACACTTACACACTTGCACGCTTACACACTTACACACTTACACACTTACACAACATCTATATAAAACTATAATTACGCACATGTCTATGTACACTTAGTATGCCTCCTTTAATATTGACAATCTTTTGAACCAAATTTAATATTTCAAATAAAGTTATTTTATATTAATAAAATCAAGCTCTTCGATAGTCTCGATACTTCACCTATTCACCATTCAGCAACATAGCCAACCTTCTATTATTATTATTATTATTGCTAAACCATGTCTTTGAGTTAAATTTGCACCTGTGTATTTACATAGTCATCAAAGCTAACTACACATTTCATAATTTACTTGTAGTCATAGCAACTTATTCGACGAAAACTTCTGCCAATGCCTCATTTTTAGCTGTACTCCCGTCACAAAACTCTTGTACTCATCTATTATGTGAGATATAATCGGCTTATAAAATAAGTACAAGTAATTATTTCGCCTTTTTCCCGTTATCTACCTTCTTCCTTCTCTAAATGTCTTCTACCGCTCTTATTGTTGGATGTGTCTCTTTTGCAGATGATTATCTCAAAGAACTCCAAAAATCTCACACCATAACTTACTCTACCTCTCGTTCAAGACAGGAGTTCTTTGACGACTGTGCTGGGAAATACAAAGACGTAACTGCGATCTACTATTCTTCTGAGTCCCACGCTGTAACAGGTGTATTTGACAAGGAACTTATCGACCATCTCCCTAGAGCGTGTGTATTTTTCTTTCTCTTTTACGTATAACGATCTCGGTGGGATTGGAATAATTCAATATTTTCATTGAATAGCTCACACGGATTCTTTCTTTGGATTTAGTTTGAAATTTATTACGTTCTGCGCTGCTGGTTATGATTCCATTGACGTGACTGCCTGTACCGCAAGAAACATTATGGTATCCAATACCCCCACTGCCGTAGATGCTGTAAGTTATATATTCTTATTTGATAACACATTAAGCAATAATAACGAAACCTTTGGGAATAATTGTGTATGTTTAGGCAACAGCCGATATTGCAGTACTATTGATCCTTAGCTGCTGTCGCAATGCTAACCAAGCTTCGGAAAATATCCGTTCAGGTAAAAATGAGCAGAAAAGGATAATTTAATCTTAGTTTCAAGTCATCTGGCTAACATCCACATTACAGGCCGTTGGAGACACGGAATGGCTATGGGAATTGATCCCGAAGGCAAGACTTTGGGCATTCTTGGTATGGGAGGTATTGGGAAGACAATTGCCAAGCGGATGTCTGGCTTTGAGATGAAGATTATTTATCATAACCGTACACGACTTGATAAGAAGAGTAAGTTTCTAGATCACTTTAATTGTGTATTTCTAACGGGTATTTATTTAGCCGAGGAAAAGTATAATGCCACATGGGTCGATTTTGAGACTCTCCTCAGAACTTCGGACATTATTTCTGTCAGTGTTCCTTTAAACAAAGATACAACCTCTCTTCTCAGCTATCGTGAATTTACTCTTATGAAGGATGGTGTTGTTTTGGTCAACACTGCACGAGGCAAGGTAATCTGTGAAGACGCTTTGGTCAATGCACTCGAGTCTGGAAAAGTTGTTTCTGCTGGTTTGGATGTCTTTGAAGGCGAGCCAACTGTTCACCCAGGACTCTTGGCTCATTCCAGATCAGTCATATTCCCTCATATCGGAACATTCACCAAAGAATCCCAAAAGAAGATGGAAATGGTGGCTCTTGGAAATCTTGAAGCTGCCTTGACAAGAAACACACTTATAACCCCCATTTCTGAGCACAAGAAGTTCTTTAAGAATTAAATAAGTCCAAGCCAAACAGTTACTGTGACTATATCACATTTTGCCCCTTTCCCCCCTTTTTTTTATTATCGTTCACTTTTCTATCATTTTATCGAACCTACCTTATTACATCAAAGATAAAGAATTGATAAGAAAGATCACACAATAAAGTAAGCAAGCAACAGTGATAAAAAAAGGGTAAATTTTGTCGCGTGTGTTTGTAGTTATGTGTGCGTGTGCGTGTGCATGTGCGTGTGCGTATTCATATGTAAATGTGTATGTATGTACATTTAATGTAGTGAGTATTATTATACTCGTATCTTCCTATGTTTAAAGCCCATTCAACATTTTCTCTCTCTATATCTCTCTTTTTGTGATTTGGTTTTTGTGTTTCCCTGTGAGTTTCTTCTTACATTACATCAAGAAGTATGAGATTATGTTTCTTCATTATTTCTAATATCTATATCTCTTTTGTAATGGATTTGCATGTGTGTATAAGTTTGATTTTTGGAGTGATATTTACTTGGGTCAATATCTAGGAGTATTTCTATCCAACCCCCGAGAGGATCTAAACGGGAGTCTAACAGATTCAGGCTGTCTTGAGGCGGAATAAGAGGGCATTCGACGAGACTTGAAGAAGATAAAATAAGAAACTTGTAAAATTGATAGAAGAAAGATATCCACATACCATATAGGGCATGGCGAGTAAAGCGTGGTGTGTTAGAAGTTGTGTATCTGGGAGAGTAGATATGTGAGAAAGGTGGTAAGGTTGCCTGTCGTAATTACGAGTTCTGTCAAAAAAATCTTGTCGATGTGTGGACTTGTATGGCGTGTAACGAGATGCAGTGAATTTGTAATCTGGATGGCTGACACTTCTTGAACGAGACTTTCGGCTATTAACGTTTTCTCTACTATTTGAGCGCAAGTTACCCCTAGATGGCTTTATCGGCTCTTGTCTTTGTTCAAGCGTTGGCTCTAAAGAGGGTTTTCTTTGTGAGCTTTGACTGGATAAGAGAGTTTTGAGATGTTGGAAAAGGGCATGTTTTTCTTCTTCTAATGCTTTAATCTTGTCCTGGATTTTTGTTTCATTGAACACTTCTGGTAGTACGTCTACACCGTCTTTCTTGCTGTGTGTTTCGACCAAATGATCCACTGTGCTTTTTATTGTCTTCTCTCCAGTGGTTTCAATAGGTGGGGATGGGAGGAAATGTTTGTATGGGTTTACCGGAGGATTGGTGTACACTCCACAAACTATATGAGGTCTTTCTAAGCGTTGGTTCTCGACCTGTTGTCGAATGATACTCTTGATCGCATCCATATGTATAGGTAAGTCAAAGGTGTAGATTTTATTGGCGAAGCCTTCGGTGGTAGTTTTAGTGGTAGTTATAAACGTCATGTGGAAATGTCAGGGTGCGGGCGTTGGCGTTGGAGTTGGCGTTGGCGTTAAAAGACAACCAGTGAGGCGCGAAAGACAAAAAATATTTTTACTTTCGCGTGCTATGAGCGACGTCATCATATATACCTGTATATAAGTATGCTACCCTTATAGATCTCTGCATGTCAAGCATTCGTTTTATTTTTGGGTATTCCAAAGAGTCTAGGAGGTTGCTGAGAAGAACCGGATAATAAAGAAGATTTTGCCCTGAATTGCCATTCACTTCTTTATTTTTTGGTTTTGCCATTTTGATGTTTATTCGGACATCAGACTGATTTATGTTACTTATATGTTAATAATTCGAATGAATTAAAGACAGAATTATGGTTTCGAAAGGTCATTTGTTGGTCATCTTTAGGAATCGAGGTTGCTATTTCACGAACAAGATAAGAAGAGGGTGGCGTGTTGAGACGAAAAAGGCAGTCAGATATACCTGACTTTTTTTTTATCGATTGCGCTACTTAAATTATGTTTCTTTTTTGTTTTTACTGTATAGGCAGTACAGTGCACTACAATTTTTCAACTTGGGATTTGTTTAACTTTTTCTTTCGATAATAGGGTGTCTCACCAGTTCTTAAGAATTATATTTTTAAAAATTTGATGGTTTAATATTTAGCCAATAAGAATTAACACGAAGAAAAGGCTGCAGAGTGCTCTCTTATTTCCTTTTGATCAAAAGTCCATTCTTTTTTAAAAGTTAGAGAATGGAATTATAGATTTACGATCAAGTTGCCTATGAATATTTTATAAGTCAACGAAAGCCAATAGTTTTTCATATTAAATAAATCACCGCATTTTGAAAATTTAATTTATCAACTGGTGAGACACCCCACTACAGTGTTTCTACTTGAGATTGAGACTATGTTAGTTATTTTTTGGACGAATGAAAAAAGAACTAACATAGTCTCAACCTCAAGTAGAAACACTTTATTGGATTAAAGTATAAAGAAATAGAATAAAAATTGATCTTTCAAATCAAGAATTAGAAAAAGCTCAAATGACTCTGTTTGACTACTATTTTCCAATTGTAAATTTGATTGAAGATAAGCTAGTTGCTCGATGAAAGAAACGTCATTAGGAGCACTTCGTTCAATCCTATATATGCTTGGACTAAGTTTGTCATTTTTAAAACATGGTGCGGCCAGACTAAAATTGATTTGATTGGATAAGCTTATTCTGGCCGTTTTTTTTTGACCTTTTTTCTTCTTCTGGTCGTTTCGATCTGTCCGCACCACTGAAATTGATAAAATCCCAAGTTGATGAATAAAATTCAAATACAGATGAAACAGGGATACTATGTCTCGGCTGAATAAAGATCGACTAAGTTAACAAGCACTCTCTAATTAATAGAAATAGAGTTTATATATACACAAATATGGACAACCCGTTAATATATATAAAAATGTGAGTGTGTATGTGTGAGTGTGTGTGAGTGTGTGTGAGTGTGTGTGAGTGTGTGTGAGTATGTGTGAGTGTGTGTGAGTGTGCATATAATATAATATAGTGTAAAAAGAAACGAGGTACCAGCACCAGGCTTTCGGTTTAAACTGTGCACGGAAGACTATATGATACAACAATATACTATTCTGACACAGTACTACTTTTCTTCCCTCGACTATCTTGCTTGCACATTGGGCATCGGTAATTAAGAGCCAGCCATTCATAGACACACGCCTTATGAAAATGATGAGTACACCTACAAAAAGAAAACATGAAATAGTATTAATGCGTGATATAAAGTAAGAGCAGATATAGTTTCACGAGTGATTGAGCAGTAAAATCAGAGGAACAAAATGCGTATTAAAGCAAAGATATGAAGAGAAGAAAAGTCAAACAAGTATTCAGAAGCAATAGCATAAAATACAACTTACCACAGTTTGCATAGAATATCACCATCTTCATACATTGACAGGCAAATTGCACACACTTGGTCCTTCTCATCAGGAATTTCGAGTACGTCATAGACCTGCTCAGGCGAGTCTTTTGAAAGCGGTTCTTCGACGAGACCAATATATAGCCACAGCTTGTCTAGCCACCCAGGCGGTGATTTTACTTGAATTGAATTTCTCTCTCCCAATACCGGGTCAATGGTCATAGTTTGAACGGGAAGAAGCCCAGGAAGCTTGGGTGGTCTAACTACTGTAGGTTTTTTACTGCTCTTGAACCGATATATCGGAATTGTAGATATTTCTTCAACGGAGGATCCTCCCATTTTTACACCATCACTAACATGTAAAAGTCGCATACCAACTGGGATTGTATTAATACAAAATCCTAGTAATATAAATTACCATATCCAATAGTTTACTCGCCCGTTGCTTACCGAGAACACACGGTAGACAGAAAATCACGGATGTACACAAAATAATCGGCACGGCAAGGATAATATATCCGTAGATAATGACAGCCAAAGCAAGGTAATACAGAGGAGTTGCGGTCTCGACGCAAGTTGTAGAGGAGAAGATCATGTAATTACCAACCACGAACCATAAAACAGCGAAGAAATCGAGAGATCCTTTTATACTAGTGAGGTGTGAATGCCAATATGAATATAATTAATCACAACTTACCGATCTACCCAGCTGCCTAACCCATTCTCGGGAAGGATTTCAGGAGGTATCTGTACATTAGGTACTTGGCCTGTAGAAGACCCTTGTTCTGCCATCGGATATGCTTCCCCGCGTTCCATCTGGCTAGGACATTGTGGTGTTTGTCTTGGATCAAAATGAAGATAGATAGTAATCGGAGAGGAGAGTGAAAGCCGGAGAAGGTGTACAGTTAAAAATATTCGAACTGGGCGATCGCAATACATGTTCCAGGAAAAAGCTAGGACTCCTGCACATGCAATGACCTACCTAGCGAGCATGAGGAAGTGATTTTTATTTAGTATTTTGTTACCTGTAACGCGACCAATGTGAGTGAAGACGCAAGGTATAGTTTTGATGTGCGTGAGCTTCGTCTCCAGCTATGGGTGAAATGAGTAACCCAATGAGACCGTACTCGTCGTGAAGTTCGTGCAGTGCTTCGAGAGAGATGAACGGCATTCGATGGCGAATGAGTTAGGATCTGTGGGAGGGCTGGTCGAGTAGACGATGCCGATGAACCGGATGAATGAGTTGATGTTGAAGGTTGATAACGATGACTTAAACTAGTAGACGACATAAACAAGTGAAATGAAAGAGAAGGGAAGAAGGTGTCTGTGCATCTATGAATGGGAACATTGTCTATTCTCTAGAGCAATGCCATGGTAACAGTCGGTCTAATCTTGCCCGGATAGCCGGGTAACTCAGCAAGACATTTTTTTTAATTGATAAAAAAAAGAATGATGTATTCAAAATAAAAAGGTATAATATATATATATATATATATATAAGCTAGTTTAATCAATAAAGTACACCAAGGGTTCTTCGCGGGTCCAGATCGCAGTCTCGGGAGTTGTAAGGATAGAGTAGAATTCAACGCGACCATCGTGATACTTGTGGGCTCTTTGGAAAGTGTAAGCTTAACGAGTACTTGACTTGAAATTAGCAGTTCAGAAATATTACCTGACGTGAATAAACTTTTCATCACCCAAGTCGATCTTGCCAAAGTAGTTGAATCCATAGGCAACCTCTTCAACAGCATACTCTACCAGCTTGAAGCTTGAAATACGTTTCAACTGGTCCATCTCATGAAGACCATGTACGTTATCTTCATGGTTAAGCTATCCAGCCTCATAAAGTAAGTCCCATAATCCGTGGTCTAAATCAATATTATTATTAAATATATATTTTTACCTCATGGAGCTACACACAAACATAATCGTAAAGGCCGTTAGAAAAAGGAATAAATGATGTTTATTCTCTCATTACACCCATGCCACTTATTTTCTCTTTCAATTTCTCTTTCCCTATATTTCCAAAGACCTACCTTATCGACCACAACTTCCTTGATCTCGTGGAAGACCTACAAGTAAACCGAGTTAATAAACATTCATTTCTCGAGAACTAAAGACTTACGGCGCGGGCTTCGTCATCGGCTGGGAGAACTGGTCCCATGGAGTTGTTATTAACGTCAGACATTGAGAGTAAAGAAGAGGAGAGGGGAATCAAAGAAAGGAGGTTGGGGTGTTTTATAAATCCTATTCAGTGGGTGTGTGCAACCATGTCTTTCACACACGCCCGTTTCCAATCGACCTCCGAAAATGAATCAGGAAAATATGGTGGTTTACCAGCTCCACTTATTGAATTCGCCCCTTCAAAAGCGCTTAAAAGGTATACTAGGGTTCATAATATGCATGCAGAAAGCAGCAGATAGTACTACTGATTATTCAAAGGTTTCCCGATACATAAGCTCGGCTTTGAATCTATTTTGTAATTAGGGCTTAGCTTTCGATCTCCTTAATGTCAAAGTATTGTACAACATACTAATGTTTTCCAAGAAGAAAATAAAATAAAACAAAAGGTGATGTCTGTAGATTTTCAAATGTTCGCTCTAGCTAACGTGAGAGAGACAACTAGGAGACATGTAGCCAAACTGTTTCATGAATTCCCGAGATTTTGTATGTACAGGCAAAGCAAGTAATCAGTCTCATATATGCATATGTCATAGTCAAAAAAAATGCGGGGGCTTAATGACCTTGAAATTCAAAAGTCTTGGACGCTCAAACCTTAAATATAAAAAAGTGAAAATACATTTTTGTCGTCGACCAATATGTTCTATTTGAAATGAACGGATACAAAACCTGGTGTGTATTTCCCTTTGGCTTTACAGCGTAACTTGCCTAATACAAATTGAGTTTTATTGTATTACGCATTGGCTTAAATTCCCATATTTCGAGTTGCTCAAAATTGCAACACTCTATTATAGAGCACACATAATAGAAAAGTTCGGGATGAATCAAAATTGGATTCTGGTATTGCTAAAGCATGTAGAAATTTAACTTCTTACTATTTTTCACAGCTTATTATTGTACAAAAGGGCTATTATCTGTATACTTTGTAATTGTGTAATCGAAGATAATTTTGAAGATTTCGAATTTATTTCAATTTTCTCTTAAGAAAACTCTATCAGTAATAAAAATGAATCTAATGCCCGTTAAGCATTGAAAAAAAGGATCAGAAATAGTAATTTCTGTTACACGTATCTCTTTTTTAGGAGCTATGAAATGTACCCCTTGCTATGACAACCATATTTTTCATTTCAAAATTAAGAAAAAGCTAAAATTCCATTGTTTACTTACTAACACCTCTTGACTTGAAGCTCTGTAACTTTTTACTCAAGAACTTTTTTAAAAAAGTATATAATAAAAATACAAAAAGAATCACTTAAAAGGGCTTCATATATTAAACACTTTTTTTTTAAAAAAAAACTTCAATAACTTGTCTGTAGCAAAAAATAAAGCTTTGGGAAACCAAAAAACTTGGATGTTTATTCCCGATCGTACCATATCAATATTATTCTTTTGAATGTGATCAATAAGATCTTCCTGGCCTTATGCTGGTCATCATTACAATGATTGGGATTTATGATAGTACCTGTATTATCTCTTGTTAACCGCTTTTTTTCTTTTTTTTAAAAAAAAAAAAAACTCAAAATAAGCAGAATGTGGCAAATCAAATTTATTCAATTGTTGTAGCCTAAAGACGTAATGATCAGTTGATCCTGCCTCAAAGTAGTTTGTGGAATGTAGACCCATTACTACAAGTTAAGATTGTTTCTTTAAGATATGAAGCTAGAATTCAGGTCTGGTTTTTGGTACGAATAAAGTGATGATACTTGCTTTTGACATTCTGATTTCAGTAAATTTTATGCGGTCTCTTGAGTAGATATTTCACTGTTACTATAATATGTTGCAGCAAGTAATTTCAGCATATCAAAAAGTGTTGCATTTTTATTTTCTTGATGGTTGCTATAAACCTCTTCAAACGTCTTGTTCAATTCTCTGTGGGCATCATTTACATGATCAACGACATGTGCACAGCATACATACGGATCAAGAATAAATATGATATACATAATCGACCTGAGTATACTGAAATTTATTACTATAATTATTTATAACGTCTTCGTTTTGCAGGCTTTTTAGTAAGAATTTCATCTTTAAAGTCCTGTGAATTTATGATAGATATTGATCAACAAATGTTATACTGATAGCTATCAAACAAATTAGCGAAAAGTATGGTTGATATTTAAAGATTCTCGTAGTGCTCTAAAAGATATGCTTTGATACGAGAGACACTCTACTTTAGTTTGCTGGTCATATAGTCTTATGAGACTTCATATTGGCATATCAGATACACTATTCTGACTGTTGCCCAAAAGATAAAAACCAATACTGAATTGACGGATTATGATATTGTTACGTTTTCTTTGGCAAGGAGATGTAGGCATGTTTCATTGTATTTTGAGCAGCTGTTTCCAAGTGACATCGCTACAATTGCCCTCCTATCAATCGTGCACTATTCCGACATATTATCTTTTACAAGTGATAAGATTTATAAAGCAAATAAATATCATTTTCATTATCTCTGGAAATCAATTCGTTGATTTGACTTTTAGGCTCGTACTTGGAGGCACATTCAAGCCACACAAGCACATGGACATAAAGTCAATTTCTGTTTTAAGATTCGATCCTGAAAAATCCTCTTTGGTAAAACAAGTGTTAAAAGGTCTATTCGGTGTATTCCGTGCCATTTTCAATTGGTAGAATCGATAATTAGATCATTTTGCACAAACTATAGGGACTCTGTTTTAGATCAATCAGGATTTATTTGCATATGGTATTTTTTCGGGTTGATCTTCTGTAGGATTCTTTGTATGAGACAAAAAAAAACATTAAAATGCACAAAAAAACAGATCTTATTTCCTAAAAAAGAGAGGTGTCTACCTGAGGAGATATTGATGGGCGCACAAAGGTAGAGAAGTAAAGTAGTAAACTAATAAGTACAGACACAAGAATAAATACAGAAAACATAGAACACTGAAACAAACTGAAAAGAAAAGAAAAAGAAAGTACAATAGGAGAAAGTATAATGATCATAAGAGGGGGAGAACAAGTCCATGAGATGGGCTGATTGAAAGAAAATTGTAGCGATGTATTCACAGAAGCATCTATATTTGCAAGAACAAAAGCCACATCATCATCACATATTGCTCTCGCTTCTAATATTAACCAATAGCCCGCTCATAGCCCGAAGCATTACAGCTAAAGTTTGATATAGTGTTTTCTCGAATTTCGTGCCTTACAAATGTGTTTTACTGTATACTAACCGGAATCGTCATGTCCTTAAGATCCTCAGTATAATGCTCAGGTACTGAAAGGTCAATGTTATGAGTAAAGAAACAGAGGGAACAAGAGATATAATAGTAATAGAATCAGCTTTATCTTATTCAGATTATTTACAACCTTTTATATACTCTACGTAATACACGTAATTCATTTGTATTTACTAAATTATTCATACATCTTTAATAAATATAAATACATATAATATTTTCTTGAATATCATATTCTTGAATGGTATTTTCTAAAATTACGGCGATTTAATATTTCAACTCACACCTGAACACAAGTAAGATTTTTAAATTTGTGATGTATTGACCCGCCAAATACAGCATTAAGTTAGAGTGGCTATTCCAAGTTGTTTCCACTCTCTTAAGCTTCGCTTTATGATTTTCATATAAGGGTTACATTATTTCAAGCACAAAGTTATACTGCGGCTATTTACTGTGTATTATGCTATACATATATATATTGGAAATTTTATATGTAGAGAGAGTTTGTATTATGAAAAAGAGAGTAAGATATGAAGGTCTTGAAAAAATCGCTTTACATAACGCAATAGCCATATAATCAAAATAGCATTAACATATTTCGTTTGGCTTCAAGAAAAATGAGGTACTAAAAAATTGAAGAGAGATGAGCTAAAGTTACTTTGCATAAAACCATGTAAGAATGCGTTTTTTTTTCAAGTTAAAAAAAAAGATAAAAAGATATAACGTAAATTTACAAAAGTTCTTTAATTGATCGGTAGTGTGTGTCCATTTTATATATTTTTGCAACATGGTAAGCAACTTACCATTCATTTTACGCTCAAAATAGTTTTCTAGGCCAAAAGCAAGAAGTTTAACCTATATCAGTATCAAGATACCAAACTAAGCTCAAGACATATTTCATTTGCTAGGATCAACGTAAAATTAAGGAAGGTTGCTAGTTTTTGCCAAAAGTTTCAAGTATTTTGGAATGGCTAAAATCTCTTCCTGTAGGGATAGATCAACTTTTGTTGTAAAAGTCCACTTGTCTCTAGCTAGCATGTACTATGGAAAAACTGCCCTAATAAATTACAACTTTATATTACTTACATTGCATGTTGTAATCCCGTACATTAGTTTCGGTCTACAGCCCAGTGAATATATAATAATTACACTAAGTGCTAAACAAGTTCATTGAAAGATTTTACTAGCTTTCTATGGTGTTTGCATGTGATTATACAGAATTATGTGAGACTTTTAACAGTTTATTTGGTCTTTTTCTTTTCTGAGTGTTTCTATTTTTACTGAGATTTGTGTACCTAATTGATTCGAATTACTTGGGTTGTCGGTATTCCTATATCAATCGAGTGCTCTCGAGGCCTAGAAAGCAAATATGAAGGGCAGCCAGCTGTGTCGAACTTCTATTTGAATTTCCATTCTAAGCAAATTACATCGAGACTTCAAATGTAGTTTGTCTCGTGTTACCCAGACACAGCACGATCTTACCAAGGAAGATCATATCTCTCTCTCTTATTATTCTTAGCATATTATTCAAGTCCTGTTTCTATTTGAATCATCGTGGACATTACATGATCTCATTCCTTATTTACATTCCTTATTAATCTCTATACTATTTCTTACGAATTATTTAATGTCGACAAATTCAGACATTGATGTGTTAACTAATGGTAACCTACAACACAAGCACACTCTGAAGACCGAATAAAATAACTTTTTCGAAAACTCATGTGCTGATACTAATAGATTGGGTTCAGAAATTGCAATTTGGCAATCAAGTAGATTGTAAGTGCTTTATACAAAAAAAAAGTTGATTAGCGTCTGAATATTTTGCTTTTTATTCTGTTGGTGTAGCCAACCTGCAGTTTGCTGTATCTGGCGAGTCTACAAAGATTGAGATTGGTGATATCCCTCCTGATATCTTTTTTACACCCGAAATGAATTTTGACTCAAACCCCACTCAACTCCCAACAATAAGCATGTATGTAATACAATATATATTTTGGATGTTTTTTTCTTGTTTTTCTTTTTCTTTTTAAAAAATGTTAATATTAATATTAATGTTGTTTTATATTTATATTTATATAATCCATTTTAACTAGACAACCATCTTCTACATCCGACTCTTACTTAAACACAATCCTTGGTAACCAAACCTCTACCTCCAAAAATCCTTCTTCCACTACACCCAAAAGTGCAACCACTCCTACAGCTCCTTCCTCAGCATGCGAAGGATCAGATACATGCTCTTGCTATAAATGTCAACGCCAGCGACGACGCTTAGGTGCAAAGGGTAGATTAGCTACTCAATCACCAGCACAACGATCCAATTCAGTAAATACTAGCCCAACTACTATGCAGACTTTGTCACCTCCAACAATTCAGCGTTCTCGATCATTTGCTACACCCACGACAACACCTGTACAACCACAAAAAACAAGACAAAGACAGACAAGTTTGCTGATACGTAAAAAGCCTGACGTCTTGTCCTATGAGCAACACATGCCAAAGCCTGTATATTCTTTAGAAGATAGCATCTATGGAGTCAAAATACAAGCTCCACGCCAAGACGACAGTCGTTCAAAAACATTTGTTAGTGACAATACAAGTAAAACAAGTAATCAAACCGAAAATTACGAGATATCATGGAAAGATGAGGAGGGCGATGATTTGTTAAAATCTCTTCAAACTTTTCAAAGTATCTTTGACGAGAAGGCTGAGCACGATGTTGATGGTCTTTCGGATCTTTTGGAAGAACGAGCTAAGCAGCTCAAAGAACGGCAGGAACAGTCCCTCAAGGCCGCACTTGAACCAAAACCTCCACAAAAACCCTCTCGTCGACCAGACTGTTTGACACTCAGTTATCGACAAGGGCCTTCTCACAAGCACCTGACTCTTTATCATCTCATGAAAATGCCTGGACCTGCCCAGCGTGTAGATGCATATGGTATTATTATCATTTTCTCATCGGTGAACCTTATAGATTAGGATAGCTAATTCCTTGTTATTTTATATATATATATATATATATATATATTGGTGCTGATCTTAGAAAGGGCGTTTAGTCACTGCGTACGCTCCAACAGTGGATTGGCGAGTTGGCTAGAGCGACAGTCTAACAAAGAGCCATCTGATATGATGAAGAGTAAGACATGACCTAAGATTTAGTTCTCTCCTTTTATTATTATTATTATTATTATTATTATTATTATTATTATTATTATTATTATAATTATAATTACTGATATTTCATATGGTTTTGGCAGGTTATCACCCATCTCAGCCCAGAAGGACTCACAAGAGATTGCTGCACGCAATGCTGCCAAGCAGTCGAAAGAATCGAATCGAGATGGCAGATGATCTATTTTCACGTACACTTAGGGCTTCTGATACTTTGCACCAGCCTAAATTGAGCACACAAAGTGTTCCTACACCTACCGATATTTTATCTGTTGCCCACGCACTTCTTCCAAATCAATCTCTTGCTTTTATGAGCCAAGATTTGGATCGAAATAACACAGACATAAAGGCATATGATCACATTGACCGACCAAGTAAACCGGTATTGCCACAAAGCGGCCATAGTAGTGGAAGTAGTAGTCCTTCAAATCATGTTGAGATGCTGACTGTAAGATCATTTTCAGTAAGCTTATATATGTAGATTTGTAGATAAATATCTACTTGTGTACTTGTGTGTATGTACATGTATATTTGTATATGTGTGCATGTGTGCATGTGTATATTCTATGGGTCTCACATGTGCTAATTGTTTGTATAGCCACCCGGAACACGACAACTTTTTGATAAGGATCAAGGCAAAGATAATGCTAGTATTTCTTCAGGAAGTGTAGAAGGGGATTCAAAGGCAACACGATCCAGTCGATTCTTTGCTTCGTTTGGTAGAAAGTCAACTCGATCAAAGACAATCGGACCTTCTTCCATTTATTCTTTTGAGACTGTGGATAGTGTAAAGGTTAGATTTTGAAAAGAGCTGTACGATCAGAGATGAATTATTAACATGAGACTATCAGGTTTCTTATTCGCCTCAAAGTATGGCTAGAGCCCATACGGATTCTGCTGTAGGAGGTGTAAATACTAGACCTACACATGAAAAGGCTTTGGATGACCTTTGCAAGATAATGCCTCATATAAAACGTTCTGTCTTGGCTGAGTACGTCGGTGAGGCAGGAGGAGACTATATGAAGGCTTTACTGTTGTGCAAAAATGCAGTTACTGCTGGAAAACTGTGATGATAATCCTTTTCATCGTTAAAACTAAATTTACTTACAAATACATACAATACAATACAATACAATACAATATAATATAATATAATATACACACATACATACATAATACATACATCCACACGCATAGGTACAATTTTTAAAATTGTATTATATTTTGAACTTCTTTATTTTCTGAAATGAAATAAATTATATAATCATTGTTAACTAGTAACTATTAGATAAAGAGTCGAATTATTTGATTCTTCTTCTTATTATTATTATTATTATTATTATTTTATTTGCATGGGCTTGTGTAGGTATGTTTAATATGAGCGGGGCTTTGGTGACGAGGGACTGTACATGTTGAGATGGCAGGGATTTGTTGAATGAGGATAAGTGGCTTGTCTTTTTTCGCTATTTTTCAACATATATATATATCTTTTAGCGTCTTATAAGAGTAAGGAACTCTTCGCGGGTTTTCGGGTTGCTTCTGAATACACCCATCATACAGCTTGTAGTAGTTGCACTTCCAGGTTTCTATATAAGATATTAGTGTCAATTCATTGTACTATTTCTCTTAACACAATGTATTACCTGTACACCACTGTAGACATATCATGTATGCATATATTTAAGATATTAGCCAAAATATACAAACTTAACCAGAAATTGGATTTTTAAACCTACCGCATACACATGCACAAATGTGAGCACTCAACCACTACGGCAACACCTTGTGGTTGAAGAATTTCCATCAATGCGGTGGCAACTTGCTTGGTCAATCGCTCCTGAACTTGAAGTCTGTGTACCCCGATATCAGCCACCAATATAAATTTGGCCTTACAAAATCATAGCATCTGCCTCCTTACCTCCGAGAGAACATCTCTGCGATCCGTGCCAATTTACTTAAACCAACCACACGGCGGTTAGGGATATAGCCGATGCTTATTTTGCCTGTGAACGGAACCATGTGGTGTTCACAGAGCGAGAAAATGTCAACATCCTTAACAATAACCATTTCATCGTGGTCTGGCATAACAGAAACAACGAATATTGATATGTATATAATTAGCTCTTGTCAGTTTCATTGTCACTGCCAATTCTTAATTTACCTTCTTCAAAAACAGCTGCATTGAGAACATCTGGATACAGAATTTGGTAAATAATAATATAAAAATTAAAGAACAACTCATAATCGGACTAACAAGAATTCCTTTTATTTTTCTTTTTTCTCACTCTCTCTCTCACCTTTAATATTCTCCTCATATCCCTTTGTGAAGAACATAAGAGCCTTTGCATATCGCTCCGGTGTCTTGAGAAGGCCTTCTCGATCAGAATCCTCACCGATACAAGTCAATATGGTCTCAACAGCACCGGCAATCTTGCGGACACGTTCCGCCTTTGCCTCTTCGGACTCGTCTCGGCGATCTCTGGCTCCCTTGCCTAAATAGACAGTAAGTAGATGAATAAAGACTAACAATGAAACTCACTTGGCCAGCTCAGACCGTCCATATCGACGGGTGTGCCCTGCCTGCTAGGGTTTGCTTCGGTAGATTGAACAATAGGTCTCAATGGGCGGAGTGGCTTAGGCTCGACAAGAAGTCCGGTATTCTCGAGAGACATGTTTAATAGACGGAAAGAGAAGGAGATAGCGATATAGAGAAAAAAAGAGAGAGAGATAAATAGATTGATAGAAAGTGAGATGAAGATGCTTTACCGGCGTGACAGTGATATTGAAGTTTGACTCACGCCTGGAGTGCGTCTGGAGCTGATTGGCTCAATACCTAATTATTATTCGCACGGTATCCCCGCTGCAATAATATGTAAAGAGACCCTCGATTTGGAAGACTCAAAAAGGGGTCTCTATATGAGGACATGCACTTCTTTGTTTCTTCAGTCTTTCATTAAATCGCATCTTTCTCTCTCTTTTAATTTTCTCACCCTCTTCAATGTTGCGTCTACCAACTGAAGTGCTTCTCTCAATCCTTCATCTTGTTAAACAAGACAATCATCTGGATTTGTCCTCTATTGCCAGGTAAAGTGTAACACAGCCAGCCGACTGATTGGCCCTCAATCTATAAAGCCCGATATACTGATGAGATGTCTACTTGTAGCACCTGTCGCCACTTCCAGGCTTTGGTGGCCGATATTTCTGTCTGGGCTGGCGCGATCAAGATAGATGACAATCCATATTCCCCATATTCATATACCACGCTTGTCAAAGCATTGGACAGCGCTGACCTAATTCGCACTAGCCAAATTGCTATGGCTTTATCAGACAAACACGGTCCACAATTTCTGAATCTCTTGCTCAGCAAACAAGCTCATCAAACCCCTCTCAAGAGTGTGCTTCTTTATGCACCTGCTGCCCAGCACAGTCAGATTCTCCAAATCTTTGCAAATAAGCCAACTGCTTGGCAAGAATGTGGATTGAGAGATCCAGAAAACCCCTTTTACGTGCTTGATCGACCAGAAAAAATCAATTGGTTAAAGGGGCTACCTTATCTACACTCCCTTGATCTGCCTGCCTGTCCGGCTCATTGGCTGTTGGGCTCCTCATTTCCTAATGTTCACACGTTAACAGCTGCATTATTACCTTGGAAAGCTCATCTGAACGAAGATCCTCGCGAAAGACAACAAGCCTTTTGGACTGAGTTTCGAGCCTCTTTTCCCAAACTTTCTAATTTAACGCTCTATATTGCGGACCCAAAAGCGTTCTCATTGTTTGTCGCAATGTTTTCCAATGCAAGGAGCTTTCCATGGCTAGAGAGTGTGACCGTAGTTGGTCTTGAGGACCCAAAGCAGTACATAGAGCATCAGACATTGATAGATAGTCTGATGCGCCTAGAAGGTCTGGCGAGGATCAATGCAGGATGGGACCTTGTGGCTCTGCACAAGTAAAAGTCGATGTGCATGCATATTCGGTTTCAAAATAGTCATTAATTCTCTTTCGGTGATTGAGAACCATCATTTTCTTTGTATAGATTCATATAAAAAAAACTTCATTATTTTACACTAATCCCTTACCCTTACCCTTCATAATCATCCTTGTTTTTCTTTATTATCATTATTAAAGTATATATGTGTACGAAATTTTGGTATTCTCTTGATCAGGTTAATGGTCGATGCAACTGAAATGTCTTGCTTATCAATACTGACTGGACAAGTATTAATCACATTCTCAGCCACTTTGTGGTTTTTGTCAAATGGGTAATAAGACTATGGTTTGGAGATGTAGATTATCTTCACATCTGATCCAAATGACTTGCTCTTGCTCTTTATATTTTGAATATATACATAAATATATAATGCGTTTGTGTTTGGGTAAATAAAATAAAAGGATCAGCATTTATTATGACAAAAGGACATATAAATATAGATATAGCTTACATTATTAACATTGGTACAAGTGTTGGTGATGCATATGATTGCTCCAAGTTTGATAGCTAACAAATAAGTAGACAAGCACAGAAGCACACTTTTATAAATACAAACGCATGTCTATTTAGATTTATCATCCTAATCCTAATCATAATCATAATCCTAATCTTAATAGTGATAATAATAGTAAGTAGAAAAGGGGGGGTTAAGGGGGACTATGTGATTACAAGAACAAGTATTGTACCACAGCATTAGAATTTTGAAGTCTGTCATGACTACAATTGTGCAACCTTGAATCACCAAGGCACCAAATCACCAATGGACCAATGGACCAATGGACCAATGGACCAATGCACTGATCACCAAACGAGAAAACAACTGTCTTCAAAATGTACATCAATATCTTAAGACGTCATCGAACTACTCGAATAATAAGACCTAGCTTATTCGTTCATTTTACTACTTTGGATTCTTGGAGAATTCTTTATGAATAAGAAATAAAGCAAGAAATAACAAAGAAAATCAAATAGCTGCTAAGCCAAAAATATAAAAATATAAAATTCATTGCATGCTCTCTACTAGTTTGATATCAACATGAATACCAATATAAAAATATACGTTATATTCCCTCACATATAGTCGTATAGCAGTAGCCTTCTCTTTTCTCTCTCTCCTTTGTATTCATAAAAAATTAACGAATCTTAAAAGCCTTTTTCTTTCATTTGATTTTGCTCACATATCGAAATCTGCTATGCTTCCAATTCCAACCATGGTAGATTCTACTATTACCACTGCCCTTTTGGCTCACTCAGTTAATCACATCCACGTACCGAGAGAGAATATCAAATGGAATCTTCCTTTTTGTTACCCACTCATACCTCAAATAAAAAGAAAACTAAAAATGCTACTTCCAACCACAATCCATTGAATTAGCCTGACTTTGTTCTTTTACTATCTATTCCCTTTTTTTTTCTCCTCTTTCATTATTACCATTACTATACCTATTGCTATACCTATTGCTATTGATATTATAATTATCATTCTTGTACTGTGTTTTATTTAGAAATAATAATAACACCATCATTTATTTTTATATTCTTATTGCCCCATATACTAATCATATATTCTCGCGTAAATCAAGCTTATAATCATAATCATAATCATACTCAATATTCCCGTCCTGTCCCAGCTCTTGTTCTTTTAACTTTATCGGGCATTTATCTATAATACATCATAGGATGACAAAAGAACTCGATGATCATCAAGAGAACTCGCCAAATGAAGACACAGAGATAAAAGGGAAAACACCATCCAAAGAAAACATCGAAGAATGGGCCACATTTGACCAGGAATTACAAGCATTTGACTCAAATATCTCTTCCCACTCAGAATACCTTAGTGCGTCAAGTCAAAGCAATACAGACCAGTATCAGTCTTCGTACAACTTCTTACAACCAAGCCCAGATAATGAAAGTCCAAAAAACGTAGCTTCCGATAGACATCTTGACGTCCAACACTCCTCGCCCGCTCCCAGTCAAATCCCACAGATAAAACCAAGGAATCCATTAAGGATCGACACAAGCAGAGCAGGTGTACCTAGAATTAACGCCGTAAGGGCCGATGTGGCTCTTAACAGATCGGAGAGTGACCCCACAGACCGAAAAGGCAAACGACCACTTCGACAAGTCTTGAATTGGGCACCAAGTGGATCAAATCCAATAAAACACCGCATTCCATCCGTTACATCTAATCCACTCACATCCGGTCCCTACAGCAATCTGTGTGCCAGTCAAAATGACTCTGATGCTCTTGCAAGACAAGCACGAATCAGAAAAGCACACATGGCTTCTGCTGCTGCTGAATGTATGGTAGCAGCTGCAAAAGTAGCTAAGGCCAGAAAAATTCACGCTGCCGCTGATCCTTCATCTGTAAGCTCACCCAGGAAGAATAACAGTCTTCAAGAAGTACCTTCCGGTAGTCAATCTGTAGCAGAGGTACCGGAATGGTCCGACAGCGACACCGTGACAGATAGCAAAACAAACTCGCTCGAAAGCTCTCCAATTCACACTCCACGCCAAGACGATACACTCCCAAAGAGCCCAGTGTCCGATACACATGGAACTCTAGAAATACCTGTGGAAAGCTACTTTGAATTTTCTCCGGAAGCACTCGGGCAAGCTATTGTTATGGAAGTAGATAACAGGACTATACAGAGAATTGTAGATCGAGTCTTGGCTGATGCTGCACTAAGATACTCTAGCGAGCCAAAAGAAATAGTCGTAGACAAGAGCGTTGCTTTTATCGACCCGGTTGATAAGCAAGTTGAAGAAACCCATCAAAAGTGTGAAGTTTCAGAGTCACCAAAAGAGATGTTGGAAGTCTTTGATCTTTCGCCTTCAAAAGACCCTATATCTACCAGTGAGGCATGCGATACCAACACAATTGGCGTCGTCAAACCATCAAATATTTCACAGCATAATAAAGGCAACTCAGTACGTTCTCATTCATCTCAGGTCTCCAACGAAAATCCAAAGCTTTTAAGAAATAGTGGATCCACAAATTCGGGGACTAAAGTTCCTTCACCTCAAGAGAAAGTCGAGGAAATAAAAGAGAATGATGAAGCAACATTATTAAAAATGGCTTTCGAATCTGCCAGGACTAACAAACGAATGAGTGCAATAAAAGAATTATTGGAGACAGAAGAAAGCTATGCTAAAAAACTAAGCAATTATGTTAGAGTAAGCAGTTTGTATTCAGAAAATGTTAATATAAACATATGAAATACACCTTTCAATATTTCTCATATTTTTATATTTATACATATAGCATTTTCTGTTTCCAATCCAACAAAAGAATAATATACCTGACGATAAGAAGCAGATACTGCTGCGAAATTGCTCTCAAATTCACCGCTTTGAAGAAGATTTTCTGGTCGCCTTACAAAGCGCTCATATGACTAAACAAAGCACATTGAATGGCCATATACACACTGGAAATATTATTGCAATAGCCCGTTGCTTTATTGAATGGGTAATTGGGATAGATGTATCTTATTTTGCAAGAGCTAATATGTCACAATAGGGACCTCGTTTTGAAGTTTACATTGAGTATTGTGTAAATCATGATGATGCGTATCTCTTGTACAAAGAATTATTGGAAACCAGTGACGATTTTTCCAAGATGATGGCCCAGCTCCACGCAAAGAATCCTGTCGCATTCCGAGGAAGTCGGCTCACTATGACTGATTATATGATGATGGTAACTTGATATTTGATACCTTACATGTATTTCTGTTTAATTTATATATATATATATATATGTGTGTGTGTGTGCGCGCTTTTATTTCTTTATCTCTTTATTTATTTTCTTTTAAAAAAAATAGCCTATTCAACGCTTATTGCGTTACAGGATTTTGTTACAGACAATTACAAAGGCCACACAAAAAGATACAGTAGAGTATGAAGAACTTTCTAAAGCCCAAGACGCAATGCACAAGATAGCAAGCAGAATCGATGACGAAAAGGCCCGTGTACAAGCTGTAAAGAAGACAGGAATGTTTTTATCGCGAATAGAGTCAGACTCGGTAAATATTACTAGAAAAAATACATATAATGGTATATTTATGGTCTAATACGTATATGATAGTCTTTACCTGAGAGATGGTATAATGCGCTTGGGGTTTGTGTGCTTATTGGTACTTTGGAAGTACGGAGTGATACAAACAGCATGCGTATCAAACGACTTGGGTGTGCTCTTTTTGACAATTATATGATTATTGTCAAAGGAAAAAAGCCAAAGCGATATCAGCTTCAATACTGGTTTCCTCTCAGAATTTTTACTGTAGATCCAAATGGTGATATTGAGTTTTATAAAGAAGATATACCATTACAAATATTAACCAATTTTACACTTTGATCTATATATATATATATATAGGTGGACTAGATCATGGATGGACAATGTTGAGTGATAGATACACGTTTGATTTTGGTTCAGTGTGCGAGCAAGAACGGATCATCTGGGTAGAAGCACTAGGAAAAACAATTGAACAATCAAAAGTTCGATATGAGCAGTTACAAGAGGAGGATTGCCTTGAGCATCTTTTTGGATCTTCTTTTGATATCGAGCGACCTCTTCACCGTAGAGCATCCACCGTTCATAGCTCAAACTCATTTGCTAGCATATCCAGTCTTGCTTCACACAAATCTCACAAGTCCTTAAGTGAAGCTGCTAGAATGGAGGCTGATACAATTCTACATTCAACAATTGATGAAACAAGTATTAAATCTCACTCAAGTTTTCACGATATACAAGAGTTCTTTGCCAATAGTGTGTCCGGAAAGTGGGGATATTCTAAGCAGGTTCAGGTTACCCAGAATCAGCAGGCAATAGATCATAGGTTTGAAGACGTTTGCACAACTCCTTTATTGAAAGCACGATGTCAGGCCATACAAGACCGAGCAAGTACTTTCAGTAGCTGGCGCCATCGATCGTACGTTTCAAAGACGCCTTCGGTTCTTTCATTCCGTCACATAGAAGAAAATGGATATTTTGGATCGGCATCTTCTTCTGTCACATCTTCACCTCATCCACTTCCTTCTAGTAACCGTGCCACACCTGTTGCAACAAGTCCTCAATACCGAAATTTCGGAGATGGACTTATGAGTGCAATTCAGCGCAAGACATCCTTACCTATCCGCCCTTCAGTGTCGACTCCAAAAGAAAAAAAGATGGGCCACCGACAGGCTATGCCTCCACCTCCTACCCCTCAGCGCCCCCAGGCAATACAGAACGTATCATTACCCTGTGCATATGATGATGAGAACAGTCTCGAGAAAGCAAGCCAAAAGAAAAGTATGATCTTTAAGTTATCACAGCGTCCTCAAAAGCCCGTCGAAAGATCTGGAGGAGATAAAGAATCCTCTGGCATGAGTCGAGTCCCAAGTGCAATTTTTGGGAAGTTAGCTGTCCGATTAGGAAATCTTGGGGCACCTCTTAGACAAAGGTCTCATGCCAGTTCGTCTACTACCTCTGTTAATGTGATGGCATTATCTCTGAGCTCTTCTGAATGTCTGGAACATACAGAAGGGGATAACTCTGGATCATTTGAAAAGAAAAAGGTATGCCAGACAACAAGATTGATTAACCAAAGCTACTTCTTTATTTGTCTATTAATCGATTTATTCTTTAATTCATTCATTATTTATGCTTATTTATTTACTTGTTATTCTAGCAGCGTCTTAGTAGACTCGCATTGTCTTCTCGTAGCTCTACCATGGAACAAAAAGCATCATCAAGTACAAAATCCGTCATAAGCCAAGCAACGGGCCACAGTGGTCTTCCACCTTTGCCTTCTAGCAATACAAGTCTCAAATTATCTGTTGAGAGCAGAAGATCGTCAAAGAGTGGTATCGTGTCTTCTCCAGATATACAAGAAACAGGATCCACCAGGGCAGAGTCATGCGAGTCGGGCTCGTCCTCTAATTCTCTACCAATAACAAACACAACCGAACCACGTCGATTTAAAAATCTTCGTACTCGTCTTTTCGAATTTGCTTCACCTCTTCAAAAGCGAAACAAACCTTCCTAAATCGCTCAACTTCTTTTTCTATCCTTTTTAATTTCCATTTTTTCTATTCCTTGTATGTTTTTCACTATATATATCCATACCCAATGTATATTTCATTGCACTAATAATAATAATAAAAAAAAGGCCAATGACGTACAATAAAGCTATCAAAAGCCAATCACGTGCCTTACTATCAAAGTACTTGAAACATACTTGATTTTTTTTTATATTAAAGCTCTTTGGTCTTTTTGATATTTTCCATTATTTGTTTGTTAAGTTAATAATAACAATAGCACAATAAAGTCATGTCGCGCCATAGAGCTGTTCGTAACCTTGATCTCGATGGTAAAGTGAAATTTAGATCCCAAATAAAAATAATACTATAAAATAATACTAATAACTTTAATTATTTGACAGACGTACTCGATGATGAATACGATGACGATTATAACGAGAATGCATGCAAGTATAAGCACATTTAGATCGTTTGTTTGATTCTCTAATTCAATCTATAGTGGATGAAACCGAGCTTTCCAATGAAGATCTCGAGGCATTGGACGAGGGCCTCTCGTATGTTTACAGTATAGTCGGAGACAACTGCCCTCTCACTGACGTAGAGATCAAAGAAGCGCTGTGGTATTATTATTTTGACAAAGAAGAAACTATAAACTGGGCAATTTGTAAGTATAATAATATTATATATATAATTTGCTAAACCCCTTCTTCTTTGTGCTGGTTAGCAACTATAACCGAACGTAAAGCAAAGGAAGAAAAACTCAAAGCCAAGGCAGCCAAGGCCGAGGCTGCAGTTGCATCAAAAGGTAATTGGGCTATATGTGTATAATCTAGATAGCTATTGGTAGGGCTATCTCTTTCTTTTTCGCTTGTCTTTCTTTCTTTTATTTTTATTGCTGCCTTGTTCCCCAAGAATTCTTTCAATCTATTATTACTTTTGTACATTCTTATGTGGTTGGAAGAGTTTGGATTGGGGGTGTCATTCTTTGCTTGGTGAATCATTAGAACCATCAACCTGTGCATTTTATTTTTCGATCAAGGTTAGTGATAGTTCAATCGACTGTGATATGTTTATCGTAACGTTTTATTTATTCATGATTGTCGAAAGAGAAAAAGTGGCCGTTTGTTTGACACTTCTCCTATTATATCTAGGCGATAAAGATCAATCTGCGTCTATCAAGAGAAAACCGCATTATCGTAGACCTCCTGCAAAACTGTACAGTGCAGAAAAAGATGCACAAATTACTCCTCCTTTGCTATCTGATCCAAAAAAATCGTCATTATTATCCCTTTCGGGAATACGAACACGTCCAACCTCGGCCGGATCTGGTGGTTCCAGTCTTCTTCAATTGCGAACCAAGATGGCAAACTCGACTATTAAATCTTCTGACCCGAAAAAAGAAATCCCAGCTGAAAAGACAGAATCCAAGCCAACATCGTTGCAGGCACTTGCTCAGAAATCAGCCAACCAGCGAGGAAAATCAGCGCTACAACATCTTGCCTCACGTCAGACACAGACACAAACACAAGCACAGGCACAAGCGCAGGCATCAAGCGCAGTAAAAACTCCAGCTGGTCAAACGTCTCTTGGATCCTTATCCCAAAAATCTAGCGTGCCAAAGGGTCTCACAAGCCTAGCTCATCTTGCATCACGCTCTAAACATAATGAAGAAGCCCGGAACCCATTAGCCTCACAAGGACACCCGGTTCAAAAACCAGCCTCTTCTAGTCTTGCTAGACTTGCTAAGCGGACAACTACAACAAACACTCCATCAGTTCCTAAACCTGACGTTCTTCCTAAACCAAAGCCGGTAGAACATGATGCAGAATTAAGAGTAAACGTACAAACAACTGAGCCAGTAGAGCCCATCAAATATGTTATTCCTCCGCCTCAACAAAACCCTTTGTGTGCACCACCTTCATCTACTGCGGAGTTCCTGTTTAAGAACATTGCTCCAGAAAGAACCAATCCTCGGGTCGATCGACTTGTTTGTTCGTTGCCCAGTACACTTGGGGGTGCTTTTTATGAAGCAATGCAATCGTCTGCTACTACTATTCCAATGTTCTCGTTTGACAAACCAAGTCCGGATGATATTGTGATGAATGCCCAAACCAACCGTAGTGGTGGAAAGATTAGGAAGGCTTGAGATTCTTTTTTTCTTACTAGTGTATATCTCATCTGCAAAATCCTATACCCTTTCCATGCACTCCAAATATTCGACATTTTAACGTCTTATCTTTATTTTCCTTTCTTTACTTCTATATTCTTTTCATTTTATTTTTCAACTAAGGCAGCAAAATATTTTGCATTTATTTTTTGGAGAGGGTGTGGAGAAGAATTGATGAAAAAGCAAACGAGGATTTCAAAGCAAACAAAAAAAAAGAAATATTGCATAAAATGATATTTATTTCTTTTCTCTATTTTGCTTTGGTGTAGCCTCTAAAGTAAATCAACAAAAAGAAGCCAGTCAGAAAAAAACAGTTAAACCCATTAAACCACAAGTTACCACTCACAAAGATGATGAAGATGTTGAATATTTGTCTGACGATCCTAATGATCAACTCTCGCAAGACATGGTTGCTCTTGGACTCGGAGATATAAACGCATCGGCAAAGCGAGTGGCACAATCCAAAATCAAAGAGGCAGGATCGAACATTTCTACACCAAATGGAACACCTGTTGATTCTCGCGCTTCATCCCCACTTGTAAAAATACATCCATCGAAGCGCATCGATGTGCTTGAGGAATATGCAAAGCGATCGGGTGAGAAGCCAAAACTGAACTTGGTAGTTATTGGTAAGTAGCTATATAGATTATCATTACTACTATTAAAATACAGGTGCTTTGATTATCTGATATTACATTGTATGAAAACAGGCCATGTTGATGCTGGAAAGTCTACACTGATGGGCCATTTCTTGTATGCTCTTGGTCAAGTTAATGAACGTACAATGAAGAAATACGAAAGAGATTCACACAAACTTGGCAAGGGGTCATTTGCGTTTGCTTGGGTATTAGATGAAACCGGCGAAGAAAGAGAACGGTAAGGCTAAGGCTAAGGCTAAGGCTAAGGCTAAGGCTATCAATAATAATACATTTTACGTTATTAACTATAAAAAAATGGACTTATATCCTCTCTTTCGTTCTCTCTAGTGGTATTACTATGGATATTGCCATGAACAGCTTTGAGACAGAGCATCGCAAATTTACCTTGCTAGATGCTCCTGGTCACCGTGATTTCATTCCAAACATGATTTCAGGCACAGCACAAGTAAGCAAGATGACATAAAGATTTTTTTTATTCTAGAAAACTTACTTATTATAAACGTACGTTATTAGGCCGATGTTGCCATACTTGTCGTAGATGCTACCACAGGTGGATTCGAATCCGGATTTGATGCAAACGGTCAAACAAAAGAGCACGCTTTATTAGCTCGTAGTTTGGGTGTGCAACAGATGATAATAGCCGTGAACAAATTGGATGTTGTATGTGTTCTTTTTTTTTTAAAAAAAAGATAAAGCTTATCAATGATTATAACACAATATATTTTAGATGGCATGGAGCAAGGCTAGGTTTGATGAGATTGTCGCCAAACTTGGATCATTTTTGGTTCAAGCAGGCTTCCGTAAATCCAATTTGACATATGTACCTGTCTCAGGCTTGACAGGAAACAATCTAATTGAACGCAGTAAAGATGCTGAACTACTTTCATGGTATAAGGGCCCTTGCTTATTGGAATGCGTTGGTAAGTCATGTTTTATATGAGGAAAATTTTGGATATATTGTATCTAGAACAAAAATATATATATAACAAGTATCATAGACACGTTTAAGCCCGCAGTGCGTCTTTTGGACAAACCATTCCGTATGGGAGTCACCGACTTCTTCAAGGGTGGAATTGGTAGTGGAGGAGGCGTATCTGTTGCAGGACCTATCGATTCTGGTAGTCTTCAAATTGGTGAACAAGTCATGGTAGTCCCTGGAGGCGAGATGGGTATTATTAAAGGTACGTTTGAGGACATAGGTAACTGGTATAGGATATAAAAATGCTAATCACTGCATATATATATTCCAGCTATGCAGGTTAACGACGAGCCAGCAAATTGGGGTGCTGCTGGTGACTCTGTACTAATGACTCTTTCTGGTCTGGATATTATGAATCTGAGGTAAACCCATTTACTTACATACAGCTTATTGTAATATTTACATGTCACACATATATTTATATATTTTTTCAGTACTGGATGTGTCCTTTGTTCACCTCTTCATCCAGTCCCTGTGACCTCAAGCTTTGTTGCGCAGATCATTGTGTTTGATATCAAGGTTCCAATTACATCTGGATTTCCTGTAAGTATTTTAATTTAGTAAAAAAGAATTGTTCTGATGAATGTGATTCTGGGATGTCATTTATAGGTTATTCTTCATCACCAGAGTCTGAATGAACCTGCTTCAATTACAAAACTTTTATCAACTATTGATAAATCAACAGGCGAGGTTCTCAAAAGAAACCCAAGGTAAAAATAAGAGTTGAATACAAAAAACAAAACAAGACAATCAACTCACCAATATTTTTTACGTGTTAAATTCATTTTGTTGTAGACATATATCAAAGGGAACAACTGCTACTGTCAAAGTCCAGCTAGCTAATCGTGCCGTTCCTTTGGAGATGTTCAAGGATAATAAGCAACTTGGGCGAATTATGCTGAGAAAGGGTGGCGAGACCGTGGCAGCTGGAGTTGTTATAGAAGTAAGTTGTCAATATTTGTATGAAAAACAAACATCTAATTTCTCCTCGGCATAAATTACCGTAGATATTGACCTATGGATCCTAAAGAGCTGTATAAAATACTATTTTTCCTACTTATATAATCAAAAGTCTACATATATTACACACAAAAGATCCGATACTTTTGTTTTAATCGATTCACAAAAGCACATAAAACATGAGTGAAATACACAATGAATATCACACTTTTTGAATTTGTTTCAATCTTTACTGCGATTTTGTCTCTTATTTATCTCACACCTGTTATACACCGCATAAATTTTATTTTAGAATACAAAGTAAACTGCACCGATCTAGACTAGACTTTGAGTGCGACGGCTTTTCTTACAGTAGAAGGTCACACTTTACAACTTAAAACCTTTTTTCTTTTTTTTCTGCAATTTACTCGCTCTCACTTAAATAAAATTCCGTCTTCTGGAAAATCTGCACAGTAAGGCCTTGACTATCAAATATGAGATCAAGCTCAATATACTCACTACAACCCAACATCTCATTCAACACTATCCTGCAATGATAGAAGCGTATGGTCCCCCCAGAGCGTATATTGCACGATCTGTCGAGAGGGCGATTGTGGAATACTCGCGAGCAATCAAAAGTAACTCGACTATTGGAATCAACTCTGGCAACATCATGCTTGGCTTGGCACAGGTCCGACAAATGGAGGTCAAACACACTACCACAATTACAACAGCAAGTCTCCTACAATGTGATCCCTCTGCTGGTTGGCCCATTGACCGAGAAGGTAGCAATGTTGGTACTGATTCTGACATTGAGTTCTGGGGGCCTTTGAGGAAAAGAACGATTGTTGATAGTTTTGGAGGCATTTCTTGTCTTCCAGAGCTTCTTCAAAAGTTCTACGAATCAAAGGGGGAAGAGTGTAGTATGATTGAAGCAGCCATTAAAACAAGCCGTAAGGCATTTGTAAATGGTTGTGTTATTGACTCTACACTCGACCATAATTGTGTAAGAGAGGCACATAACGTCAGACTTCAGGTTCAGGTTGATAAGAACCGCAACATACATTCTGCATACTCCCCGGTTTACAAGGATTTCTTCGGGAAAGTTGTTGTCTTTTTTGAGCACAAGCTCAACAACAAGAGATGGCCGCTTGCTCTTGTAGAGATTGCAGCAGTCCGTTTGGTGAATAATATACCAGCCATCAACAATGGGCAAATGAAGCCAAAGGTAGTTCACCTGGCAGATGTCAAAGAATTAGTTGTTTTGGTGAAGTCGGACGCAACTATAAATACAATAACAGTAACAACATATATAGTGTGGCCAGAGCTTAACTGCGGCCCAAAATTGTCACTTGGTTCTCTTGCAGACTTATAATTTGATTTCTTTCTTCTTGTAATAAATTCTTTCTTTGAAACTGTCTTTACATATTTTAGCCGAGCAACAAAAAGCTTAGGTTTAGTTTTCCTTTGTACTTTTGAAATTCAATAATCAATCAATCAATCAAGTACAGTTATAGACACTAAAAGGAGTACTCATTATATTTATCGGAGTTTCAATAACAAATATTCACTTTCTGGAGGAACGTATATATTGGCCTACACCAATAAAAATACAAGAAAAAATAATAAAAGAGAGAAGACCGGAAAGCTATATCATGGGAAGGTAGTCTCGTGTTTATCTTGTTGTGGTTATTAGGGAAGGCTGTGCATGTGTATGTGTGACATGATCTCTTCATTGCTACTAGTTTTATGCAGGGAAAAATTGTCATGGTCAGCCGACATGACAATGTTATCTTAACAAATATGGTTCAAAGTTGTTGTTTTTTGTATCATACGAGGCTACCTATCTACTTCTGCAAAATGTACCCAGTTTCCGGATCTAGGCTGTGTCATATTGTCTTTCATATTTTTACCCATATGATCTGGTGATATTTCGAATTAATTTAACTATTCATCTCTTTATCATGTTGATCTCAGACTTGCCATTCGAAATCATCCTACATCTCGCAAATTTCCTCCCTACCAAAGATCGCCTCACTTGTACGTCTGTATGTAGATCTTGGAAAGTTCCTCTCCAAGAATCCCTGTGGAGAACAGTTGACATATGCAACAAAACAAAACTTGATGCAATATGCGACATAACTAGTGACCAACACGATATATTTAAAATCAATGGACACCGTGTACACACCTTGAGGTTAGCCGATTGGCTCAGCGTAAACGACAGGCAATTTTATACTATTCAGAACCGTTTTCAGTACCTGAATCGCTTGTACGTTAGAATTAAAGTCCTGGGCGATATAGGATTCGATGATACAACAGATTGGAAACTGTCGAGGCATTTGAGTCAGTTGGAAATATATATTGAGGGTCTGACCCCTGTGGCCAAAGTAAACACTCTTTTCAAGATCCTGTCCTTCTCACCATCTATTATACGATTGGAGTACATCAAATATTACTATCCTCGAGGAATCACTTATACGCTCGAAGATTTCGAAAAATTGCACACTCTTTTACCACAGCTACAATACCTGTCTCTTGATGCTGAATTTGATATTCCTTTTGAGGATCTAACCAAAATATCAACCATAATGCCTGTAAACGACCTGACTGTGGTGAAACTCAGAATGACAAACCTAAGTTTACAATCACTCTACTATTTCCTTCACAAATATCATAAACTACGCACCCTGGAGCTCGATATTCTTTCCAATTCAAACAGATCACATTTTGATCGTAACGAAATACTACCCATGTTTTCAAGCCTTAATTCTGTTTTCCCTTACCTCGAGAAAATCATCATAAAAGGCCCGACAACTTCTGGATTTGCATTTATTACATTGTGGAAACTTATCCGGCAATTTGATACACCACTTAAACATCTTGTCTACGACATAAGTTCTAGAGTCTTTACGTCAGACAGACCAGCGGGAGCAATTATCGAATGTATACGCTACTGCTCAACAACTCTAGAAACGATATCTATATTTGGCGATGTTCGTTTCTCTTATCCACACATGCTTCCATTAGCACTTGGGCTTTGTCACCGACTTGTCGCTCTAAATTTCGGTGTAAATTCTAACTCAATTGCACTGGATGACCTATTGGATCATTGTACAAGCTTGAAAAGATTGCGCCTAAGCGCTAGACGTCTTTATACGAAATCAAAATCTCCCAATGGAGCACCAATACACAAACTACAGATCCTTGAAACGACACATGCCATGATTGAAGTCTCTTTATTCTCTTATTTATCTTGCCGGTGCAAATACTTGAAGTACCTGCGTATGGCCGACGCAAAAGTGTTTGGACAAGTATCTAGAAGAACCGGAAGTCTTTGTATTGATATGTTCAACTCCCGTTTTGAATTGCTCCAACTCAACTCGGTCTGCTTTTATGGAACCAATAACTTCACTTGTGATGAAGAGGCTCTTATAAACCTAATAGCTCTTACTGGTTCCGATAGTCAACAAGCACATTCTACTAATAGACGAGATACTTTGATGCCTATCAATGGATCGTTATGGTACCATACCCATTTCCATTGGGGGGATAAAAGCGAATCAGAAGAAGTACAGATGCTAGAAAACAAGGAAGCCGAGCGTATTCATAGACACTTTCGCAACTTTCGGTATAAGAATGAAAAAATTAGCTACCAAATGGAACTTCAGCGTTATTCTCATGGAATAGCAAGTCAACAAAGCTGGAAGAACGATTTTTCTAGAGGATACGTTGCTTTTTGTTGTGGATATGTAGGTAAACATGTCATTAGTACGCTTCCGTTCAATGACGATTCTTTATGGAGAAAGCTACACGAAACACTGCATTGAAGATAAAAAAAAGATGTACATTGATTGATATAAGCTATGAAATTATATGAACTTTAAAATACAGATATATCTATCCCCTTTTATATTTATTATCAAATATATATATATTGGCATTACAGTTGTTTAGCAAGCACCTTTATTCTTGAGAGGCTTGATTCAATATTGCTGAGCAACAGTTAGGAAGTTTCCTAAAAAGGGCATGGATGGTTACATATACATATACATACATGAATGCATAGAAAGATATATCAATTCCATGTTGGCTTAGATGTCCAAGAAAAGATATTTTTATGATTATTTGTGTGAATTATTTCCTAGTAAAAGCATGGCTATCATGTATCCAATACACACAGTATTGGCATTTATTGTGTATGTTCCATGGAATGCAGCAGGCACAACAGGCCACACAATAGCTAATTATAAAACCTTATAAAGAGTGCCCTGTTTGATTGAGTGGCGTACGTTGTGTTTAATTTGGAGAATTTATAAAAAGAATGGCTTTATTAAAGATGAGAAATTCAAAACGTGAGACCTTTCTGTTGGTGTCCAATAGCAGGTGTGTTTTGCTTCTAAAAATGGAGTCGGCCAATGTTCCAATTAAAATGGACTCCTTGTCGGAGATATAAGTAAATAAAAATAAGCATATGGAAGGGATGAGGCTGCGAAGACCACTCTTATTCATCTTCATCTACACAATGTTCTGGCGCAAGAAAGATAAAACTCCCAAGAACCCCTTCGAGGAGGACAATGCCTCTCAGTACTCTCAGTCTACCCAGTCAACCAACCCTCCATCATATGTATCTACACCCGAACCTACCTCAAATCAATCATACAGTGAAGAAAGCTATTCTTCTGGTGGAAGATATGGCTCAAGAAAGAACCAAGATACAAATGAAGAAAGTGCACGCAATGATCTCTTTTCAGGTGCTGCACCAAGCAGACGCTACAACTCATATAATGATCAAGATGAACAAGACGCATATGGCTCCAGCCGCTTTGGTCAGCAGCAACAAGAAGAGGATCAGGAGCAGGAGGTTTCTGGTTTAAAGCAACAAATCCGCAACGTCAAGCAGGAGTCTCTTGCAAGTACCCGCAATGCTCTTCAGAAGATTCATGAGACTGAGCAAGCCGCAGCAAACACAATGAACCTCTTAGGTCAACAATCAAGTAAGTGTGACTGGATGTGTATCAGAGTTAATCATCGGAGTGGCTCATCCGTTTTACCCTTTGTTATTGTTTAGCCCAAATTGCCAATGTCGACCGCAACCTCGATCTTTCCAAAGCTTATTCTGATCGTGCAGCTGCCCAGGCTTCCGAACTCAAGCAATTAAATAGATCCATTTTCATCCCTGTCATATCCAATCCGTTCACAAAGGGTTCACGAGAACGCAAGGAGTTGGAGGCTCGTAGACAGGATCATGCCGAACATATGAATGAGAGAGAGGATATTCGTCAGTTTGAGTATGAGTCTCAGGCACGTGTGGAAAGTGCACAACGCCAGGCACAGCGTGGTCCTGGAAGCAACGGAGGTTATCGCAGAGGAAGATCAGATGAGGATAAGAGACGCTATCAGTTTGAAGCCGATGAGGAGGATGATGCGGTAGAAGATGAGCTTGATGAAAACTTGGATCTTTTGGGTGATGCTACCTCAAGAATTAAGAACATGGCGCTTTCAATGAGGGATGAGCTTGACAGCCAGAACAAACATTTAACCAAGGTTACTGAAAAGGTCGATCCCATCAGCGAGAGACTTGTCATGACAACACACAAATTAAACAGCACAAAATAGTTTCCAATAAACAGCATATTTTTTTTATTTCTTTCTGTCCTTTTATTTATTTATATATATATTCAAACATCAACAACTAAGCTGTTCAATTCAATTCAATTCAAGTCTTTATTCTGGCAATAGAAATATTGTATGTTTTACTCTTTGTCTTCCTCCATGTATTCTGGGTTTTTTCGCAACAATACAATGCCTTCCAGCACAGGAGCCAAGCATATGTCTGTAATTAAATAATTGTATTAGTTACCATGAAAAATATATATTATTCTATTTTTTCTTTATAAAGATAAGCTAAAACTAGACACTTACATTCTTCTGTTGCCAGCTCGGCACGTTCAGAATGAGCAAGCAACACTGGAGTAGAATGTGTCTGGAAACCAGTAATGGTCTTTGGTCGACCTGCTTGTCCTACCACATCAACAGCCTAAAATAAAACCATGCATTATATGAGTTTAGTGAATGTTCAGTTTAAGTTTACAATTTTTGAATTACCTGTCCAACACGAACAGTGACAGGGAGGCTGTTAAGGTTCTCATCAAAAGTGATCAAGAAGCGAGGGTACATGGCAGTGACAAGGGAGTATATCAAGTAATGAGATTTACCCAAAACAACTAATTATTTTCAAAGAAAAAAAAAACAAAAGCAAAAAAAAAATCCGTATTAGTAAATTTGAATAATTCAATCATTTCAGTGAATTTCTTACATGTCTTGTGGTCGGTGAATGCAATAATAGTAGTGAGCAAACCGGCCATGGCAACAGGCGACATTATTTGTCGATCAGTGTGGAAGGGGTTAAGAGTCATGGTTCCCTTGGCCATATGCAACAGGCCTTGTGCAATGCGGACAATAAACAAAGTCGTGGCATCCTTGTGGTAGAAGCTTGCGAGCTGTCTCAGCATTTGTGCCAGACGGGCGTTGTTTGTACCAGCACCGACAATACCCATGGCAAAGATTGCACTAATAGCTACCTCACTATCATTATCGTGGGAGTACTTGCTAAGAGTATCAAGGATGTTGACGAGAGGGTTAGAAGCACAGAGTAAACCTAATGCAAGAGGTACTGCTCGGCGAGTTACAGACTCTCCATAGTGCATCTACAATAAAAAAAAATAAGCAAACAATACGATTCTTATGGTAAAGTGTTAGGAGCTTACAAGGTGGTTAAATGTACGCAATGACATTTCAGAACCAATGTCTTCACCCATAGCAATAAGAGCAACGCCAAGAGTGGCGTAGGTCTGATGCGTATCATCCTCTTTCTCTTTATCCAAATGATCGTTGCAAAGGTGAAGCATCTTCTGGACCTTCAAGACATTTCCAGTTCCAGCATATGAAAGAGCTTCAACAAGCACTTCAGCCTGTTTGCCAAGAGGATGCTCAATAGTCTTGAGTGCCTCAAGTGTTGCCTCTGAAGCATCCTGCTTTCCAAGATACAAGAGACCAAGACCCAATGCCATGAATCTTGACCATGAATCCTTCAGTTCACTCTCTTCGCGCTCCATCATTGTCAACAAAATTGTGCTAGTGATATCACCGTTGGAAGTTCCAACAAAGACCATTCCAAGAGCAAGTGCGGCCATAGAAGACAACTCCATGGACAAGGCAGCGTCACTCACAATAGGAAGCAACAACTCGGCGATATCCTCCCGAGCAGATCCAGCATAAGCCAAACCAAGACTAGAAAGGATGTATAAGAAAACAAGATCGTAACGCTTTAAAAACATACCCAAAGATTGCAGATTGTCTAACGACCACACTGTTGTTATCCATATACTCGGAGAGCAATGCGATTGCAGGGTCAGATTCTTCTCTTACACCAGAGTTGAGAATACCAATAGCCAAAAGTGCACCGGCCTAAAATAGTTGGTTAGCATATACCCATCCACTTATCAATTTCTATAAAACACACATGCACTCACGCACCTTAATATTGTCATCCTCAACATACATATACTTGTCAATAACAGACAAGCCCATCTCAACATCCCAAAGGGAAATCAAACCAAGAGATGCTGTAGAGCTGATCATGCCTACCCACATCAAAGCCAAATAAGTATTTTTTTTTCTTTCGCCCCCCTTTACGTCTTTTAAATCATTTTGTTCGTACCATGGTCTTTTGTTTTGAAAATCCACGAGGTTGATTGTTCTTCTTCGTCGACCATTACAAGTTTGTCCTTCCCAAAACCAGCATTCACGAATGCATTTACAAAGGTAGAGGCCAAGTTATTTCTAGCAGAATCGACATTGGCGCTAAATGCGGTACCTATAATAATAAACATGAATAATCACTTTTCTCACTTCTATATAATGTTATCTTACGATGGTTCTCAAGATGGCTCTTGTAAATATCTTCGGGGACCTTGGGCTCTAGTACAGCCAATTCTTGTGCAAGAGCGATGAAATGGTGGGAAAGATGAGCATTGTTGAGGCACTCGCTGAGCTCAACATCGTCTGTCTCGATGTGGATCTGCTGTCTTGCCAACAAAAATGCCATTTGCTTCTTCAACAAACTGTAATACAAAATTTCGTTCGTTTTTAATACACACTTTCCTAGATATCCCATATTCTGCCCTTGAATATACATATTCTCTTCTCTTCCTACATTATTTCTTTACTTACGGATCAGGGCAAGAGTTGAAATCTTCCTTGATAAGATCCATGTCACCCATACGAATCGACAAATTCAATGCCTGGGCATACTTTTCTTGCTTACGGTAAATAACTCTTGCAGTCTTCATAAAAAGAACATCATCAGGAGAAGCAAGAAGATTTACACAGCTAAAAATAAACCGTGTTACTAGAGTTCGATTTTTTGTGGGTGCCTTCTTTTGTAATCTAAAACACACCCCAACATATAGAGACAGACGCGCTCATATGTATCCTTGTCTACAAACTGAGCAAGTTTTTCAATTGCTTCCAATCCAAGCAAAAGGTCAACAGCATCTGCTTCGGCATTGTGGTGAAGGAAGAAAGGAACGACCTTGAGGGCCAAGACAAGCAAGTCCTCTGTATCCTTTTCTTCATCGGTTCGAGTTTCATACTCCAACATAATTTCACCTGAGATATGTCTAACGTATTCATGTCCCCATGAGCCAATATCTTCTTCGGTAGAGCCGATCATACGGTAGTGTAGTGCAGCTCTTTCACCCTCTTCTGCATATGTCATTGAGAGAACAGAAAGAATATCGGCAAATAATTTCTGTACAGCTCTAGGGATTAATTTATTGAATCGACTATGTTTGCTCATCTCTACCTTGTCTCCAGATTCACTCCAGCTTTTATGAAGCTCCTTGAGTAAAGGGTAATGAGGGCTCAAGAATTTAAGGGGTTTAGGCACGGAGGTCATTGAGCTGGTAGATGTGCGAATCAAAGTACGAAGATGTTCTAAGGCAGGGCGATGGAGCTTGACATCCTTGTCCTATGTAACCGCACAGACATATATTTTTATTCATCAAACGGATGACCAGACTAAAACAAAATACTGGACGCGTGTCGTACCTGAAGTCTTTCTACAAGCAACTCGAGTTCGCTCTTCAATTGCTGATCCTCCTCAGACTAGATGATAATTCCAGTCGAGCGAATGCAATAGATAATATTGTTAATAGTACTCCAAAAGACAGGGAAGACGAAATGGAAATATGCCTTACCAACTCCTCTTCCTGCTCTTTTTTATCTGTCTTTCCTTGGTTTCCCTTGGTTTCGTCAACAGGCTTGGATTCATTTTTCTGCTGCTTTTCAGCTGGTGGCTTGCTGGTTTCCCCGTTTTTAGTGTTTACCATTGTTGAATAAAGGGGATCGATGAGGATAGGGCTGTCAAGAAAACCTAAGAGTTGCGCGGATGGGTATAGAAATGGACGCGCAATAGTGAATGAGCTAATTGCACCACAATGGCTTCCCGAAAACGCTATACGTAATTACAAGTGACGTCTCTTTCAATTTGTATCCCGACAAAGATTAAAAAGAGGTGGAAATTCATGCAACCAAAACCAAGACATTAAAAGAAAAGGACAGGAAGATATTAATAAACTATCGACATATTTATTGAAATGAGAAAACAAATTCTTTGCTTATAATTTTTCTTGGATTTTTTTTTCTGATTCAATAATCAGGATACTTGGCTTATATATATATTATTTTCTACTTGCAAAGATTAAAGTTGACTTTGGTCTTCAAAAGCCGCTTTTAAGAAATGATTATGATTATGATTAGTATTAGTAGTAGTAGTAGTATTTATTCAATGTAATAAATTATACACAGAATAGCTGTGTGAGACAATGCTACACTCGAAAAGTAAAAAAAAAGTAGAACTAGAGTTATATGTGAAGCGTATTTGGAAGAACTGGTAAAAATTACATTAGCCACAAGCTTCATCAATACTGCACTATATTATATACAAAATTGCTACGTACACTAGAGAACGAAAGAACAAAAAAAAACGAAAGAACAGAATAACAAAATAACAAAAAAGAACAAAGGGACAAAAGAGCAAAAGAATAAAAAAAGAAAGAGACAGGACCTACACACACAAAATATGCATATGCGTGTGTGTATATATAGAAATCTATTTACAGAATAGCAATGCTTAGTGCTTGCCCATTATCCAACCTTTTTGATACACCCGTTTTAGAGGTGTCATCATGGCAATTTGGGTGTCTCCTGGAAAAGAGGTTTCCAGGGTATTTTGACAAGATACGTTACTCGCAGAAGTAAGAGTTGACATTCCCATGTCCATCGGCTGGAATTTGGCTCCAGTCAACTTGCTGTGGCAGATCTTTAGAAAACTCTTTGAATTAAAGTCCATTCCATGTTCTTTTACGTAGCCCACCAGCTTAGGTTCCTCCATTATCTTAACTAATTCAAAAGGAATCTAAAGTACATATAAAAATATGATAAACAAACAGTGATTATTAATATAAATATTATTTTAATTTTAATTTTAATTTGCACGTATTTTAAGCTTACCTTGCGCAGGTCTTCTTGATACATAATCATCATTTCCACTACACGAATTCCATCATTTGCAGATTGATGGTTCTGTTCATGGGAGTTCTTTGAACTTGTACGAGAATAGAATACGCTTGGTGCAATTACACGAGCAAGATTGTGTATATTCATTTTATTGTCGTCGCTGAATGTAGAGACCCAATGAAGAAACATAAAAACGAGCTGCATAGTGTCTCTGTTCTCTTTTGGAAGCAAGCAGCAGACAAGGTGTAGAAACTCCTTTGAGCTGGCAGTATTTTCGATTCCTTTCAAAGATATTAGTCACACAAGTTTTTCTTTCATTAATTCTTTCTTTTGTGATATAAAGCTAAAACTCAGTAAAGCATGACCTACTTGATGAAGCAAGAAAAAGATCATACAGCTTAAATGTTAATAATGGCTCAGGAAGCTGACGCAACCAGCTTTTCAGCATTGCACCGAGCTGAATAGAAGATGCCTTGTCCATAACTTCGCTCAAAGGTTTTCCACCATCAATCGCATCACACTGGAATTTGAGTTCTCGAATGTTTCCATTTTTGCGAAAGATACCTTCGGTTGTCAAGTCTAAATATTCACAGGTTATTATCTCATTTTCCTTTTTTAAACATTGTCCAATTACCTGTTTGGAAGAGTGCGATAATGCAATGTTGTACAAATAATGGAATGTGAGTCGCGTTGAATAAATAAGGGGCAAAGTTTGGTGGGTAAGAGGTCAGACCGTCTCCTTTAACCGTTTCAGAAGACAGGTTTGGTCGGATTCGTGCCACCAGTTCCGAGAGAGGTACCTTAAATGTGATTGTTGGAGGGTTAAAGAAATTGGCCTTTTCCGATCTGTCTGTTGTAGTTCTTGAGCTGGAGCTTATTCCACGGAAATGAGTCAAAATTCTTCCCCAGACAGACGATTTTTTGTATTCAACTAGTCCAATAAGGCTTTCTTGGGATATATTAGGTACCCTAAATGATCCAAAATGGAGTATTGCTGCGTGTTTAATAATACAGTCGCTGTAGACCATGGTGTTTACGAATAGATGCTTAGAAGTAATAGGAGACAGTGGTAAATTAAACGAACAGCGCCTCTCGTGTTTCTTTTGGTCAAATATTCCTTGAAAATATTGTCGACCGTTTGATCCATCAAAGGTGTGGTCAGGGGTGTTTAAGGTGTCTGAAGGATGTTTACAAGACATACTGTGTATTGAACTTGTACGTGTTATGCGACGTCTTGCACTATTACGACGCTGTGCTTCTTTTGGGGACCCTTCATGAAGAGTTGATGCTCGTTTTATTCCAGATTGTTCTGTAGGATTATTTGTCGCAGTTTTATCCTCATCTATTCGACCAAGTCGTATTGTATTTCTACGTGCGACACCAGCAATATGCTGTGTGTTTACGCAGCCACTTTTGTCCGAATCTTTGGTGGGAGAGTTGATATCTTTCTTTATTTTGAGCTCTTGCGATGAGTTACAAGATGGTTTAAAAGGAGATTTTTCTGGTTCTTTGCTAAGATCTATAAAAAAAGGCAAAATACTATTTTTAATCCGTGTAATGATAACAGAATATTGAGTTCTTGATCTATATATATATATGTATGTATATATATATAAATACAAACTGCTTACTCGTTTGACAAAGGGACTGGTACACGCTCACCAATGTTGTTTGTAAGAGCATGGTCTGTTGTATAAGAGGTGTAACAAGACAAAGAGCTCCTTGATTATCATGAGATGTGCAGCATTGGAAATAAAATAGAAATGTTTCCGTTCCTCCGATCTCCCGCGTCTTTGTTAAGTTTTTACCCAATTTACGTTGGCATACTTTACAAGCAAAGCATGCAGTATGCCATCGATTAGATCCCTTTTGGACATGTTTGTCATGAATAGGAAGAGAACAAGCTTTGCAGTTGTCAGGTATGGAATACATACGGGCTATTTCTATGTCAGATAGAAACAGAGGTGCGTCTTTAAAATAATAGCGCCCAGCGATCCAAACTCGCATATTATCCAAACCAGCCAAACTTTTCAAAAAAGAGGAAATGGCTTGGATCCCACAAACATATTCCTAAAAAAAACCAAAATTCTGTGAGTCAAACATCTTACAGAATTATATTAAAAAAAGGGGGGTATTTTATCAAGACTTACAAGCTTTAGAGCTTCTGTGAGGCCTATACGTATTAGAGATTTCAAGTTCTGCGCCAATCCTGTGACCAAAGGTAGCAGATCTTGAGTAACGTTGTGTTTATCTGAGGCTTTGTTTGATATGCGACCCTCGTTCTGTTGTGTAAGAAGGTTAAAGAATTGGAGTACTTGTTTGCACACAATATCGGCTTCTTTTTCACAATTGATTGTTGCTACATTCCTTTTAGATAAGCGCTCCGTTGATTAACAGCCTTTGTGTACTCTTACCTAAGTTTTGCTGTACCAGAAGATCGTTTAATGTATCCAGCCCAGTGAAGAGCATGTGAAGGTGGTTGACAAAATGATTTGCCATCTGTACTCCCTTGATTAGATTTCCTTCTGCTACGGCAAGCAGCATGTCTGAAATGCATGTCGCTGAAGACTCTTCGAATGCTGATAGATCGGTCCAAATGCGATCGATTTTTTTCTCAATTGTGGTCTGGTTTTTCTTGAGTTGGTCCGAGTCAGAAGGCTGGGTGTCTTTTGTGTACAAAGACCAGTTGGTTAGATGTCTATTTGTGTTGTTGTTATTGTTGTTGTTGTCGCTGTTATTATTGTATGTCTTACTTGATGGAAATAGATCTGTGAAGCAAACATTCCAAAACTATGGGTAATATTGAGTTGCAAATAAATACTAAATATATAAATTACCACCGTTTTTTCCATAATAGAAACAAAAGTAAAAAGAAAATAAAAAAAGAAAAGAAGATTCAAAAAGGGCTCAGCTAAGCTACCTTGAATATCATGTAGCATTTTGGATGCCATTTCTTGTTTGGATATTTTACACTCTCGACACATTTGTAAAGAATTGCCTGGGAGCAGCTAGTGCACTGAGAGTTTGGTATCATAGAGAAATGATAATGGCAATAGTATTGCCTGTCGTATTCATAATACATTTCGGTTTGTTGACTATGTCTGTTGGGTGTTTTGTCAATAGTACATTGAATACACCAACGACACATGGCGTGGCAATAAAAGCGGGTGGCTGAACCGGCTTCTTGAACAAGTGGTCGACTGCAGCGTGGACAAGACAGGTCAAGCTTAGAGTGGGGATCTTTACAAAGCACGCGTTTGTTAACTATATCAGTAGAAAACTGGGCTGTGTTTGGGACACATAATTTGTTGGTCGCTAGACATTGACATTCCTAGGTTAAATATTATACATTTAGTTTTCATTTTATATATATATATATATCGCTGGATTTGTTTGAAGTACTTGGTACTAGACCAAAAGAACAAAACGGAGTTGACAAGCTTAACTAGTTAAATCCGCTTCATATTTCCAAGATCCTCGCATTGTTCTGTTTTATATAATGCAATCAATGCTACCAATAACCCCCCCTTTCATACACCCACATACATATAAACACACATTTTTTTTTCTTTTTCTTTTATCTTCTAACGACATATGATTCTGTTTTAAAGAACAGGCTATTTATAGAAAGGCTTGCCTTGCACGCAGAAGAGTTGTGATGATAGACTTGGTTAAGAGCACGCACCAGAGTGTGATCAACTTCCAAGCATGACTGGCCACACGACGAACACAGGCAATCAGGGTTGGGTGACTGCAGTTGTGTTACCGACTCTGAAAAACAAGACGACTTCCAGTTTTCAGTTCTAGTCATTTCGTTGTTGGTCATCGACATTGAGAATGGCAATATACACTAAATAAAATTCACGGCTTTTCTTCTTCTCTTCTTTCGGTGAGAATACCAAGGCAAAGTTGGCGTATTGAATAATAATTCTATCTATACCAGAAATATACAGAGACTTTTTTTTTGTATGTATATATGGGTGTGTATAGCAGTATTATTATTATTATTATTATTATTATTTTAAAAAAAAGGAGATTTACAAGGCTAAATAAAGGCTATATAAAGTGTGAGTAAGAGAGAGAGAGAGATAGAGAGAAGGCAGAAGGGATAAAGGGGGGGGGGGAGATTTTTTTTGTCTGCAAAGAGCACACCCACAGAAATGTTCCTTTCTAGAGGACAACTCGGAAAAATAAAAAATAAAATAAAAAAAGGTGTTCAAAGAGACAAGATTCGAGAAAGCCGTTATTTCTGTCTTCTGAACCAAGACCTGAGTAACATTGATTTGGCCATTGTGATCAGGTACAACAAGGCCATTTGAGTTTTCTTTTTCTCTCTTTCTGCTTGTAACACGACCTTTTTAAATCATACCGTGATTGGAGTTTTTATGATCTTTTTAAGCCCAATACATTGGTCTTTGGTAACCTGAATTTGTCCTACCCTACCTGTCATCTCGTTTTATATCCAATAAATAGTATGCCCAGAATATTCACTTTATTTTTTGAAATACGAGTACTATCTGTATTATCCAAGGACATCATTAGACAATCAAGTGATAGCGTATCGTTAGTAATCTTTTAAAAGTAGCGTGTATCTTTTTCTATTTTATTTCCTGTGCATATAATACAATTTGTATTTAGATTTATGGTTATATTTATATTTATATTCTGCTCTGTGTGAATTCGATACCAGAGGCAATAATTACCGCCAATTTATTCTCAATACAACTCCTAGCAACCTTCTTTGTTATATAAATATATATATATATATTAATACTTGCAGAGGATAGTAAGAAGTTCTTGATGCGCTAGGTGCATAGGTGGCCAACATATATTCTCACAAATGCCATAAATACAAACAGACCATATATATATATCCTTTAAGCATCTCACAAGTATACACTAGCTTTGAGTCTATTGAAATACACATGACAAAAAATAAACAGCACTATATTCTTATTGTGTGGTTTGGTAAGGTCATAAAAACACACGGACCACATCTTTCTTATATTTACACACGCATTGTAGTAGTAGTAGTAGTAGTAGTAGTAGTAGTAGTAGTAGTAGTAGTAGTAGTAGTAGTAGCAATAAACAAGAAAGATAGTCACCATTCATATGTCACGTCATACAAGTAAGGCTATGGATATTTAAGCTCTTCCCGCGTGCTGTTTATAGAATTATATACATTCTCAATAATACCTTTGGTTAAGAGAACGTGCGCAAAAAACAAGTACATAAAAATAAAAATAAAAAGCCCCTTGCTGTTGTGTGGCGCGGTTTGTAGACCAAGGAAAAAAATGTGCTGGAAAAACAGGCCTATAATTGAGAGAGAGAGAGAGAGAGAGAGGGAAAAAGTGTGCGTGTAGAAATAAGTTAAAAAAGTGGAATATCAATCAATATTCTTCTCGCCATTTTTAAAAAATAATAATAATAAAAAGATCACTTATTACAGCTGAATTTTAACAATATAAATAAGTGAGAATGAATATTACTATATGTCTCAAGCAATGTGTACATTTTATCGTGGGGCATGCCCCTGACTAATTACACGTACGCAGTTCTTCCAGGAAGTAAAATCGCACCAGATTGGAATTGATGTCGTACTGATCATATAATGAATGTCACACCTAGGAATAAATGTCATTAGGTGACAAATCAAATGTTGTGTTTCCAGTATATGTTTCTATACATTATTTGGTATAGTTTTGGGATATATAAAAGTGTTGAGATTATTCAATTCAAATCTTCATCTTTTATCATAATATACATTCCATTTTTGTGCAGTAATTGAACCATAGCTGCTGCTAATAGGTATGGCAAACCCGAACATACGGATCATAATTTTGTTGCAGATCAGTATAGTCTTGAAACACCGAGCTCTTGTACACAGCACTTTTCTAAACTGTGTCAAGAAAGAAACGAAAAACAAACAAACAAAGGACAGTTAAAAAAAAAATAGCTCCAAGGCAAAAACTGACGTTACAATAATGAAGGCTTTGGTAAATTCCCTATAATTTTTTTTGTTAGAGCGGTATTCAGAGGGATGCTTTCTGTTCTTACATTTCTCCTCAAGTTGGTTATCACTTTGAAAGAGAAAAAAAAAAGATCTATCAGCATTAACAAGTATATGGTACTTTGAACTTAGCTTGGTACCTTGGCATTAACATTTAAATAAAAGTTGGTGCTTTTATAAGCAAATGTTTTGAACGAAAAATGTATATTAAACTCTGTATTAGATAAAAAAAAATAGATAAAGGACTAGACGCAACTTGTAGAATATCTACACTTTAAACATAGATTTAAAGAAACATTTAGACTAAACCAAGTAGTAGACATAAGATGGCAAGAAATGTTCTTGTGTTACATAAAATTTAGCTGTCAAGTATATTTGCAAGCTAATCTAAATAACCAGTAGATTTGAAGGATTTACGGGTAGGAGAGAACAATTACTTTCTTAAAAGTGGCTATCAGGCAGAGTAATGACAAAAGGAAACATAAACGTACACTCCTTGATAATAAGAGCCAATTAATTAATATTTATGCTCGTAAACAGTATAGTATTTGAAGAAGTGATATCTTCTAGTTATGAAAGAAAAGTATAATCCTATAATTCTAAGCACAAAATACAGGGTTCAAAAGAAATGTTGTCCAACTTCAATGTCTATGGTTAAAAATTTACAATTCCAATCGAAATATAATACTAAAAAGAAAAAAAAAGGCTCTCCGAGAAGTAGGTATTATCATTTTAATGTTCTAATCCAACTTTAATAAGGGCTTTGTTTACATTGTCTCTTGTCAGTTAATAACAGCATTAAGGAAAAGTTTAAATAGAAAAGCAAATGGCGAAGCATTTATTTCGAACCTTGTATATCAGCTATTTTGTTATATAGCGTATGAGCTAATACTTCTTTACACATATCATGTACTTTATTCTTTTTAATCATATGATAATTCGTTTTCAAATTATAAAGCTTATAGCTGTTCATATAACAAACAGAAGGATACAATAAGGAGAGTATATGACCTCCCTCTGAATCACTCTTTTTTCATTTTCTTTTTCTTTAGTGTATAGTGTAGTGGTAGTGGTAGTGGTAATGGTAGTGATAGTATATTGATTCTTTATTTCATACCTCATCCAAAGTTAAGCCTACAAAATCAAATAAAATGTTATGTAAATCAATCGCACAACATTATATTAGCATACCCTCTTTAAATGACTGCTTTTCTGAAAATTTGGTCCAAATGTCCAGACTACTTCCAATCGACAAAAGTCTTTGCATTGATTTTAGGTCTACCGGAAGACAATCTTTTTTGGTTTTATCTTTTAAGCATGGCACACAAATATTTGTAGAGTCTGATTTGTAGGCCTTTGGATCATAACCAATACTAATACTAGACATATGATATGTACTGTGAAGTGTGTAGAGACATGGATTTAGACTGTTATTTCCATTAGAGTGTCCCATAATGTGTTCAAATAAGCCTTGAAGTTTATAAAACCGCTTCTTATCACTACCCGGATCTTGCACATTGGGTAGTTCTTGAGTCTTGCACCACATCTCAAGTGTGTATATCAATTGTCTCAGATCACAGCCGATCACATCTATAAGGCAGGCTAGATCATGTGGATAAACAAGATATCCCTCTGAAAAACAGACCAGCTGGAGATAAGGTAATAATCTCTTTTCATCTGGTGCTTTGAAAGGCAATATAGCTTGAAGAGATAATTTGTTGACAGGTACAGATTTTATGTCTAGCCAAATGCTTCTGTTAGCTAACAAAGCCACACATACACGGCCAAATATGATTAATTACCATTGCATGTCATAATAATAGGGCGTTTGCTTTTTTGAGCAAGATTAGTGACTGCCGGCCAGAATCCTTTGTCGTCTTCAAATAAATTATCAACTTCTTCCAATAGAATTAAGCTTTGTCGTGTTTCTAGTGGTCTAGGCGGCATCATAGTTTCCAAATCAATACGCATGTTTGTACGTGTGATCTGATCCATGGGTGTTATTGTTGTCGCTGTTTCACGCGGGTCTTGGTACGCTTGCTGAGGCGCGTGCTGATTGTTTGACAAGGCTAAATCTGTCGCCTTCTTTTTGGAAATTTTCTGGAGGTAGGACATGATGGATCCTTTGGGTTTCGGATCATCCTTATTTGGAGACTTTTTTTTAATGTCTCTCTTTTTGTATTCTGAAGGTATATTGGTCTCTTCGAAAGACACATCTTCCCCACCGCACTTGAATTCAGAGCGTATCAAAGGAATTGTAGAATCAAAGATAACTTGGTGATTTTCTGCCATGTCTCCCACGGCGGCCATCAGGTCTTTTCCTGCTCGCTTCATACCTGGGTGAATCTCAAAAACATCATAACATGTTTCCTCTGCTGTTCCATATACTGCTGCGGTCTTTCCAACTCCATGGTCCCCCACTAACATAATCATGTTCGAGCTCATATTAATGCGCTTTCTTTTTCTTCCCTTTAAATTTGCCTGTCGAGAGGTCTTATTTGTAGGTAAAAAGTCATCATCTGGATCAACTTGAACTTCTTTTATATCGTCAAATATATCGTGATAATATTCATTCATCCTCCTTTCGGTTGACATGGTCACAGGAGAAATCTTCATTTCCTCCAGCCATTCTTTTAAATAATTTCCACTTCTTGTATTAGAGAGTAAAAGCGATGCTTTCGTCGGTTTGTATTTTTCTGTCCAAAGCATGTACTCTGTTGCGTGTCTTTTTGGTAATTCTTCCTGATTGGTAGTGAATATAGACTCTAAGATATTGATACAGGCATCTGATTTCCAATGGGAATTGTATACTTTATCCATAAATCTTTTCATCTGTTTACTATTTAGTGTACACATATTGAATAAAGGATCATCCAATCTTGTTTGGTGCGTGGATTCAAGGTTTTTGGAGCTGTGGATCGTCTTAAAGTACGATGCTTGAGCTTCTGCAGACACTAAAATCAGATTGTTTCCGTGTGTTGTATTTGTTCTTTTATTAAATATCTTGGGCTCTTCTTTCCAGCATCGATTACCATGCATAGTATTATCAGGCCAAGGAGCCGGGTGAATTGCTTGATTGTTGCTATTATTTAAAGAGAAGTTGCTAGATTGGGTTGAGCTACTACTTTGGTCAGCGTGCGTGTGCCATCCATTATCTTTGCTCGAGGATATCTGTGGGGTTCTTTTGTCGAAAAATGAAGCTATTTTCGATACTTGGTTTTTTGAAGGGGATTTTTTTACTCCAAATAATGGTAGTGTATTTTTCATCTCTTTATTACATTGACTGGGTTTATGTTTAAGTGGTCCAGAAGGTACGGCTTGAGTTTTCGGCGCATTTTGTTCTAAACAAGCTCTTTTGGCAGAAAGAGAAAGCAGCTTCGTATTCAGTCTTGGGTTAATGACCATCGTATTATGATTGGATCTTGGTTCTTGGGTTGGTAATGTATAAGGTGACCGGATTCCAGAAGGTCGAAAGAATGGTTTAAGTTGCCGTTTAGGTTTTGACGATGCCTGTTGATCTAACTCATTCATGTTCCTGGTAATAAATTATATATGGTTTTAAGTATGGCAACAAATTTGATTATATTTTGTTTTTATTTATTCGAAGATTAACAAAACTGAGTGTTGCTGGCTTTCTTATCGGGCGTGTATCATTTGAAAAACACAGTCTCAGATGATATTTGCATCATTGAAAATCAAGTAAATAGATATATATCGATGTTCTTGCTAAATACTACAACAATTTTAATAAATATGTACATATACAGTCAAGATGACCAGATGCAAATTCATAATTTTGTCTGTAAAAATAATGAATAAAATTAATGCCATTATAATCGAATCAATGATGACAGTAACTTTTTTAGAAAATTAAATCCATGTGTGCCCTGAAATTTGAGGTTTTATCCATAAACTATACGACAATTCTTTTAAGCTAGTCATGTAAAGAGAAAGTGAAATAGAACTCTATATGCAGGCAAAAGGAAGATGATTGGCTAAGATAGAAGCAAGCATTGATTCTGTGGCTTATCGTTTTCGGAGTGTTCTTCCCTTGAACAAGACTAGGTAGGGCCTGTCTTGAACATTCTAAGCTGTTCATTCTAATTATATAGCCATGCCTCGCGCAGTTAGAGAAGCAAAGATACTCTTGGCTCCTATGGAGCTCTACCGTCAAATTCTCCGGGTTCATCGTTGCCTCCCTCCTGCAATGCGTAGTCTCGGTGACGATTATGTCAAGGCTGAATTTAGACGCCACAAGGATGTAGACAATCCAGTACATCTCATCGGCTTTGTTTCGCAGTGGCAAGAGTGAGTTAATATTTTATTCTGTAGGCATAAAAGCAATACAAAGCTCATATATGCATGTGTATGCTCTAGATACCTTGATACTTTGAAGGTGCAGACTGCTCCTATCAAAACTGAGTCCTCTGCACCTTCCGAAGACTCGCTTGTTAGAAGTTTTAACGTTCCCAAGGATGGTTGGGGAAAGAAGATGGACTCTGAATTGTATGAGAAAATGAGTGATGAGCAAATTGGTCAGCTATATGAATTGCGAAATGAATTGAAGCCAGGAAGTGGTGAAAAGGCTTAATTGGTCTCACTATCTTTATTATCCAAGTTTTACTCATTACACACTACGCGTAAACACCTATATATTGGTAGGATATTGTATTTGGAATGTAGAAAAAAGATTTTCAGAATATCTCTGAGGAATAAATATAGTATAGAAAGATTTGTATATTGTTCTTGCTTTGCTTTGCTTTGCTTTGCTTTATTTTGTTTTATTATTTTTGTTATTTTTACATTGCATCATTCACAATAGAAAATGCTCTTTTGTACACTTCCAACATGGTCTTGCATCGTTCTCGTTCTGCTGAAATAGAAGAATCTTCTTGTAGTAATTCCCCAAAAAGCTCTTCACAGTATAGTGCTGCTACCAGTCTGTTTTGAACTGATTCTCTTGTAAAATTGACAAGGAAGTGCATGATTGCTTTGGGTACTAGGTCTTGAATAGACTTACGTACAATGTTGAAATAAGAAGTAATCAAGGATCCTGTAGAACAATTACACAGTTAATTTTTTAAAGCACATATACTAAGAATTACTATTAGGATACTTTACGAATAAGTTCAACTTCAAGGTCTTCCTGATGTGAACGGCTTGAAGGTGTAGGATCAATAGTACTTTCCGATGAAATTGACTATCAAAGCATCGCGAAGATACACAGAGAATTTTACATCTCCTTTAATTATCCCGGTGTTTACATAATTATAATTATAATTATAATTATTGGCTTACGTGTTGTGTAAATGGAGAATCAAGCCCTTCAATATCATTTGGCTGTGATAGTTGGCCAAAGGGATTTTTTTCTTGGAAATCTTTGCTGGTTCTGTCTGCTTTGGGTGCACCTCCAAAAAAGTAGTTCAAGAACGAGTCTTTTGGTGGCGAATCCGCATAAATTGAACCGGTATGCACCCCGTTTTCTTTGTGTTTTTGGTTTGGATTTCCAGATGCACCTTGGTTCAATGTACGATTCTATAGATACAAAGAAATATAAGCCATGGTTGTGGGTCTGGGCTTATATATATATGTTAACTCTTTACCTGCTTCTTCTTTAACCCTCCTTTAGATTTCTTTTCTAGTTCAGCCATAGCACCACTTGCCCCAGGAAAGTCTGGGTGATTTGTGTTTATGTAGGCACACTGGGTTGATATGAGACTCTCAACGTAGACGGAGGTTGGCATCAGACGTTCACGCAATAAGTTGGACACCACTTCGATTAGCCTTGCATGTAATTTGGGGAATCGTAACAGCTCCTAAAAACAGTTTTTTTTAAAAAAATAATAATAAATTGAAATATTCTTTATTTTTTGTTTCTTTATGATATTACCTTGTTGCCGCATGTATGACAGATCTTGTAGAGTTCTTCATATGCCAAATTGACGCATTTGAGACTGGGTGCTTCAAGTAATTTTATTTGGGGTCGCACAAGCAAATCAAATGCAAGTTCAGGTACAAACAGCGAACATCTTGGTCCGGTCGAATTACGAATAGCAGTACGGATATCTTCGTTTGTGAGGTTTCCACAAGGTGATATAGAATCCAAGGCATGGCCAAAAATATTGTTGAAAATATAATAAATTCTTGCGCCTCCAGATCTTTTAAATGTATTATTTAAAAAAAGATCCTTAAAAAATAATAATACTATACACTAATTATACTTACAGCTCTTTGGTTGATATTTGTGAAGAGGTACCATCTATAGAAGCTACAAATTCTGTCGAGAACATGGTAAGAAGTTTGAGGATCAATGAGCCCTATAATGATAATAATAATAGCAATAAAAATTGTCAGAAGAAGCATTAATATAATTTGTCACTTACGCTATGTACTTTTCCGGTAAAAGCTGGATCTCCGTACTGAGCTAGTTCATGCTGTGTCTGTCCGATCATGGAGCTGAGCTTTGAACGTAAATCGGGTAGCTTTTCGCGAATGTGATTGACCAAAATCTGAATATATTGTTTTTTTTGGTGAGAAATTTCTATTTCATCATAAATAAATAAAGTTCATATATATAAGCTTACTATGTTAAGCTGCTTGGTCAGATATGCTGTTCCTGAACGATTGACAATACTTTGGTAAGCTGGATGTCTTTGAAAAAATTGTTCTTCAGCCTTTAGGGCCTCTATCATCGGTTTGTTGGTCAATATATCCTGTTGACTTCGGTTTACAAGACCAACAAAGCCTAATTTTAGAGGGAAGGCTCTTCCAGTCAAGACATCCAGAGCGTTGGTACCAGCATCCATTAGATCTAGCTTTGTTACAACGCCAATCGTACGCTTTCCTGCTGGATCCATCATTCTTGCCAGCTTCAGACTGTCTGAATTAGCCAAATCAGAGTTAGCTGGTGTAATTGCTAGTATAATACTATCATTTTGTTAGTTATTAATGCGTTTTGATGTGCGTGAAGTACCTATTTGGCTTGGAAATATAGTCTAGGATAAGCTGTCGGATTTGCTTTTCGATATCAGCCGGCTGATCGCCTTTAATATCATACAAGAATAAAATCAGTAAATAAATGCTATCGATCAATCTTTTTATTTATTTATTTAAAGACTCACCGATAGGTAGCTAAATAAATATCCAGCCAGGATTATATATATATATTAGAAATAGTATGACGGATATATGTCATAATAAAAAAGCCTTTTAGAATGATCAGTATTACCTTTGTCAGGCCAGGAAGGTCAACAAGTGTAAGGTTGAGAACCTTTTTAGAGTAAATTTTAAGATGAATTGGTTTCCGAGCAATTCCCTTGTTATGTCCGGCTATCCGAGCCGTATCATCCTCAATTTCACGTCGCACGTCGTTAAAGTCATAAAACTTTTTTTGAGGAACATGCAAGAATTCCGCATAGTCGGGTCCATCAGTCTCAGATCGCAATGTGATTAGTTGAAGAACAAGTGGTCTACGAGTGACGATTCCACTTCCACGAGGTAAGAAATCTCTTTGAACAATGTTCTCTAAAACGGACGATTTTCCTGAACTCTGCGCACCGACAGTAATGATCTGAGGGAGATCAAGACTCTCATTTCCTCCTACAGTTGAGAAGACGTCTTGAACTCGATTGATTAGCTCAACTACGTTCTCCATTTCAAAAAATGAAAAAAGTAAAATAAAATAAAGTATGTAATTTAAAGATGACAAGACGTTCTTATTTTTTTTTAACTTATAGCGCTTTTAAAAAAAAGACGGTATTTTTTATACTTTAAATTGACACGGGTGTTGTGTGTTCTCCAGCTTCGCCCACCCTGATTTATTTTCTTCTTCTCCGATCGTTTCCCTCTTCCATTTTTCTCGTTAATCATTTACATAATCACTTCTACATATTAGGGAGGTTTGTGCAATTTTATTTTACCAATCTCTTTTCCAATGTACTAATATAGACAGAAATGTCTTACCAATTTTCTGAGGTTTCATTTCTACATTGGGGTGCATATCACGGTCGGGGTATGCAACGCAGCTAAACTAACGAACATTTATTCGTATTAATGGTTAAGTAAATAGTTTGATAATATTTGGCCAAAGATGTGGCATAAGCTATACTATCAATTGCAGAACTTGTAACAGAGGGAGTAAAATTTATAATATATATACTTAGGTTTTAAAGAATGACATTGAAGAAGTCATATTAATATTATATTTACATCTTTAAAAGCACATTTTTAACATATTTTATTTCTACATCTTCCTTCGAATATATCATTAGCTTAGCTGTTAAAAAATGGAATATGATTGGCTAAAAGTGCTCTGAAAACCCAAGTTAGGCTTCCAAAATCTTAAGAAGTGTGAAACAAACTATTCCATTTTAGGTAGAAAATTTCCTTTTTAATTTTGTTACAAAATTTGCACAAACCTCCCTACAATTTTCAGGCTTTTTATTTTATTTTTTGCCTGTAGAAATTTTAACCCTTTGGTCAAAGCTAAAGAAAACTGTTTATGATATGGCACTGCATAATAAATACTAAAATGTCGCATACCGGAATAACCTCCCGTAGCGATATTCTGTATTTAGCTTCAAAGACTAATTAAACCCAAATCACAACAACAAAAAGAAGCTGTTTGTGTTGAAGAGGTTTCACCCCTCAAATACAAATAAGGATGAGAATTTTAGAGCTTTTTACTCGGAGTGGTATACCTCTCTGTAACTAAGTCTACTGTCTAAACGATATTTAGAATAATTAAACAAATATATTCAATAGCTGTATACAATATGAATGATTTTGACTACTTATCTTTGCACCATATTAGGATATACGAGTAGACAGTTTTCTTGAACGTATAGTGTAGTGTAGTGCATATATAAGCATATTGAAATAAAATGCTGTTTAAATAATACTATTATGGCGATGTTATTTGCCTTGAAATATAAAGGTCTAGCATACTTTAAAATGATATCTTTAAAGAAAAGATGTCAAAACCATGTTACTAAGTGCTGGTCTTTATAAAACCTCCACCTGTTGCCTTTCATAGCCGTATATGGTCATAAGAGAAGAAAATAAACCTCACAATGTAAAAACATTTCACAAATTTTATCAATGGACTTGTCTTTAGCCCAAGTAATAATACTGATACCATACCACTCAACTTCAATGGCAACATAAGAAGACATAAGCATTTGAATTTTCAACTGTAAAATAATTAATGGGTAAGAACCAAACGAAAAAAAAAGGACCGTCGTCTGCGTTGTATTATTTTCTACTACTGTTCATAAAGAAGTAAAGATGGTATATATACAGTATAATTATATGAGGTGCTTACTTGTGCCTTTGGCTTAATATTTTTCTTAAAAAAAATTAAAACCATGCGTACAATAATAATAATACCACAGTAAAGCGAGTATAAGAGTATGCTATGTGTATACACATCTTAATTAACCAAGAATAATGTATTGAAACGATTTGGCAACAAACAATTATTGCTAAGCAAATTACCCCAATAAAAAGACTTGGTATAGAGACTTTATAGTCTCTTAGTATGCGCCTTCTTACATACTATAGGTACTGTGTAAGATTTTAAAGATAGAAACGAGGTAGTCAAGCGTTCTCAGAAAAACCGGATTAAGAAGAATTATCCACACTATGCAAAGAAAGAATAAGATTTTTGTCTAGGCATATGATTGAGGATAGAAGTACTATAAAAAAAAGCGACAAAGAGAGGCTCTATGTATCAGATGATGTTATTAATGTTAATACCCTTCAAAGATATAGAAGCATATACACTATTATAAGTAGACCAATAATTTCTGATAAGAGCATAAATAATTATAAATTCAACAAGTTTGCATCTTTCTCTTTTCTTTATCTATTGTTTCAGACAAGATCATATATATTTCCAAGGCCCTCACACTATGGGAAATGAGTCGTGATTTCGATAGATATTTTGGAAGATGCCTATGATACTTTCTACAGTTTCCGTAGGAATTACCACCTTTTTCCCATAGTGGTATATAATACAAAGTTACAAGAAAAATCAAAACAATGCTTAACAGAGGTTTGTATATATCTATCTACAGCATACACCGACCATATTGCTCAAAATTCGGTACACATTCGATTTATAACTATCAGTGTAAACTCTTTGTCTACTTTCTTGACAGCATCTCTACTAAGAGGATGTAGCCAGTAACTTGAAATGTTTATAAATGTTATGAATTTCAAAGCATTACAATGTAAAAGGTATAATGTTGTTTGAAATTTAGTCAAAATATAAATCAGATTAAGTTTTATATATATAATAGCGATCTGACATCCAGTGGTGATAACAAGATCTTGTTCACGAATTTAATACTGTCCGCTGGGGGTTTCAGTAGACTATGTGTCCCACAAAATAGAAAGAGAGGCTTACCAGTCCGTGTATAGCCCAAATATAAAATTGATTTATTTTGATTATTAAGAAGAAGAAAAGAAAAGGAGAATAAAGAATTTATAAAAATAATAATAATAAGTCTCGCTATTTTAATATGTTGAACAACTGTTAGATACGTTGGCCGAGACTAAAGGTTGATGCCCCCATCAAGATTATTTTACAGAATATTATTTTTTTTATTTATTGGAAACTTTTGATAATACTATCTTATCCTGTTCTGTATCTTCTTTCTTTCTTTCTATTTATTTATTAATTTCTCTTTAATTTACCCAAATTAATTCAAAATTACTTGAAAGCCAATTGCCCAAGTTCATTACACCTGAATTACAGTTCTGACAGTGTACAACCAGATCTAAGCTTTGAGGGGGTGATAAGAATAAAAAGGTAATGTTAAGCTTGATCTATGTTTTGTTTTCCTTAAATCTTAGTATATATATATATACGACGCATATAATAGTCTCAATCGATTGCTATATCAGATATTTTGGAGAATAAAGACTAAGAAGAATAAATAAGGTCATAATAGACATATATCAAAAGAGCTACAGTAATCATGTTTTAGGCATGGAATTTCCTTGGCTTAAACATATCTTTACTTGTGTACTACAATAATTAAAGAAGTTGTTAATTACTTGACAACTATTGACAAAAAAAATCAATAGTCTTGCATCATATCCAGACAACTTTTTAGCTTCCTATGTTCGTTTTAGACTTTTGTATAAATATTACATATAAAAAATAGCTAATAATCTAGACTCTATTAAGCAAGCCAATTGTTTCCTTGATTAGCTCCAACTACTTTTTTTTAAAAATAGAAAACAAAAGTATAAAAGGAGCAATCAATCAAACAAATGCTTTTATAAATTGAAGTCGCCTTACTTGAATATTATTTAATGAGTAAGATAGTATATACAGATTGTGCTGTACCCTATATTTATACTCTCTTATTATTTTTAAAGAGAATAGAACAATCGGAACTATCAGCCCTGCTGTCTACCAATGGTCTATCCCAAAATGGTCTACAATTCCATTTCACTTTGTTTTCCAAAGTCCAGAATTCAAATCCTATGATCATCGATGGTGAGTCAAACTATGGCCCTAAAAACATAATAAATTCTGCAATATAGCTATTATCAAATCTAATAATAACACTTCTAATTACCCGTTGTACGTGTGTCTTGTTTACAGGTTCATTCAGGTAATAAACTATCAACGTTTAATTTGTCTTACAAATAGCAAGTGCTCATCTAATTAATGATCTTAGATCGAGAAGAAAATGCATATTCCAAAAGAAGTATATTTGTAGACAATACTCTTTACTTCAAATATGCTCAAGCAATTGCTATATAGACATTTACTGTTCATATCCAACTGCTGGGTATCAAATCCAAGGAAAATAATAATGTACCTGCCTATTCTTTTCATTTATCTATGGGCATAGATAACAGTCTTGGTACCTTGAAATCATTCAAAAATATTAAGCCAGGTAAGCCTACAGCTTTAAGATTACATAATCGTATAAACTGACCACATTGTATTAGATTTTGGTCTAGTACATTACTCAAGTATGTCGCGTATAATAATAAATAAGTATATTCTGTATTAATGACTTTAATAGCATCCTGCGAATGGGAGTTTCCCAGCGTGCTACCTTCGAGCACGATACAGGATTCCATTAATAACGACTCGTTAAATATATCGGTGCACATTAAGCAAGATCCCGCCAACCCAAAAGAGCATTTCTTAACCGCTTATATACCAGAGTCAGTTGTTAAAGAAACAAACTACCTTCCACCACATGATGCGACAGTCTATGTCTTTGAAAATATAGAAGAAACGGATCTTTCAGAATATCAGTCGTTTAATTGTCATAAATCCAAACTGACAGAGGCTTCAGGCTGGTTCAAACAAGTATTTAATGATGCCGAAGGGCCTACAACAAACGAAGCAATCATAAGAGGAATGGACCCAGAAATATTCAAAAGGCTATTACAATATAGTTACACGTTAACCTGCGACATAATGAACATCGAAGACGCCCTCACCTTAATCGAAGCAGCAGAGCGCCTTGAATTTAATAATCTTATTAAGCAAGGATTTCAATATTTGCAAACAAACATTAACTCTAGTGCTATTTGGAACATCTGGAAGGTTGCAGGTACGCAGAATATATCTATATCTATATATGAGCGGTACATATGTATACTAAAGAAAACAAAATTGAAAATATATAACAGACGTATATGACTGCAAAAAGACCATTGAAGTGTGCAAAGATTACCTAAAAAGAAACATTGTTTCTATCCTTAAAGACACCTCCTGGTTAAGGACAGACGTCGATTACGCTTTACGGGCACTAAATGTCGATGGTCTACCAGAGGCTGTAAACGAAGCTATTTTTCTTGATGCAACTCTTATTTGGAGAGAATGGCATATCCAAGAGATAGAGAGAAAAACAATATATATCGACTCATGGCAGTATGAAAGACAAGAGCAACAAGAACGAGAAGAAATAGATCATAAATTTGCTTCTATGGTTCGCTGTATAAGGTTTTCTCAGATGGTTAAAGAGGATTTACGTTACATAAGTAACAATATACAGTACGTAATGAACGTTGAAGGAATTCCACGAATGGTAAGTCCTATATATGTATATATACATGGCCTAACTAGTTTCAACTAATTATATCGATAGATTGCTAGGGCCTTTCGAAATATACAATTTGACAGTAAAGAGACCATTCCAAAAGAATATCAAAAGCGCCATATACATTAATTTTTTTTTCTTAAGGAAATAAAAGATGAAAGAATATTTCACTATAATGAAAAAAAAACTTCCCTTTTTTATTATTTTTGTAAATGTATCAAGTTTTGGAATGAGTGATTTTGATATATATATCAAACGTAATGATAATCAGTGTCAGACTTATTTTTGTTGAATTATGAATACTTAAGATAGATGTCTAGCGGTCCTCCTTTGTAGTGAAACAGGCACATAATGTAATGTTTAAAAGTATTTAGGTATGTGTATATAGAGCAGAGTCATATTATAAGCCTTATGGTGCTGGCTTTTTACCAAATGGCTCCATAACAACCGAGAAGTTATTTCTTTCGCCACCTTCTCGACCCGGAAGAATCTTCTTCTTCCAGTCCAGTTTCTTTGTTACAGGCGTCTCCGTAAGCTCAAACAAGTAATACGCCAGCTTGTTGGAAAAGTGGTGCTTTATGCAGTTTGTATATCCAATTGATTTCATCATAGTCAGCAAGTGTTCATGGGACATATATCTTGAATTATTGACACAGGGTAATGGAAGGACGAGAAAGAGATAATGCAGGCGGTTGGTATCAGAAAGAGGTGGCAGGAAGTTGCGAGTCTGAATTAACATTTTGCCTATTTTGTTTTATTATCATTTAGCATTTAGTATATTATTATTAAAAAAAGTTGTTTTTCAACTATTACCTCTATCCTTTGGATCTCCAACAAAGTTTACAACAAGACTCAGGCACACCACATCAAATTTATCTGAAGTAATTGGCATAGTCAGAAAGTCTTGCTTTTCAATAGCTAGATCTTGAGGGTTTAAATCAATCGGTTTGGCCTTGATCCATGATGAATAAGGTTTATAGTTGTCAGGAGCTACAGCTCCAACATCGAGTACATGTAGTGGCTTTGTTGCAGTGTCCATACTTTCTTTACAATGTTCCTTGAGCACTTTGACTAGCCACTTTGAAGAATCCCCGCCTCGGGTTTTGCTCTGTCCTAGCTGTGAGGCCTTCTGGTACCAGTCAATTCCACCCATTCTGTCCATTTCTTCTACGATCGCTTTTTCTCTGGTACGATCTGTTGGATTGTTGGATTGTTGACATTTAGCAAGTTCTTTATTCAATACATGAAATCTTCGAATGAGACGAGCGGTCTCTGCTGATGAACGTTTAAAATGAGTGCCAGTGTTGTTTCTCTGGGCTGTAATAGGTACTTTCTTGCGTGCTTTGCCCATTGTGAATATTGTAATTAACAAGCAAAGTAGACAAAAAAAACTCCTCCTCCCAAATTGGTAGTATATGTGTTGTCACGTGGACTGTCACTGGTTACTGTTTTGCAGTGAGCTTTAAGGCCCATACGTGTGACTTGTATATAGACTCCCAAGGGAAAGAAAAGACCATACCACTGACATTACAACCATGGCATCCCGAGCAATCAAGCTTACTCTTTACTCTTCAAGCACCTGCTCACTATGCACGACAGCTCGAGAGAATATTTTGAGAGTTCAAAAAAAAGTAAGTAAGAATTGTGTACTAAATTAAGTCTAACATGAAATGCATGCCAGGTTCCCTTTGCTCTTTCTGTCTTAGATATCCACAAGCCTGAATGCCCAAAGGAAATGGCAGACAAATACATCTTTGATGTTCCGGTTGTTCACATGAACGATCAGTTCCTTATGCAGCATTATGTGCCTGAAGAAACACTTTTGGAGGCCATCAAGAAGTTTGAATCCACAGGCAAAGTTGAAAGAGTTGGCGCTTAACCAATCCAGCCAATCAGCCCACAGGGTATTCCCACTTTAACTTTGTTCCCATGACAACATAAAAATAACATGGGTTTACTTTGAATACTTGACATATTTATACACCGTTTATTCTTTATTGTTCGTTATTCTTACTCTTATTATTTCATAACTTTTATATATGTCTGTAATAAATATACTGTTTACGGCTCGAGTACGATAATAGCTATTAGTAAAGTCTTTTAAATACAAAAAGCAGGAATCTCACAAGATCATTTTGCTTTATCGAATTCAAGATACAGTAGGTGCTCATGGAGTGTCTAATCGATTAGAATGTAACTTCCATATTTAGAACGCATCTACCATAATTAGAATGTTATACTATTATATATGATAATCCATTTTTAACATCCGTGGATTTTATCCCTGCTGTTGCTATTCACCAGCGTACGATATGGTATTTATACCGCTGAATCATCTTAAGCAAAGCTTGTAAAAGAATCTTGTCGGTTATCACCAGATCACCAGCGTACGATGGTAAGACGGTGTGCGTGGTGGTTGGCGGCCGCCTCTCCTCGGAGAATGAATTTGGAGAATAAAGGAGAACAAAGTGTAGATGAGAGGAGCGCGAGGAAGAGGCAGAGAAGGCCATTAATAGAGGAAGCTTAGTGAAGATTAATAAAGGATCTCTTTTTACCTCGTTAAAAACACTTTTCCCACTTTATTATTTTGACAACTGATTCTCATCCCTATACACTTAGTTAACTAAATATTATTTGACTCATCCTAACTATTGGAGTGCACATCTATTGTCTCGAAAACGCATCCTCTTGAAGTAGTTCACTGTCCCTCATTACTACACTTCAATTAAGGATATAGAGCCTGTGCTAGCTAGTAACCCGGAAGTAAAGGCTATTTAACTTGAACGTCCCTCCTCGCAGTAGTATTATAATAAATTGCATTGCCTCTTACAAGTACCCTACGTGTCAATAACGCCTCCTCTATAATGTAAAAAGTTCAATTAACAGATATATTAAATATGACCTAAGAGATAGATGTTGGAAAGTAATGATTCCTTCATGAGAGTAGTTAACTCATGCAGGATAAGAACAGATTGTTATTGTACAGCACATCAAACTAAGCATGTTTATTTAAAATGATATTACATGATCTAAAATAGATATGTAATAGATGTAGTGTACGGGCTCGTAGGGTGCATTGTGTCAAAACCTAGATATACGGTAGGCTTCACTGCTACTATGTATTTGGTCACAAATGACATAAAGACAATTTAGCCTTGATATCATTTGCATAAACTGTTCTACTAAAAAATTGCAACATGAATACAGCATATATCTAAACATTGTTTCATATATATATATATATATGGATGGAAGGGTTTTAGGAGAAGCAATGCTATCTCATCTCACCATTGAAGGTCCATAGATTACTTATGTCTCACCTAATAGGTGGACCCACATATTAATATACTAGGAGATACAACATTGGTTATAGAACCGATACCTGTCAGCCCCAGCTATATTGCATGATTGCAGAATTACTTAAATAGCAGTAGTTTTGATGTAGAGAAAAGTTCTTTAGTTTTTTTTCATTTTTAATAAAACACTCGACCTTTGATCTCATTAATTATCACTGAACGTCCACATCATCGAGGATTATTTTTAAGAAACTTGTGTAGTGGCCAGTTACAGCCCCTGAGCTTATGCATCTCTCAGTCTTTCTCTTCTTAACAGGTGTTTTCCCGCGTAGTAGACATCGTAACAAGTGAGCGAGTACCTTTTCTAGACCAAGCTCTTGAGCGTTTCATATTGCTGAGATGGAGGAGATTGCTACCAGCGTAAAGAGCAATAATGGTAGGAGTTATACCAGTTACACCAATTATCAGAAACTGCTTTTTGTCTATTAAAATAAGATTAAGTTGTTCGAAGCTATCAAATTTGATAGATTAGCAGGCGATATTGCTGAAAGAACTGCACAGAAATGGGCCAGGAGAATGAAAGAGGATAAAGATTGGGATATCCTCGAAAAACAAACCAATAAAATCAATAAATCAGCTGGCCAACTTGATGAGAAGCATAAGATTCACCTTTTAAATTTTTATGATAGTAATCCTCAAGCTAGGGTCGTGGATGCAGTTTGTTCACTTGATGAAAGGTTCGAATCATTCACATTGAAAGAATCAAGTGTGAGAAGTTTTCTCAAAACAGAATACAACCTTTCATTCAAAAAAACTATTCGTTATCCAGCTCCCAGAAACGATCCAACAAAAATTGCAAACCGCATAGCGTGGGTTAAGAAGTGGCGCAAAACAGATATGGATTACCTTGAAAACTGTGTTTTTGTTGAAGAATCAGTTTTCTATATCAATATGAGACCTCCAGGAGGATGGCTTATTAAGAGCACACCAGCTATTGTAATCACTCCTACCACCATAGCAGTACCACACAGTTTTGGGTCCAATCTCGGCGAAGTATGTCGTGTCAATGGAGCTTCGAAATCCTCAGGAACACACATTCAAAAGGCTAAAAATCAATTCTGGTAATTGCAAAAGGAAAGCACCATCAAAACCAAAGAAGCCTGCCTCCAAAGAAACTATCACTGGCCATTATATGAATTTTATTCAGAAAACAATGAATGAAATGGATTGTATTCCGGAAATGAAAGGATATTATATAGTTATGGATAATGCACCGATCCATACATCTAACGAGATTGATACTATTGTGACAGAGAGAGGATATAAGTACATTTACCTCCCTCCTTACTAGCCTGAACTTAATCATATTGAGCGATTTTGGTCTATAGTTAAAAATAAGGTCAAACGTAGTCAATCTCAAACCAAAGAGGATTTATCAACAAGAGTAACTGAAGCTTGCAATAATGTTCCTCCAGAACATCTTCGAGCATTTGTACAAAATTCGGTAAACATATTTGAAGATTGGTTAAAAGGCAATCCTATCTAATAAAATGACACAAACAACTGTAAAGAATATCTACTGAGGATCGAAGAGACCGCCTTTTGAGAATTTTAAAAACCGCCCTTTAGTGTTGCGCTAACTGTATATTCATGGGGTGATTTAAAGCAAATCCTAAATTTGTGCTTGAGAATCCAAAATGTAGGGTTATGTACGACCATTTGCAAAAAAAAACAAGAAGCAAGATAAACTTTTTTATACCAAGAAACCCAAGAAATAAGGAGTTTAGATCACTACAATGTACTTGCAGTTTTTGATAGACTTTCCTAGACTCTCAGACGCATACATTTTACTGCTTTGTTTGTAAGTTTGTCGTAAATGTTTCTTTTATGTGTATATTTAATTAAAGCAGTATTATTGAAGCAGAATCCTTTAATATAGCATCAATCTATTTCCTATTCTGACCATGTCACTTGATTCCCACTTTGCCTATTGTGCCTTTGTTTGAATCTTAACATGTTCAAAATAGAGCCAATAGTTACGCGAGACTAAAGAACATAAACAATAAAGGAACCAATCGAGGGGGTTTAAGTATGGGTTGTTTTAGAATGAAAAGTTTGGTATATCCAAACGTCAAATATATCGTCAAACATTGTATGGTGGGTTTATTGATCTATCGAATTAAGAAAACGTTTGCTTCTTTAGACTATGAGAGCTCGAAACAAACAGGTCAATGTTAAAATATAGTCTTGTTTGATTGTACACTAAGAAATAAGTGGAACTTCCTATCGTAATTTTGGAAATTTCCTATAGTGCTTTCCAGAATTATCATCAAAATCCCCACTTTCTTCACAGTGGTAGCTCAATTAACATGGCAACGAGCTGTTATATTTCCAATGCCTCAGAGTAGTTAATATAATAAAAATAACTTGTTGGAGTTGATTCTTTGTTGGCATAGGTTCGATTCAACTGATATTTGTATATATCCCAAATGCAAAAATAAATAGGTCTGTATGACTTTTGATGTGATCTACAAGGGAACAATAGGATCGATTATGCAGGAATAATGTTGGATCAGACATTCGATAGCTTTAACGAAATAATAAAAAAAAAGTAAGGTCATTGTACGATTGGTAAGAGCAAGAATGAAACATGGCGTGATAGTTGTGAAAGATAGGATGGTGTTTAATTTACTTTGGATCTTGATGGTGGACCAAGTAACTGACAAGAGAAATTTGGATATGCTACACACAAAACTCAGGAGCAATGATCGGAACCAAACCAAGAAGAAAAAAACGTGGAGGATACGAGTGACTTGGAAACACCGAACTTGTACACGTAAAGTTTTACAGACAGTAAGATCTTCCGTGTGTGAGAAATAGTAAAACAAAGCACAGTAAATATAACCATGCTCAAATATGTGATAAAAGACACGGTGTTTCTTTTTTGTTTAGAGAAAGAGACCTTCAGGAAGTAGTATGTGTATATAATAGTATATACCATTTGTGAATATTGGGTGCAACTGAGTTCAATATTCAAGCTAATTTTTTTATTGGTAAATGTTATCTCTTGAAAAGTTACTGTTCAGGCTTGATTATACTTCACACCCTAAATATAGAAATGCATCCCAGTATTACTATATATAGTGTAATGATCAGTAGCAAAGCAAAGCAAAATAAAAAAATAAATAAAAGTAGAGTGGATCATCGAAGTATGTATGATAAAGGAGTATTGAAAGTATGTCATATGAGCTCAAGGCTGTCCTTGGACTGTAGATTGGCTTTGACTTGATGAGTCTTTTATTATACATTATGATGTTAATAAAAAACATTGTGTCTTTTCTTTCAAATATTAAGTTTCAAAAAAAAAGAATAGTTGACGGATATAACATTAATCAATAATAGTAAAGAGGATCAATATTCATAATATAATTTTTATATGCATTACTCATTATTACCCACATTAGTCCTTGTTTTTAACTACAGCCAAGTATCTTTGATGTATGTTTGAAATATTCAAAAGCATTTTCTTTTTGAAATATGTTGTAGTCCCTTTTTGATATATGCCATGTATGGTATAACTTTTGCAAACTGCACTTTCCTGAGTTTACTATCTGGTCTAAATAGTTCCAAACGTGTGTAATCTGTATAAAACAAGGGCTTTGATGGACACAGCCAGTCAAATGTTGCAAATTGTAACAGCAAGCTTATCTAAAGGTCGACGATGACCATGTTGAATCACTTGCAATTCCACACAGGTTCTCTTTTTGACTTCATTCGAATTCAACTTGAGTAGTCTACCAAGAATTTTCATTTTCTCAAGTGAGCCGGGGGATTTTTTTTTGTACTTGAATAATCTTGTTGCAACGAGTCTGCTGACGTGGTGTTTTCTGGTAATGTCACATTGCTTAGTGCCATTTATAACACTCTCATGTATAGCTATTTTCACGAGTTTAGCTGTCTGTCTTTTTTTCTTGCTTTACAAAGCAGATGTTGGTTGTCGTCTCGGGGTCTTCTCTTTGCGGTCTCGTTAAGAACAATGTCGATTTAGAAGAAGAGCAAGAGTTTGTAAGTTTGAAAGAATTTTCGGATTTTTAAAAGGTTTTTTATTAATCTCACGCAGTGTATTTTACATCACCGCACAGCATCCACCTCCTGCTGCAGGCGCAAATGGATCCTCTTTCTTGTCAATGGGACCCCAAACAGAGGGCACCATAGGATCCTTTGTATTTTTGCAATATTCGATCAAACTAAAAATAAATAAACAGACATGAATTTCAGTGTCATTGAAAAGGTTGGCTTGGGATGGTGTACCTCGAAGATGCCGAAGATACGGTGATTCTAGGGACATCAAGTTGTTCTCTTAAACACTGATTCAATTCGAGCAAACGGTTGAGCTTGGCTTCAGATATGTTTTGAGCTCTTCGCGTGGTCATGACTGTGGGTATAATGAGCGTATAGGGGCGAGATGAGAGAGAAGGAGAGACGACCAAGGGTTGGGTTGTTGTGGTGCAAAGGTTGATTAACGCCAGTGACTTTAAGTTCCGCTCATCGCATTTCACGCGGGACTGCCCTTACCTCTTTTGGACATTGTCAGAGATGAAACTGAGCATCTGTGATAATCTTCAACCATTCTTTATAAACCGCTTAAAGTCAATCACATCTCATTCTTTCTCTTAAACACCCCACTCTCTTATTAATAACTTAGTTCTGTCTTTATAAGACACAATGCTTCTCACATTATCAAAGACCAATATGGTACGCGCTACCCTGCGCTCCAGTCCAGTCAGATTCACTCCTTATGCTTCCTTCCATCAAGCATCAGAAGCCACTGATACTCAAAACCTCATCGAGAAGATTGTCCAAAAGTACGCTCTTGATTTGCCCGAAGGATACAAGGTTAAGAGTGGTGACTATGTCTCTATCCGCCCCCATCATCTTCTTACCCACGATAACACTGGGCCTGTCATCCCAAAGTAAGTTCAATTTATATGTAGGTATATGTATATTATGGGGATATCTGACAGTCTTTATAGATTCAAGTCCATCGGAGCTACAAAGTTCTACAACCCCAAACAGCCCGTTTTTGCATTGGATCATGATGTTCAGAACAAGAGTGAGAAGAATGTAACAAAGTATGCCAACATTGAGAAGTTTGCAAAAGAGCACGGTGTGGACTTTTACCCTGCTGGACGCGGTATTGGTCACCAAGTCATGATTGAGGAAGGCTATGCATTCCCCTCCACTCTTACCGTAGCCTCTGATTCCCACTCTAATATGTATGGTGGTATTGGTGCCGTTGGTACCCCGATTGTTCGTACTGATGCTGCCGCTATCTGGGCTACGGGTCAAACCTGGTGGCAAATTCCCCCTGTTGTCAAGGTTGAACTCAAGGGAAACCTTCCTACCGGTGTGACGGGCAAAGATGTAATCATCACTCTCTGTGGTTTATTCAATAAAGATCAAGTTCTCAACACTGCCATTGAGTTTCACGGCGCAGATGCCCTCAAGGCCTTGTCTGTTGAAGATCGTCTGGCTATTGCCAATATGACCACTGAGTGGGGAGCCTTAGCTGGTGTGTTTCCCGTTGACGACCTTACCATTGACTTCCTTCGCAAGCGTATGCGACGAATCGCTCTTTCTCACTTTGAGAACAAGAATCTTCCACCCACTCCTCCAGGCCAGGATTTTGTCCACCCTCGCATCAATGAGTCCACAATCCAGGAGCTTATTGACAACCCAATCAAGCCTTCTCCCAATGCCACATACAGTAAGACACTCACTCTTGATCTATCCACCCTTTCGCCTCATGTCTCCGGACCCAACTCGGTCAAGGTTGCTTCTTCTCTTGCTTCCCTCGAAGAGCAGGACATCAAGATCAACAAGGCCTACCTTGTGTCATGTGTAAATTCGCGCGCTAGCGACCTTAGACAAGCTGCTGCTGTTATCAAGGGAAAGAAGGTTAAGGAAGGCGTCGAATTTTACGTAGCTGCTGCTAGTTCTGAGGTTCAGAAAGAGGTAGAAGAATCTGGTGACTGGGATATCTTGCTCAAGGCTGGTGCTAAAGTTCTTCCTGCTGGTTGCGGTCCTTGTGTCGGTAAGAATTTAGATTGAATACAATGGATAACTACGGACTACTTACGACTTTAATTGTACTAAGGTCTTGGTACTGGTCTGTTGAAGGATGGTGAAGTCGGAATCTCGGCAACCAACCGTAATTTCAAGGGTCGTATGGGTTCTCCCTCTGCATTGGCTTACCTCGCATCTCCAGGTAAAAATGAGTCACAAATTTATGCGGTTTAACCCTACCATGTCCAAAAAAAAACTAATCTCAATCTCCAATTTTATTTCATAAAAAAGCTGTTGTTGCTGCATCTGCTGTCCTTGGAAAGATTGCTTCTCCTGGTTCTGTTGAGAGTGGTTCCAAACTTTCTACTGCCCCAGTTCCTTCCTTTAGCATCGAGACTAACGAGCAGAAGCAAGCTTCTGGAACCGAAACAGCTGCTGCTGAAGTCCTACCCAACTTTCCTAATGTAATTAAGGGTGAACTCTTGTTCTGCCACCAGGATAACCTCAACACTGATGGAATTTATCCTGGAAAATACACATACAACGATGATATGACCACCGAGGACATGCGTAAGGTCGTTATGGAGAACTATGATCCTGAGTTTGTTAACATTGTCCAGGAGGTGAGTGGTTATATAAAGCCATCTTTGTATAGACAATAATTCTAATCATTTGATTAGGGAGATGTTTTGGTGGGTGGATACAACTTTGGTACAGGCTCTTCCCGTGAGCAGGCTGCGACCGCTCTCAAGTCTAGAGCTATTACTATCATGGTTGCTGGTTCTTACTCGGATATTTTCAAGAGAAACTCAATCAACAATGCCTTGTTATTGATCGAGTCTCCAGAACTCGTTAATGATCTCAAAGAGCAGGCTGGCACTGACACCTTGACCAAGCGTACTGGCTGGGAGGTTGAGATCCACGTTGCTGAAGGAAAGGTAAACGTGAAGAAGGACGATGGAAGTAGCAAGCTGTACAAGGTTGGTGGGCTTGGAAAGAGTGTCCAAGAAATCTGGTTGGCCAATGGATTGGAAGGATGGGTCAAGAACAGACTGTAAATGACTAGCACATATAAAAAGGAGAGAGCCCAAAGGCAAATTGTATACATGTACATCAAAACTGAGTCGTAGAAACGCTAAACATATGCGTAAAAAAAAAGAGTGACAATAACAACTCAAATGTTTTTAAAGTAAATACCAAACTAGTAGTATATTTAATAAAAAGCTTTACTGTCTTTATCAAATTAATATGAATTATGTGCGGTATTGCAATGCTTTAAAGAATGTATTTTCATCAACTACAACACCGTAGATTGGATCAACGGTATATTCCATATCAATATACTCGGGAAGGTTCATAGTGTTCTCTATCAAAGTCTCCATTTAATTCAATATATACCATGCTTAAATAAATAACTTTGTACCTACTTGGCGTTTTAATTGCCGGGTAAGTTGGTGGTGGGGCATGATATAAACCATCCTTTAGCTTGTTGTTGTTAAGAAAAGTTGTAATTGAGTATGTTTTGGTATTTAATATATAAACTTATACGCTTTTATTATATACCATATGGCTTCGGTCAGAGGCAAATCCACGTAAATAGTCGACAGCAGGAATCAATCGAGAGTATCTAAATTATCATCCGCGTTTATTGCGAATTCATAATACAGTAGTTGCTTAAATTTACCTTTTGAACATGTCTGGAATTACAAGATTTGGATAAAATGATTTCTTCACATATTCTTCAGAAGCACATGGAAATGGTAAAATAGAATCAAAGTCATAGACTACTGATCTGTGGTAAAAAAAATGTCAAGCCTAGTTTAAGGTGCCTGTGAAGATAGTAGTTACCTAACATTATCGTAATAATACAAAATAACATGATAATCCTGCAAAGTATCAGTTTTTTTCAGAAGCTCTTGTCTATTAATATATGTCTTTATTTTACCCAGACAACAGGATATGCATCTACGCAGGCGGTTTGGCTCCATACTGGAATCTAATGTCCAGGTTATGCGAGATTCTCATTCTTGCTTATCGCTTACTGTTTTGTTAGGGTTACTTATAAACACAACATTACAAAACTCGAGAGAAGGTTCGTCCTTTTCGCTTATAAGTTTGCATAGCATGTAAATATTTTCCTCACAATAACATCGAGTGTAAATGAGGTCCTGCTTGGCAAGATTAAGTGGTTCACTTTGATTCAAATGGTTCATCTCAAACCCCTTTTTTTTTATCGGCCGCTGACTCTAGAAAAATGGATCTTATACCAGTCACACTCGCTCGACATTTTTTTCATTTTTTCGGCCTTGTCGACTTCTTTCTTCATTCAAGCGTCATGGTAAGCCCGCAGATGCCATTTACTTGGCATTTTTTTCTAGTGAAACAATAAAACTCATCGAGCAAACAATTTTGAATGTAATAGATTCGAAGAAACACTCGTCTGCGCCGCGAATATCTCTACAAAAAATCGCTCGAGTCTAAGGACCGCACGATCTACGATCGCAAACAGCAGATCAAGGAGGCGATTGAACGTTTGTATTTAAAATAAAATACAATAATACCGAGATTATAGATAACTTATTCCGTTTACTTAGAGGGAAAACCTATTCCTACTGAATTGCGCAATGTTGGAGACGATTTGAAGAAGGATCTTCCCTTTGACCAAGCACAGACAGGTAAGACTAAAATAGTTAATATTTAGCTGTAATATATAAATATATATTAATATTCATAAACAGAGCCTTCGACGCATGAGGATGATGAGTATGCTCGTGCTGGTGTATTCGATCCCAAAGTCCTTATCACGACATCCAGAGACCCTAGCAGCAGACTTCAGCAATTCTCAAAAGTATTTTGTAGTCTATGTTATAGAAAGCATGGTAAAGTTATTTACTTGGTATTTGTTTTTAGGAAATGCGTCTTGTATTCCCCAACTCTCAACGCATTAACCGTGGTGGGCATGTTATGAAGGAAATTGTTGATGCTTGTAGAAGTAATGAAGTGACAGATTTGATTATCTTACATGAGCATCGTGGTCAGCCTGGTAAGATACATACATACATACATACATATTAAAAAGTAATGTGTATATTGAGAGAGATAGCCGAGGAATAAAAGCTGATATAGTATGGTGTATTTAGATGGAATGGTTGTTTGCCATTTTCCTTATGGCCCCACCGCCTATTTCTCATTGCACAATGTTGTCCTTCGCCATGATATCAAAGACCAAGGCACAGTCTCTGAAGCATTCCCTCACTTAATATTCAACAACTTCAACTCAAAATTGGGACAGCGTGTAAGCGGAACAAAGGCGATGTAGAATTACTTAAATAACTCATCATAAATTCTATACGTAGGCTACAAACATCTTGAAATACTTGTTCCCTGTGCCTAGAGAAGACACAAAACGTGTGATGACATTTGCAAACGAGAATGATTATATTTCTTTTAGGTAATTATATTATAATCATCCCAACGCATATAACTGACTATTTTGTATAGACATCATGTGTATGTAAAAACAGGAAAAGATGTTGAATTGGCAGAAGTTGGTCCTCGATTTGAGATGAGATGTAAGCTTGAATATACTTTTTATACACACATTCATATTCAATGATGAATTACTTACGCTCTACCCGTCTATGTACTTAACTTTAATAGTGTATGAGATCCGCTTGGGAACTGTCGAATTAACCAACGCAGATGTAGAATGGCACCTGGCATCTTTCACTAGAACAGCAGCAAAGAGAATCGAACTTTAAAAAAATCATTATTTTCATGTACAGTAAACGAAATTTAACAATTAAAAAAAAAGAATATAAAAAATGGAAGAAAAAAAAAGATACGTGACGTTCATATGAGAAAGTGTTCTTCTTTCACTCATGAGCTCTGTCCATCTTGATCGCATGGTAGATCAAGTCTCTGAGCTTTGTAGTTCAGAGACAAGAGCTGACATTCGAGCAGACCTGGAAAAGACATTAAGTGTAGAATTGACATTAAACAGGATCTGGGATGGTCTTGTAAGGGTTTTTTTTTGTTGATCGTCTTATTTTTGGTCTCATTAGTTTGGCTTAGTTCATTAGACAATCAAATTCAAATACATTAATCATTCTTGATTCAGACGATGAAGAAGTAGCTACAACAAGTGTAGAATCTAATCATCGGCAGTAAGAATCCATTAAAAAATATTGTTTTCAACATGTTAATGGGTCTATAGATCTATCGCAATCCCTACAATTAGCACTGCAAAAGCCAGTGGTGATAAGAGCAGTCTAGACATCACAACTACTCCATCAAGCCCATTAAATGAATTTGCTTGGGATTCAGACAATGATTCCTTGCCTTCTCCAAGTGCTCTTGTCTCACATATACTTTCGAACAAAAAAAAGATGAGATCTGCTAAGGTGATCGAAATCGATGATCTGGATGATATTGAAGTGAGATCATCTTTGCCTCAACCCAAAAAGAAACAAAAACAGAAAGAAGCTGCGGAATATATGCCTAGCTATATTTGGGAATGGGATGATCTCGATATGGATGAAAATGTTGGTTCATCCTCAAACTCAACACCAAAGGTATCATTGAACAATAAAAGAAAACAAGCTTACGCTTATCATTTATTTTATTATATATTTGGTAATATGCAACTAAAATAAAATAATATTAGAATTCTTCTCAAAAAAAAAGGGAAAGAGAAGAAGCAAAAGAAGAAAGGGCACGAAAAAAAAAAGAAGAACAAGAAGAAAAGAAGAGGAAACAGGAAGCTCTCAAGGTAACCGCTGTTTTTCCAGCATTTATTTTAAATCATTCAATATTAATAATAGATAATACCTATTGTAGGCTGAGAAAGAGGCACAAAAGGCACAAAAGAAACTCCATGAACAGGCCAACAAACTAAGGACAAATCGCAGCCAAGCCTTACCAGAAATGATCGTATACTTAGATAGCGACTTTGAAAAATCAAACGTAGGAAAGCTGCTGCAGACACAACTCACAGAAAAAGATGTGGAAGTACATATATTATCACGTCCTGCACCTTATACTATTTCATGGAAACGAAAACAACAAGCCGAGTGGGATGAAGACACACAACAATTTATTCCTTTTAGCTCGATACGCATAAAAGACGAGGCATTTGTATTGGTGTTTGTGACAATTGAGCGCCTATGCGATCTAATGGAAACAAGATCACTGGAAAGTTTTGTGGAAATTATTCAAGAGGATGCTGGAAGTAAACAGATCTTGATGATGTTGGAAGGGCTGGAACCCTATTTTAAAAAGAGGATATTGATTGCCAGTCGTCAGTTCCAAGCTACAGTTCTGGAAAATATGCAATCTTCCCAAGTAGGGGGAGCGCGAGAAGAACAAAGAGCTACACAAAAATCCCGTAAACAGCCAAAGAAAAGGACATTGCAAACCTTGGCAGAATCGGGGCCAACCAAAGAAGAAATAGAAGAAGCCTTGACGCTGCTTCAGATGATGAAAAATGTTATGATTGTACCTACAGTAGACGAAGTCGACTCTGTTGAATGGCTAATGACTTTGACAGGAAATATAGCTCATGGGATATACAAGTAAGTAAATATGTTTTTGGTGAAAGTAAGATAGCATATCCCAAATTTCTTTATTGGTATTTTTTGTAGAGCTCGAGGTGCAGCTGGAAACCACGCCCCAGCACGAGCTGGAGCAGACTCAGAAGACAATTGGTCAAGGATGCTACAAGAAATACAGCTGTGCACACCTGCTGTAGCCAAAAGTATTATAAAAGCCTATCCTACAGTAGAGTCGCTTTATAGAGGTTACCAACTTGCATCAAGCCAAAAAGAAGCGGAAGAGTTATTAGCTGATATTGAGGTAAGTTGATCCGCAATCTACAAGCTTTGGTAAGGACAGGGGTCTGACAGGCAATGTAGGTTGAGCGGGCTGCATTGTCTGGTCGCGACCGGTTTGTGAACAAGGCAATGTCCAAGAAGATTTATACAATTTTTATGAATGATGATCCCAACCACAAGATAGCATAAAGTATTATCATTTTGGAGATAAAATATATATGTATATATAGTATATGGTATTATAATTTTTCATTATTATTATTGCAAAAAAAAAGCTAGCTTGTATGCAGACTATCCAGTAAGATCTTTGCTAAATACACACCAAGGAACACCTAAACGATGCTTTGGGTATGCAACCGTGCAGCTATTGTTTTTAGAATTCAAATACACCTCGAAAGGCGTTGAGGTTACGCTGGTCACACTGGCTAGCAAGATCTTCACGATTCATCCTAATGTAAATAATAATAATAATAATAAAACACATAAGATATGTATAATCAAATACATCTCTTGTTGTACTTACATATACATCACCATACGGAGACTATCCCAGACATTTTCACTCATTCCACCGGAAGGTCCACCTATACCACCCTTCTGTTGGCTCATTATAGATGCACTAGTACTAGAGTCTCCAGCCTGCTGAAGCGCAAGAGAAGTCAACAAATGTTCTGCTGCCTCCTTGTGCTGTCCTAAATTGATACAGCTAATTGCCAGATTGTAGCGAGCGCGAACATAAGAAGGATTGATTTCAAGTGCGTTGAAATAAGCTTCAATTGACCCCGATGTATTGCGTGAATTAGCCAATGTAGCTCCCAACTTATTCCACAGAAGATAATCCTATTGCAGTTTAAACGTTAATAACATATCAAAAAACTCTATATTACCGATTACTATGATTTATTTTCCACATACTTGAGGTCTGCTTTGGACAGCAGCCTTGAAGCAATCGATAGCCTTTTCGTACTCTTCAGATACGTTGAAGAGTACACCAAGACCCACTTGCACATTTGCGTCCATCTCTTCCCCAGGGAAACTTCGCGCTGCCTCCAAGAACATATTGGTCACATATTCATGTCTTCCTTCTACTGTTTTAGGCATGCGACCATTTTGAGCAAGGTGTTTGTATTTATTGTTGTTAGCTATCCATTGCTCAAGACATTCATAAGCATCCTCGCGACAAGACTCATTTGTGTAACTGACGGCCAAAGCAAGCCAGGCCTCGAGCAAAGAGGGGTTCATGGAAACAGCTCTTTTGAGGGCAGCAATTGCAGCCGAGTCTCTTTCATTCTCTTGTTGACGAAGACCGAGTTCCTGCCATGCATTTGAATCAGATGTTACCAGCTGTGTTTTTGCTTCCAGGGCAAGGATTGTATCAGCAAGAGAGATGTGTTCTTCATTGATTGCAGCAGGGTTGAGTAGATATGGGTTATTTAGTGCAAATGTGTAGTTATCATACTCTGGGTTTTCTGCACGATATCCCTGTTTTTCTCCAGTGGCAGTGTCCCAGTCCTTCTGCATGGCATCCCAGTCTTCGTCCTTTGCTGTTCTAAGATGTGCGATATTTTCCTGATATTGTCGGATCCAGTCGGAAGTGTCTGTGCCATCCTTGAGTACTTTCTGAAGTACGGCAGGGTCCATTGGTCCGTGCTTGGTGAACTCAGCTGCCCAGTCAATTGCATCAGAAGATGCATTCGTTTCTTTCATAGACTCACCGTCCATCTGGTCAAATTCGGATGTCCAACTGCGTTCTTGCTTTTGAGAAAACTCGTTAGACCACATATTACCGCTAGACGAAGAACCGACATTTCGAGTGAATTCATTCTGCCATTGGTGAGGGTCAGATGTACTCTGGGACTGTGCAAAATCAGATGCCCAGTCTTCTCCCCTTGATTCTACCATCTTATTTCCTTCAATCGAAACTTCTCTGTCTTTTAGTTTACGCATCAAATTCATAAAATTTGAGTTTTTGAATTTAGGATTCTCTTCAGTACGCACAGAGTCTAGCAACATCGCAGCCGTTCTAGCCAAGGCTTCCTTGTCTCCTGCCTGTGTAATTGGCTCTTGCTCAGCAAACTCATTAGCCCATGAGTCCTGCGCTGCAAACTCTTGTTCCCAGTTTACATGAGCGCCTAGAGAACATGTCAGTCCCGCCCAATTTGTATTCAGCACATCCTTTTTTTCACCTGCCTTGTTTTGCTTCCTCAAAGGCATGCTCAAAAGCATGTCTCTCGTGGTCTGTGATAGCAACCTCATTGGGATGATTCTGTTGAAATGCTGTAAACTCATCATGCCATTTGTGATCTGTGTAGTGGTTTGGTAAGATCATGATTGAACTGATTATGTTTTCATCTATTTTGTTTTATCCATGACAAATATACCTGGTTGATTTTGTTGGTATATTTTCTCAAAATCTTCGAAGTTTCCTCCAGGATGGTGCTGCATCATTGGTTGTTGCATAAAATCATTGGCCCAGTCATTTGATAGAGCATGTTGTGAATTGGCGTTGATAACATCGATTTCTCGATTTAAGCCGTTAAATTCAAATACTCCGGCCGGACGTTCTACTGCCCTGTCTTCCTGCATAAACTCGCCTGCAAACTATTTTATTCCACAATTTGTTTATTGGCTTAATGACCTGTTTATTCCTGGTTCGGCTTTTCTCTCTCGTTTCTGTTATATGCTTACCTGTCTGTCTGCAATAGAAGCTTGGGTGGGTCGGGTGCGAAACCCGGACTGGTGATAGTGTTACTATGTGTGCTGGAATACAAATATTATTTTTATTTATTTTTTACCTTTGAGCTCTCTCCTCGTTGATTTCCCATCATACGATCCTAATGAGGCGCAATGAGACATGTGCATACGTATGAGGTGTGTCCGTAAGTGTCAATGTGTCAAACACTATCGAACTGTTGTTGTTTTTGAGTTACTTGTTGGAGAGATCTGTCTTGTTGAAACTGTTTCATAAGACCAGCCATTGGGTTGGAAGGGCCGCACTCGGCTCCTCTTGATACGGGTGAAAATGCCATTAAATGAAATTCTTGAAAGTAATAAATAAAATAGAAAGAAAGGGGAGGGATAGATGGTGTAAAGAAAGTCAAAAAGGCAACACAAGACCGCTGATTAGTCATTTTAAACGGCGTTGGCTTGTGGGGATGCGAAAGGTTGAATAGGATTGGTGGAGATGTGACGGCTGGGATGTCTTGAAGCTGTCCCCATGTGAGAAAAAAAATAGGTAGATCAGACAGACATTGGATAGGATTGAGAGGCACAGGTTGATTACAGTAGAACAATTTTGTAAGTCGCACAATTTGAAAATTTGAGTTGCATTTTGGAATAAAGAATGTTCAATAGTATTTTATATTTAAACAAAAAGTAGAGTGAAGATTATGTAAAGAAAAAAGAAAAGGATGCCAAAATGTTTAATACCTTGATCATTTAAGATTACTTTTCTATACTGCCTATTGGTAAAGAAGTTCCATTATTAGTAGTTAGTAATTCTCAAAAATAAGTCTTGTATTTTCAAATCGTGCGACTAATTTTGTTAAATTATCCAACTTGTATCGCTCGTTCCACTGTAGTCTTGGCTATTCAATACAAAAAAAAATGTAGCACTAAATTTTGGATAAATCAAAAGGGGTTGGACTATTGATCTATTTTCCAGTGTTATATAATTTTCTTTTCTAGCAATTAAATTAATTAAAAGGACTAGAGAATATATTATCATTGACAAGGTTTAGACCCTTGGGATATAAGTTTATGTATTTAGAGTATTTTTTTCTACTGACAATTTACTTTGATATTCTTTCAAACCCATACTATATTTAATACTACATTTAAATCCGCACTGAAGTACTTCTTTATACACTGGTGCCCAAAGGATTGGTTTAAAGCGTAGAATTTTTGTTTAATAATAACAATGGCAATACTATATATTTAACCTGTAGTAAACTATTCAGGTCCAATACATTATATATCTATATATAAATAGGTACACGGATAGGAAAAAAAAATAAGAATCTTATATCTTAAAAGAAATACAGAGGAGACATTCAATCAGAAATTGGTGCCTAATAAGTGATAAAGTTGTAAACTCGAGTAGTTCCACCCCTTGGCTTATAGATAATCCGTCCTTCTTGAGCAAAGCGTTTTATTATGGATTGTACGGTAGAGACTGCCAGACAGTATACGCGGCCAATATCACAAAGTCGCCAATTGTTGACATAGTATCTTATAACAATTTCCCTTCGTATCGCAAGAGTAGTCTTTGTATAGCAAGGTTGTCTTGTATATTTAGTCATTGTGTTAAAAGAGTGGTATAGAAATAACGAATTCAAATTGATTGATTTTTAAATGCGGCTTATAAAACAATTGGCTCTATACAATATGTGAACTTTGGACCATAGATGAAACCATAATGCACACTATGGAGCCTTGATTACGAGAAGTATTATTATTTTCTTTAAATCGAATAATATTATATAGCAATGCTTACAAAAACTCACAAAAATTATGCTCACTACAAAGCTGATAGTCTTGAAAACATTTAACTTGTATTTTTTATATTAAAAATAAAAGAAAAATATCTAATAACAATGAGTTTTACTAGTGAAGAAGACTATACCAGATAGTATAATTATCTAAATGCTTCTTTTTATTATGCTACTGATATTTTACCCTCAATATTTTTTTTTTTACTTTTTTAACCTCTACGTGGCTTATGAGCACTTGATTTAATGCTAATTGAAATTCTACTGCTGCAGATACTCTAACATCGTTTCAGCTACTCATGCAAAGCATGAACCAGTGAGGGACGTGTATATCTCATATTAGATTGCGAGTTTATTCCGTTGGTAGGTTTATTTTGTATAAAAATCCCTATAGGTATTGTAGCTATTATGCAATACGCAAAACTAAAACATAAATAAAGTATAGCTCAACGAATAAAGAAAAGAAGTAGTAAAACATGATAGAACATGATAGAACATACTTACATTATCTAAATGGCATGTTTATTAAATGCACTGAATAAATATCAAACTACTTAATGTAAATAAAACTCTCTCCTATTCTAAAAGGTGAAGCTTATTGTAGTAATATCTTAAAATTCTTCCTTAATATTTAGACGTATTTTTGCCAGTAAAATATAGTACCTAACTTCCTTTCTCTTTTAAAAAAATAAATAAATAAATTGAAACCAAAATTCGCTTATATATATATATATATCGAGTAAGGATAACGTATATAATAATAAAAACAATATGAATATGGATATTCAGATTGAGATAGATTTAATAGTAGGATTATTCTCGCAGGTAATCATACTTTTGATAGGCTAAACACATAATTACATGATAAAAAAAAGGTGCTTTACTGAATGAAATATATAATATGTATATTCATTTTAATGATCTGGAAGCCTAATAAAATTCTTGCTCAATAAGCATACAGTAAAAGCAAATTATGGATCAATTAAATAGATTTACTATTCAATTACAATGTATTATGTGTGCACTCTGACGCTTTATAATATGTTAGTTTATCTTGGTAACAAACTAAATACAAAAGAACTCAATATAAAAATTAGCCAATAAACATATATGCTAGTATGCAAGCTTTCATGTAAGATTATGTCGGTTTTCCTTCTTACATATACACCTCAAAAAAAAAAATCAAAAACCCAAAAACAAATTTTGTGACGTGCGTCCTTTTTTTTTAGCTAGTGATCCTCACAATAAAAACCCGAGCTCTAACTGCTCCCTACAAAAAAAAATGTTCCATGCGGAGAATAATTCAAATTCATAGCTTAAAATTAGTAATAAATATTCATCTGTTATTATGATCATAACCAATTCACTATATCAAAGCTGTCTCTCTTATATTATTACTATACTTTACACTATTTTGTAAATAGAGCAACTAAACCTAATTTCTACCATAAGAACAAATACACAAATACATAAATCGAATATGGTACTTAATTATCTATACATATATATATTTAGCAGATATCTTTATTATATTGACTATTTTAATTTTATCTAATACAAAGATGGTATTAAAAGGTAGAATTTTGAATGCTATATGTGCTGTATGACACGTATTAGGTTATACTAGGGTGTATCAGCAGTTTTATATGTTTGATTGTTCTGATTTCGTGAATTAAATAACGGTAGACAGGTGAAAATATCTTTATTGTGGGTTGTACTAGGCCTTACGCATTTTAGCATTTAGGCTACCCAATGAGAGCTGAGGAATAATTGAAAATAATAAAAGTAACCCTCTATATATGAGGGGGAATAAAAAAATATGTAAAGATGAAAGATAAATAAAGGAAAAAAAGTATTGGACAAGGCATGGCAAGGGTGGATAGCCAGCGAAACAGTAAGAGAGCACGTAAAAATCCCCCTGTGGGGGAAAACGGCTTTGAGAAAAATAGCGGTAGACAGATACAAATTCAAAAATAAGATTTGAATAAGAAATATTCTAATCTGGCCAATCATATCATGCTTTATCTGTTTACAGTTAATTTAAAAAAAAAACCCTAAAAGTCATTAAATATTGTGCGGTTTAGAAATGCTGGATAATTCGTCAAAAAGTTATTGTATATAAAGCTATTATATTCTGCTTTTGTAATTTATTCAAGAATTTGTTCTTCAAAAAAGAGGGATGACTCTTTGAACAAATATTGTTCAAGTTTGTCCAATCATATTCATTTAGAAAAAGAGCAAATAAAATTCAATTTCGGGCAAAATGCATCTGTCCATTGCTAATATAGCAATCTTTTGTAGCAAAGCTATATGCATATACATTTTTATGAGTCTATAATACTATATTCTTATTACAATGCTTGACTTTTGCTTGCTAGTACGTTTGAGCTTTAGGTTTTCTTTGTATTTAATAGTGTATAGTATTATGTCATATGCTTGCAAAAGTCAAAAGTCGAGCTTCAGTACCAGAAATATAGAATGTTAGATTATTAAATACATTTAAAGTTTTTTGTTTGTTTGTTTAAAATTATCTAGAAAAGTACAATAAAAGAATGTTTTCGTAACTATTACTAATTGACAGCATAATTAGGCACAGACCGCTTATTCGAGGATTTGTTTATATTTTTTTAGAGCTTACAAAAATCAACTCTATGCGGTTAAAATTGAATATTAAAATACGAAAAAATGGACATGCAGCTATTATATTATTATTTTAGCTAGATAATAAGGATACTTTTTAACTGTCATCTGCGTTCCACTTTTTCGTATTTATATTTTTAGACCATAAGAGCAAATAAATATCTATATAAACTTGAAGAAACACTAGCAAAAAAAACACCATTCATATCAATCTCATCAGGTCTAGATATCATGAGCAGTACACTGATCCAAAGCCTATACAATGAAGAAAACTTGCTTCATATTACGGGTTTTGTTGCAGTTGGGGTAGCTGCCAAGCTTGTCCATACAATCCTGGTTTGGGCTAATCAGGGAAAAGGCGAGGATCCATGGAACCGAGAAGGATTCAAGAAGATACCTGTTCCCTCGGGAAAATATCCATATTTTGGTATAGGAAAAAGGATTTTACTTTGTTGCAATGGTACTAATATACAAAGTAAATACTTGACTTTAATTTAAAAGGACATGTAATTTCGATGGGAAAGGTTCCAGCCTTTCAAGTTGAAAAGTGGCATCAAGAGAGCGGTAAAATATATCCATGATATCACGAAAATACTTGAATTAAACATATTTTCTCAGGTCCAATTATTCATATTACTCTGGGAATCCAACATTGGGTTATAATTAGCGACCCTTTCATTGCTCACGAGCTTTTTTCTCGAAACGGAATAAGGGCATCAGGTAGACAGAGACACTTCTTTACTCATGAAATCTACACAGACGGCGGAAAGTAAGGCATAATAGCACTATAAAATCGTATTTACCATTCTTTCTAGTCGTGGTATTCTTTTCAACGACACGGGAAAGAAGTGGAAGAATGCGCGCGGAATGGGTAACTGAAAGTCCATAGACTTTATAAAAAAACATTTTGCTCATACTTCAGCCTAATGATATACAAAAGCATTGTCAATATTATCGCCAAAGTTTGTTAACAGATTCACAGCTGTCATCGAGGACATGGCTGACGATACACTCAGAACACTGAAAGAAACATCAGACAAAGAAGGGGCAGTGTGGCCTATGCCTCTCTTAAAACTAGGAACCTTCAGTGCTATTACAAGATCTTTGTTCGGAAAAACTGCAGAGTCACTCGGCGAAGAAACATTTAGAACTATTGCCTTCTTAGGAGAAGAGGTTATCAGATTGGCCGGTCCTGAAAACGACATTGACTCTTTCTTCCCTAAATTTTCGTGGCTTACTAAACTCTCGTCCGAAAAGAAGGCAATGGAAAACGTAGTTACAAAAAGAGATATAATATATCGAAAATTGATAAAGGATGCTGTGGAAGGCGATGTTGATTGCTTGGCAAAGAACGCGTACGCTCTCAAGGATGAGTACAATCTGAGTGACATGGACTTGATTATCATAATGAGTAAGTCTTTTGATACTGTGTCTGTATTGTCTTCCTTTTCTAAACAAAATCCCTCCAATACTCTTGTTTATTACTACCAATCAAGGCGATCTTTTCGCTGCTGGTGGAGATCCAATTGCTTTGTCGATAGCCTGGCTCTATGCAATCTTACCTCATTATCCAGAGATTCAAAAGAAGATGTGTGACGAGATTGATCAGTTTATTGTTAAATATGGTCGTATACCTAGTTTCTCTGATCGGGAAGAGCTTCCATATGTTATTGCTGTGATGATGGAAAACATCCGTTACAGAAGCATTACAAATTTCGGAATCCCTCATTATGCCACAGCCGATAGTAAGTAGATTACATTCAATTTTTTACAAAGCTTACGTTTTATTTTGTAGTTGAGTTTCTTGAATACTTTATTCCAAAAGGCACTGTAATAATGAACAGTATGCACGCTATGCACATGAACCCAACAGTCTATGAAGATGCGCAAAAGTTTATGCCAGAACGATTCTTAGGGTGTCTCAAGTCTTGGACAACTTTATCCAACGGAAATATCAAGGATCGCGAGATGTATGCTTTTGGATGGGGGAGGTATGTATTGTAATAAACGCGGAAGATAAAACCAAAACACATAATAAACTATTTTCATGTATTTAAGACGAACTTGCCCGGGGTCGCATTTTGTAAGTAAATACACTAAGTACATGGGGCTCCAACATTTTACTCATCTTGTTATACTCGTAGGCCGAAGTAGAGATATTTAACATGTCTGTTCGTACTCTTGCACGCTATACCGTAGAACCCGCTCTTAATACAGATGGGACACCCTATTATTACGACTTGGACGTGGTGTCTACTGGTCTTAACTTGCCTCCAAAGGAGTTTAGAGTACGATTTGTGACCAGGGTTGATGCTCCCATGATTATCCCCTCTTAAAGATATATCAGAATATTCTCGGTGTTGTGTAATGGATATGCAGTGTTTGATACCAAGCACATAGTGATTAGCACAAAGTATATTGAATAAAGTTTTTCAAACTAAATAAATTCATTTATTTTTTAAAATCCTCTATTAAATTTTGTTTCATTGCAAGAATATTTAAATACTTTGAATATATGCACAAATAAAATATAATATGGTCTCAATAGTCTTGATCTTTAGATCTTAGTAACATTACACTCTTTTTTTTATGTGTTTCAAAAAGACAAGTCAGTTCCCAGTTCAATCTAAGCAATGAATACATGGTTGTTGCCAAGGCTAAGAAAAGAGTCAAGTCTTTCAAAAGAACCTTTTCTCTCTCTAGTTACAACAAACACTCTTCTATAGCAAATTATTGACTCTAAACAAATCATGAAAAGAATAATTTTTTCCCTAGCTATATCTTGAAGACAAATAAATTATAGCAATAGATAAGTTTATTCTTTTTTTTTAACTGTGATTAAGTAAGCTGTACATGTTATAATTGAAGCTTGTTTTATTGTAATTAGATAATGGAAAAAAAGTGGACATGGTGGTGGTCCTAGACAGACCTGTGGCGCAAATGAAAAAATGAAATAAGAGGGAAGGGAGAATACAAAATGCGTATACTGAATAGTTTGATGTTGGCCAAAAGACCGTGTCTTTACTCTTTCTTATCCTTTTTCTCCTTCTTCTCCTTCTTCTCCTTCTTTTCCTTCTTATCCTTCTTCTCCTTCTTCTCCTTCTTTGCCTTCTTCTCCTCCTTGGCCTCTGGTACTTCAACTTCTTCGATCTTTCTCTTCTTAGGCTCCTCGACTTCCTTGGGTGCTTCAGTCATAGCAACATCACTCTGTGCATTGTATTGTGCTGTCTTGTTAAACTGGAACTTCTGCTGTTTCTGGGCGGGCTTCTCCTTGTTGGCTCTAGCATTAACACGACCCTCAAGCATCTGGATTCTGGCCTCAACCTTAATGCGACCATCGGTACCGACATCAGGTGAATCACCGTCACCAAGAGCATCAACTCTCAGAGCAATGGCAGTCTTGGTAGCCAAGACACGGGCAACCTTAGCTTTGTGCTTGGCACCAGCCTGGCCAACCAATGAAGCGTGGTAGATCAAACCATACTTGGGTGTGTTGTGCTTAGTCTTCAAAGCACGGAAAAGAGCCTTTTCGGCACCAAGGATCTGGATGGTGGAAGCAGGCTGCTTGGCCAAGTTCATCAAAGAACCGGCATGGGAGATAAGGCGAGCACCAACAAGTTCACCAACAAGAATGGTGAGGTTAGGAGCAATGGCTAAATAAAAATAGCAAAACGTTTAGCAAAGCATTTATATTTATGTATTTGATTACAGTATTTACCATTCATGCGGTTCTTCAAGTACTCGTACAACTGTTGTCTATACTCAGTGATAGAGATGACTTGGTCACACAGGCAGTGAATGTTCTCAATATCCTCCTCAGAAATTTCGGTACCCATAGAAATCTCGGCAGCTTCCTTAACTTCAGCTTCCAATTCCTCGGGGAGGATGGCAGACAATTCAGTAGAATGGGCGTTGGTACGGAAACCCATCATCTTAACAACCTTAGCGTAGGCAAGGTTGTCAACAATGATCTTGCCCATCTCGGGGAAGTGCCATCCGTACCATTCCTTAACACGCATAGCATATGTGTTCAACTCCTTGTCAAGATCATCAAGAAGAGCAATTGCCTGGACAATCATGGTGTCAACCTTGTCAGGGCTGAACTTGAGCTTATAGCGAGAAAGAGAGTGAGAAAGACCAAGAGACATGGCAGAGAGGTCTGAAGGTGAGAGACCAGAGACAAGAGACTCAAACTGCTGGCGGATACCTCTGTAAAGGTCCAAGACAGTGGAATCGGAAATAACGCTGATGCCCAACTTCTTGTTGATTGCGCTACCTGTAGCCAAAATCGTTAAGTATCACATATACACTAAGGCTCACTTAAACGTACCAAGCTTAGGATCACTGATAATCAACTTCTCCTTCTTCATATCCTTCTCGGAAATCTCGCCTTCCAAGAACTTCTTCAAGTTCTTGGGAACTTTGCCTTCAACAATACCAGTTACGGCAGACAAGGCATCGGTGGTGTTTTCAAACTTCTTGAAAGCCTTAAGCTTGATACTGTAGAAATGAGAGTGAGCCACTTGATGTCTAGTAATCCAAAATGACTTACGCCTGATTGGCCTGTTCGGGAGTCTCGAAATCCTTCCAGATATCGTCGGCCTTCTCGAGCTTGGAATCATTGACAAGCTTGAAGAGAGCATAGCCAGCAGCAGTTTCGTATAAGACGAGCATAGTAAGATCAGTGACTCGGATTTGTAGGAAAAAAAAAAGAAAAAGGGTGATCTCAACACAAAAAGGAAAGACAAGCCAACTTGCTCAACACAAACACGTCGCTATTTTTTTTCTTGGGTGGCGGGCCAATTCGCTAATGCTTCTCGTTTTGACAGGAAGGAAGAAAACCCGTCACAAAATAGAGCAGATCGAGGTTTTTATGACCACTTGTACGCTTTTAATATCTTTATTAAAACATCTCATATGGGTGGAATAAATAGATCTCTTATAATAGACAATAAACAAGTTTAATAAAAGGAGTATAATGGACAAATAAAGCCATCTAGGCTGTCTTGAGTAGTATTTCTTGCCTAAAACAAGCCACATTGCCTTTGGTCCCGACTAACTTCGGTATGTCTTTTTAAAGTACCGCTTACAGTCTATATTTTGTCAACTTTTTTTGTTATATATTTTAGTTTTTTTTTAGAGAAGTAACGCTTTAATCATGGCACCTGCATTCAAGAAAAAGCCCAAGAGAACCTTAGCCGACTCGCCTAATAAGGTCAGTCTTAGCATAACTAATTATTTATTGAGATCAGCAGAGATCTCATTCTTTCAACAATCCAGAAACCCGAGTCTCAGCCTCAATCGAAAAAGCAGAAGCGATCGCCGGCTGTGAAAAAGGTCACCGAGATTGAAGACGATGAAGAGGATCTCATTGAAGCCGCGGAGACTGGAAAGTACGACGATGATGCCTTTGACAGCGAAGAAAATGACGATTGGGAAGAGCAGTCAGGCGATGAGGATGAGGAAGAAGCCTTTGAGGAAGACGAACTAATGGTGGATTCTATCGAAAAGCCAAAGAAATCCAGAAAATCCATTCGTATAAAGGGAGGAGAACTTGAAGGAATGAAAGAAACAGCTGAGCTGTTCAAATCTAACATCTTCAAACTGGAGGCAAGTAGTGCTGAAATTAAATCCAATTATAGTTTTAAGGGGACTCATGTGAATTATCATAGATTGACGAATTACTTGCCGAAGTTGGTGTAAAGTATGAGAAGCACAAGGCTCTGGAAAGAGCTCTTCATCATATTAAGGCTATATTCGATAGCTTACCTGAGGGTAAAGAGATGTTGGTAAGTATGATGAGAGAATAAACGCATTAATTAGTATGGAATCTGACATGTGATATGATTATAGTTGAATGCCTTCAAAGAGAATATGTCCAAGAAACATAATATTGAAACACCCTTTCCCAACCCCCAACCTGCCCCCGACGCAAACTACAAGTTCAAATTTGAAAAGCCTGCAGCAATCCATTTGATCGGAGGATACGCATTAAAATCAGTCGCTAAATTGAAAGAGCCTTTTAATGTCGATGTAGCTGTGGAAATGCCAGCTAGTGTTTTCCAAGAAAAGGATCATATGAACAACCGTTATTTCTACAAACGTGCATGCTATTTAGCTGTACTTGCTAATGCTATCAAGGACTCCAAAAAAGGTTTCCAGGTTGAATTTAGCTCATTCAATGGAGATATGCGCAAGCCTATTTTGCTTGTGAAGGCATCTGGTGGTAAATATATACAGAGGAAAAGAAAACACCGTTTTGGTTTTGGTTTTAAAACTTTTGAAAATTATAGATAAGTCAGAGGTGGATTTCTCAAAGACAAAATGTATTATTCGCATTATGCCCAGTTTACCCGAAAACACCTTCCCTGTAAACCGTCTTGCACCTGGAAGAAACAACGTACGCTCAGGAGAAGAAGTCAACGTCGAAATGTTGAAGCCTACTCCTCACTACAATGCCTCTCTTTTGATGGATACTTCTCTCACCGCTAACTTGGCATTCCTTTACCAACACAGCAAAGCATGTGGTGCCTTCAGAGATGCTATTGTATTGGCCAAAACATGGCTGCACCAACGTGGTCTTGTATCAACTGATGATATCCACTCTGGTTTCAATGCTTTCTTGTTCTCTATGCTTACAGGCTACCTCTTGCAAGGTGGAAAGACCGGCGGTGGAAAGAAACTGGCTAATGGTCACAGTTCCTACCAATTGGTTAGAGGAACTATTGATTTCATTGGTAAAATATCTTTTTTATAACGTTTCCTTATTTCATTCTTTTTTTTGGAAAGACAACAGAAGTACTCAGATATTCAATTAATCTATTTATTTATTTTACTTAGCCACTCACAATTTTGAAGAGGATCCCGTCTTCATTGGAACTTCTGATAGTTCAGAGGTAATTTAACAACATATATATATATATACTTCTTGGAAATATTTTTGTTTACATCCTTAAATGCCTAGTTTTCCGCCGAAGCCTTCAAAAGCAACTATGATGTTGTTATTGTAGATCCTTCTGGTACTGTCAACTTGGCTGCCAAGATGACCTTATCTACTTTGGCTCAGGTAAAGAATATAATGATGTACATAGTACATATTCTTTTACTAACCGCATTATATAGCTCCAACACGAGGCCAAAATAGCAATGTCATATTTCAATGATACCACCGATAGATTCGAGGCTTTGTTCTTGAAGAATGTCAAGGACATCAAATATAGATTCGATAACTTGCTCAGGTAATGACTCAAAAAGAAAAGAAAATATAAAACAATTCTTTGAAAACAGCAAAACCTTATTATTTTATCCTATAGAATCAATGCTTCTGGTACTCCAGTCAGACAGTATGACCGTGCTGCAAAGGCAGACTATGCTAGCCATCTTGAGTTCTTTGCCAAGTCAGCCGGAAACATTCTCAAAAAAGGACTTACCAACCGTACTGATCTTATTTCCGTTCAATACTCTGCTCCCTCAACATGGGCCATTGATTCTGCTGCACCTGATCTAGATGAAAATGCCGTCATTACCATCGGCCTTGTTCTTAACTCTGACAATGCTCCTCGTCTTGTTGACCAAGGTCCTGACCCACAGCAAACTGAGGCAGCTCAACTCTTCAGAGAATTCTGGGGAAAGAAATCAGAGCTCCGTCGTTTCAAAGATGGCAGCATTGTTGAGAGTGTCGTCTGGCAAACACAAGGGTACGAAAACAAAAGTTTGATTGTCCAGAAAATTGTACTTTACCTGCTCAAATTCCATCTCGGTATTTCTGCTGAGCGTACCCACTACTGGGCTGGTCAGCTTTACCCTTACATAAACTACTCCAAGGCTGTTCCCGAAAATCTGTTTAGTCCTGAGCTCAGCTTAAATGATTTCCAGCCTTTGATGGCTGCATTTGGCCAGTTCTCAAAGAAATTGCGCAGTGTTGATAGTGCCTTACCTCTTGTTATCAGCAACATTTACCCTTCCTCTGCTAGTTTGCGCCAAACTACCGTTAATCTCCCCCACCCTGCAGACTTTAGCAACATCTCCGCTTACCCTACCACTACACGATACTTTGATGCTATTGATGTCATTGTCCAGCTTGAGCGTTCAAACAAGTGGCCCGATGACCTTGAGGCAATGCAGAGCGTTAAGCAAGCCTTTTATCTCAAGATTGCAGAACAACTTAAGGAGGTTTCCGGTATTTCTTCTGTACCTGTACAAGATGTTCGTGAGACCAACCCATTGGCCAGCTGTGTGTATCTCGATGTCTACTACTTTGGATTTGTGTTCCGTTGCCGCCTTCACTTGGAACAGGAAGGAGAGCTCCTCAAGTCTATTGTTACTAGCAAGCGTGAGACTAAAGCCAAGAAGGCTTTAGCCAAGGAAGCCCTCGAGTCTTATGAAATGCAATTTGTCCATCGCCGTGCACACACTTATGCTATGCAGGCACTCTGTGGTCGCTTCACTGCATTTTCGGCAACTGTCCGTCTTATTAAGAGATGGTTTGGCTCTCATTTGCTTTCTTCTCATGCGTCAGAAGAGTTTATTGAATTGGTCTGTGCCTACGCCTTCTTGGAGTCTCAGCCATGGGCTCCTGCTACAAGCGCAATGTCCGGATTCTTTCGTGTATTAGGCTTGTTGGCATCATGGGACTGGCAGCGCATGCCTTTGATCGTGGATCTTAGTGGTGACATGACATCAAATGTGCGTGATTCTATCTCAGAAAAGTTCAATATGTTGCGTAATAAGAACCCCCAAATTACACAAGGTGCCATGGTAGTGGCCACTAACAACGACCTTGATGGTCTGCGGTGGTCTTCTCAAAAGCCTTCCAAGGTTGTTGCTGCACGTATTCAGACATTGGCCAAGGCCTCTTGTGATGTACTCGACCAAGCAATTTCATCTGGAGAAGAGAATGATATCAAGGTAAAGAATATTATTAAGATAATGTCAAACATGCTAAAAAAATGATTGATTATCTAGCGTATCTTTGTTACTCCTATGGATGCATACAGTAATATTATCCAGCTCAACACAGAGCGATGCACCCGTTATTTCCAATCTCTCCACCCTCAACACAAGTTCATGTCCACCACAAAAGCTGCTGGATCAGAAATGGGTGATGTTGTTTACGCAGATTTTGACCCTGTTACAGAATACGTAAATGAGATCGAGGTAAGATATATTATAGACCAAATAAGGTAATATAAAGAAAAATACTAATATTCATAAATAATTAGAAAACTTATGGAAACACAGTGCTTGTATTCTATAACAAATACGGTGGTGATAAGATTGCCTTGGTATGGGATCCTATCACTGCGACCCCCAAACAGTGGAAGGTCCGAGTTGAATATAACAGTGTGCCTGTAGATATGACAAAGCGCGGTGTATTGGTAAGCTTATTTGGACGATAAAGGTGTTTTAATTTTTCAATTTGTATTAACTTCATCTTTAGAAACCTGCCAAGGACTGTAAAGAAGTATCCAAATTGGCCGCACCAAACTTTGATGCCATTCTGTGCGAGATCAAGAGGCTTGGAGAAGGACTTATTTAGAAATAGATAGAGAGAAAGATTGAGAGTTGTACTTCATATAAAATTGCATTTGACAAAACATATATACAAAAATCACTGCATTCAAACAAACCAAAGTTGTACTGTGTACTCGTGAATTGAAACAGAATAAGTATCCAAGGTCAATTGTGGGGTTCCCCCCATTTTTATTATGCAGCCAATCAAAGTTTGTTGGTCACTCCCTTTTGAACCTCATGGTCTCCTTTCCTTTTTCTTATTACCTTTGACCTGTTTCTTGGCTTTGCAGTAATAGGCTTTCTTCTAGACGTGTATACGTATTCTTAAGATGGACTACTTTTCAAAGTTCAAGAAAAGGATCGTGGCTCCTAAAGTGCAGCCCACTAGCGCCATGCAGCTTGCCAAATTTCACAAATGCTGGGATTATGTTCATGTAAGTGATCGATCCAAGTTCAGATCACCATTAACTTCTTGAATAGAATGTGCTGATGATGGAACAAAATGCAGGCAAAGTTCACGTAGACCAAACAGAGATTCCAGAAAACTTGCGACATATGGTAGATATGTTGGTCGATGAAGAGGCAAGACAAGAAGATAACACAACCGGAGTATGCATGGAGTATCTTCTTAAAAATGGCGTATTGGAGTATCTCGTTAATGTTTCTGAGAAAGTGGATAGCCCAGCTGATATATGCGGAGAGACCATACGAATGATTGCCAGTATGATTGATCTACTGGACGATCGCTTTCTAGTACACCATGCTGTTCACAAACCAACGATCAAACTCTTGCGATTCTGTGTGTTGGATGACAGGCAGAGCGATATTTACCATGAAGACCTTGTGGATCTAATGTATATAATTTGCTCCAAGATATATGGTTTTCCCGCACTACTCAACATCTTCTTTCATGACAAGCAGTGGCTGACCACACCGCAGAAATCTCTTCATGTGCGCGATTCAGACTCTGGCACGAGTGATCCTAAGAAACCTGAGTATGAATTTTTATTATTCACTTATCTACTCCGGTTTGTTCATCGAGAAGGCCGTTCGGGTGATTTTGCAAGAACTGGATTACTGTTCTTGATGGAAATGGCTACGGAGCACCTGGGGGATTTTATTTTGGAGTCAGACTTTGCTAGCATTATGGCAGCTGGACTCGGTGCTCTTTATTCGCAGCTGCCACGCAAGCTTGTGGTGAATGATGAAGACGAGATCAATTCTAGTTCAGCTTCGTATTTACTTGGCCAAGACAGACATCCTCGACTAGAGAATCTATCGAGTGCGGAACAATCAAACTCAAAGGAATTCAAACTTCAATTGGACTCCTTCCTCAAGCTACTCGAGTTTTGCCAAGATGTATTAACTCGATGTCCTCACAGAGAGATATCTGTACGATTATTACAGAGTGTTCGTTCTATATTTCTCGAAAATATTCTCTACCCTTCCATCCTAGAGTGTTCTGATATGGATGGATCTTCAGTGGCTGTAATTAGCTATATCGATCTTATTCTACAGACATTACAACAAGATGCACTAGCGGAAGTAGTTGTAGGGTTTTTGATGAATGAAGAAGACGATATTATAGAGAGTCGTCTTCGGGAAAACGGTATATTTCTTTTGGCTGGACTCTCCTTGGATAATACCAAACCTTCACCTTACTTTACTACCGCTGAACGATTCACGCTCAAGGATCTTATTTTCACCAGACTTCAGTCAAGCTCTCAATCAACTGTAGTTGCTACACTCAAGCTACTTAAAACTCTGATTGTTAAGCACTGTCGTTACTCTCTTCAACTATTAGCCATTGAGCCGGATATTGATCCCAAAGACCATTCCGAAGAAAAGAAAAAGACTTCAACATGGATATCCCATCATATCCGTGAGATGACGCTTTACTTCTCCCTGATTTCTGCGATCGATTCACGCCCAAAAACACTGACTCTTGGATACGAAGAATACCTCCAAGACGTCGAACAGTCACTCGAAAGTGATTGTTGCTACCAGAGTTTTACAAACAAGCTACCTTCTCAGGACACTCAGGGTACATCAAAAAGTGAACGAAGAAGAAGCTTCAAGTATGGGGATTGGCAAGGAAGAGTCTCGCATGAAAGACAACCAATCAGGAACCTTTATCAATCTCACAACAATGTAACCCGTCATCGTATCAAGTCGGCCGATCCTTTACTTCAGATCCTTCTCAGTCTATTGAGTCATTTCTTTACCCAATCATCTGAACTCAACTTGGCATTGACCAGCGTAGTGGCTGCCTTGGCCTCTTGCCCTTACAGAAGTCTAGAAGGCTGGATATCTTTCCGAGAGAGCGACCAGACAACAGCAGACGATGTTCTAGATCTGGATAGAGATGAAATGAGTGATTCCAGTGAAGAGCGTGGTTCAATTCATGGCCAAGATATATATGCACATTTTGACAATGGTTTGGTTGACGAAGATGACGAAGATGATGATAGATCGATTGACTATGGTGTAGAAAAAACCACTCAGTTACGTACTCCGGTCCGTTTTAAATCATATCCTCCAATCTTTACACTTCTCCGCACTCTCACGCAACAAGTAGACTATTATCGTTCTGAGATCGATGGGTTTGATACCCTGTTAGAAGAGCGCTGGCAAGGTCTACTATTGGGTGAGCCTGAAATAGATCCACGTCCTACACCATCCACTTCTCTATCGACCCGTCGAATGCAAGCTAAAGACCAGCCTCCAGAAGCTCCTACTCCCTCAAGAAGTCTGTCTACATTCTTTGGTGTTTCTCCTGGAAAGCGCCGACCTCCTCCTCCGACCACATCTTCATCGGTGCCTACTATTAACCCTTCAAAATCTCTTTCCTCATCTACAACTGCAGCTGCGCTGGCTGCCATTCGAACGCATGATACACCACTTGCTGTCAGTGTAATTCCTGCAATAGTCAGCAATCCACTTTCTCATTTAGCTATACATGCTGCCAAGACACAAAATGTACGGATACAGCCTTTGTTTCCTTCCAATTTTGTGAGTGAAGAGCCAATATTAGATCTTGATGAGGAAGATATTGTTGCCTTTGCACCTCAGGCACATCCTTCGAAACCTAAAAGAAATGACAAGAGTACAGAGATTACGCTGGCGATGATTCTTAACAACGTGGTCATTCTTGAAGAGGCAATCAAAGAGTTAGCGGCTATTATGCAAGTTCGACGTAGTCTTGGTATTGATGCCGTACGATATACATGATTAGTCAATCCTTGTCTCCGTTTTTTAAGAAAAGAAAAGAAAAGAAAGAAGCACTTGATATTCTTTGGATGATGTGTGAATCATTTTCTAGAAACAGTGCATTACCCTCTCCTTTTATTTTATTTTATTTTATTTATTTAATTTATAAATTATCTATCACACCAAGGAGCCCATACAACTTGCAAAATATAAATATTGATTATTGACACCCTTGACAAGTATTGTACACTGCTAGCACCTAGGACTAGTAAAGCAAGCAAAATAAACATGGTGAATTATAATGAGTTACAGAAACTCTCAAATTGTTGAATGACAATGACTATGATGGCTTTATTATTATTATTCCAGTTTACTTATATTTCTAAAGTCTATGGAATTGCTGTTCTTGAGATCCTATGAGCTTGAGAATATTACCTAATTGAACTTTTACCTGTAAAAGCCACCAGTTCATATAAAACATAGACCATTGCTTTGCTACATAAACAACGTACACGTCAACTGATTTATAAACCTTGCTGAATCTCAACTGTAGTAAGAGAATAAACTTCTTTTGATTAAATCTTTTCGAGAAGCAACCTCAGACAACAGGGAAAATTTTCATCGATAGCCTTAACGCAACATTCCAATGCTTAGGTTTAACAGAGTTCTAGATAGGTACTTATATAAAGAAAAATGAATGGGACCTGATGGTTAAGCTGATCACTCGTTGTTCTGTGCCCAGAAACTCTGAAGAAACGCTGATCAAAAGGAAAAAGTGGGTGGATGTGGACTCAGACTTACATAGATTATTTGAACAATCATATCTTTGTGGACAAATCTGTTTTTGATATTAACATTAGACCTTTAGTAGCAAGATTTGCAAAAGGCACTTCTGAAATTGCAACTACATCCCAAAAGCCAGTATCAAAAGGTACTATCCCCGGTCATTATATGCTTTTCCTGCGAAATATAAGGAACCTTATGGACCATTACCCTGAGATGAAGGGATTTTATATTGTCATGAACAAATCCCCTAATACACACCAATAATAGCATTAACAAAACTGTTTTAAAGAGAGAATACACTAGCATTTATCTCCCTATATATTCGCCTGAGATAAATCTAATTGAGACTTTTTGGTCTGCAATGAAATTCTATGTTAAGGAAAGAGTAGGTTTAGTGTTGATGAAGATTTTAAAGACGAGAATAGACGAAGCAGTTTGAAAAATGTCTTTGAATTGAACTTATTGAATGATTTTATCTTAAATAAAAAAGAATAATTGTATTTGTTAAATATGCCATTTGAGAATGTCAAACGCGTAAATTGAGCCTTGAAGAAAGCGTTAATTGGAAATGTTAAGAGCATCTTCAGAGCATCTTCAGCAGTCCACTTTAACCACTTTTATTTTAAATTTAAATATTTAGTTAGAATTGGTACCCCCAGCAGTTTATTTTTCTTATCTTTTTGCTAAAGTTAACAAGCATTTGAAATTGATTGACGAAGGCGCTCTCAAAATTTGTTTAGAAAGATAAATTGAACTGTTGGTAAAAGCGACATTTTCTTTAGCTGAAGTGGTGGTGCCTGGCTTTAGATAAATTAAAAAGTTAACTCACTGCTGAAAATGCTCTAAATCCTCTTCTTATCCCAAATTTTATTCTTTTGTGTTTCGATTCTCTTTTTCGTTTATCTAAAAAAAGGTAAGCAAATCGTCTAAGAATTGATTTTGATTCGTTAAAAAAAGACTAGCATCGTCTCAATCTCAAATAGAAAGACTTTAATTGGAGCAACATGGCTCTTTCCACTAACACTCCGGAACCACCAGGGGTCAAAAACCCCTCCACCACTGGCTCATCTCCACCATTGGCAACCTCATTCACACCAATCTCACCTACTCTGACACCACTATACTCACAAGTAGCTACACAGAATGCACCTCCACTCACCGAAAAGCAACCACATGTTATCTTTAGCTCTACAAATAACACAACCCCACGTACCTGGCGTGTAGGGTCCTCTAAGTTCTCTGTATTCTTTACCGCCCCACCAAAAACGTCACCCAACTTCGACCCTTTCTGGAGAGCCCTTCTCGCAGCTTACCCTCGCGAAGTTAACATGGGAATCACTCTTGGATCTCGCTATTCCCCTGATACATGCGAGCTCCACCTGGCTACCAGTGCTGACTGTGAGAGAGCGTGCTCTCATCCTTTGGTAGTCGGCGTTTCATCTTTTCCCGCTCAACCGGCTGTTCCCATTGGCACAATTGTTCGCCGTGTTTTCCTGACCAAGCTTCCTCGTGTCCCCTATCCGGAACTTGCTACACAGCTCACGAAATGTATGTCTCCTTTTGGTAAAGTGCGTGAGATCGCCGTTCACGAAACGTATGGGTTTTTTGACGGCTCTGGATATGTTGTCCTTGCCAACACCCCCACTGACGAGGTGCCATCCGATTCCCTGACGTACCAAATAGCATACGACGCTACGCAAAAGATACTCGGTAAGTGGCCTTCGATGGGCTCCCACTGCACTTATTGCAAGGAAATGGGACACGAAGTCACCCAGTGCACTAAGCGCCCAGCCGAAACCCGAACGTGCTTTGGATGCAACAAGATCGGCCACCTGCAAGCCAATTGCCCGCACTCCTCCGATCCATCCAAGACTTCTAAGACCTCAAACAAGCGATCCCGTCACCCCCACCGCAACGTTAAGCTCGATCGACCTATCCGCGAGCCTAAGCCTCTGATTCCGACTGCACTCTCGCTCACCTACGGAGGATCCGAGGCTTCCAAGCACAATCCGCACAAACCTGCTTTGCTTGAGTCTGCAAAACTAACCCTACCGGCAACCCTCCCTGCCATCACGACAATATCTGCGACAACCACGTCCTCCGGCCCTCGTCCCCGAAGTCGTTCTGTTGACACTCCTGTGAAGGGCTGGGACGATGAGATAGACGACGACATGATCACTGACTTCACGGATAGAGTCGAGGCTCGGACTCTCCGTCTTCAGAATGCCTCTCGCCTCTCTCATCTCCGGTTTTCTCGGACAGTACGTCCAATAGGCCGCAACACATCCCTCTCACCTCCTCGCTTCACTCCCCCACATAGCAAGAAAGCCCTCGACGCAGAGGCCAAGATTAACCAATGATAAAAATAGGCACAATGAACTGTAGGGGTCTACCCAAAGTTGGACACCCTGAATCACGCTCCTTTTTTATACGCCACCTACGCTCTCAGGGAATTGATATACTAGCCCTGCAAGAAACCCATGCCTCCTCTTCTATGCTTCAAGACACTTTTGACCAACAATTTCGGTCATCTTCATCTTTATGGTCGCCACACTGTGGTGTTGTATGCCTCTCCCCCCATATTATTCTCACAGACCCTTTATTTAGTCCTTGCGGCAGGTGCATCATTACAACTGTCACTCATACTGACAATAAATTTTCCCCATTCAAGATGGGTGTCATCTATGCTCCCGCCTCTCGAACTCCCCGCTATGATTTTCTTTCTTCCTTACTGTCGACACCTGACCTCATTCCATCCAATCCTTCCAACTTCATTTTATTAGGTGATTTTAACCATGCCATTCACTCTAACTACGCTCTCGGACGTCGTGCCCCACTAGCGTGGCTCCAGTTTCTGGACAACCATATGATTGACTGTGTCACTCCTCCTGGCCAGAACCCACAACCCACCTTTCATCGCGCCTTGTCTTCCACTACAATCGACTATATTCTTGCCTCTCCTGATCTTCACCCTCGCACTACTGACTCCCAGGTGAGATATATTCACCAAAACTGGTCCGATCATTGCCTGTTGACCGTCCGCTTGGCTCTCCCTTCCACCCAATCCTCTGGTAAGGGACTTTGGCGTGCTAACCCCCGACTTGCCAGGTTGACATCTTTCTGCACCGACCTCAACACTCTTCTATCCACCCTCATCCCTGCCCTTCCCGCAAACCTCTCTCCTCAAGCACGATGGGACTCGATAAAGAGCGAAGTCATACGCTTTATCAAGTGTTTCTCTCGCCACCTCCGACCCTCTCTCACCGACCTGGAAGCAAGCCTGCAACAACGGAGAGACAGACTAATACACCGTTTTCGACACCAGCCTGCACAGAATTTTCAGCTGCCTATTGTTGAGCGGCTTCTGCAGCAAGTCCAACTTGAACGAGTGGAGATCATGTCCCTTAGGGCTGGGAAACACTGGCGGGAACAAGGTGAGACCTCTGCTGGATATCTCAAGCGCACCATCGCCACTCGTCAGTCACGCAAGTCAATTGCCAGCCTTTGCCACCCTGCAACAAACGAAATATGTTCCACCCCCGAAAAGATGACCGAAGCAGCTGCCGCCTTTTATGAAGGCTTGTATACCCCGGACCCTATCGACCAATCTGCTCTGGACGACCTGCTCTCTCACCTGCCTTCTGACCTTGGTCTGTCAGAAAGTCGGCAGACTGCCCTCACTCGTCCTCTGTCATTGTCTACTATTCGCTCTGGTGCGTCGCGCACTCCAACCTCTAGCAGTCCCGGTCCCGATGGCTTACCCTACGAGATCCTTCGCTTGATACTAGACCACCCAGTATGTGGTGATCTGGTTTCGGAAGTCTACAACGACGCCCTATCAAAAGGCATTTTTCCGGAATCCTGGCAATCCACCTGCGTTTGCCTGCTCCCAAAAAAGGGCGATCTCACCTCTTTGAAGAACTGGCGCCCAATTGCCTTGATCAACACCGATGCCAAGGTATTTACCCGATTGCTGAATGCTCGCATGATTCCCACGGTCACTTCACTTGTCTCTCCTTACCAGACAGGGTTCGTTCAGGGTCGCTTCATCGCCGATAATGGAATGCTGACCAGGCTGGTCATGGCACAAGCCGCCAAGGACGGATCAGCTGGTGTTGGACTTCTCCTCGATCAGGAGAAAGCATATGATAGAGTACATCCGGAATATTTTCGCCAAGTACTGACACACTTTCGATTTCCCTCCTCTCTTGTCACCTCGATCTCTAACCTCTTCTTTTCTACTAAATTGCAAATAAATGTGAATGGCTTCCTCTCGCGCCCTTTGCCTCAATCTCGGGGACTACGCCAAGGGGACCCTCTCTCCCCTATACTGTTCAATCTAGTTTTTGAGCCTCTACTACGACGAGTGATCCATGACCAGTCCTTCTCGGGCTTTCAACCATCTGTTCCTGCTGGTCTTTCTCCTCTGTCACCGATCAAACTCCTTGCGTACGCTGATGATTTACTTGTTTTTCTTTCTGACACAGGGCAGTTGTCTCGCCTCCACACCCACCTCAACACCTATGCTGCGGCTTCCAACGCCCGCGTAAATCTTCACAAGACGCAGGCATTTTCACTTTCGGGCTCACCCCTGCCAGACTGGCCCTCACATCTACGGACCCACAATATTACGGATTGGCATGACCGGACCTCCTCCTCTTCTCTTCGCTATCTGGGATATCCAATTTTCTCCTCCATTGCCCAACGAGACTCATTTGGCCAGGCCCTTCTTTCTAAGATTGAGAATAGCTGTATTCTACACGGCTCACGCACCCTGTCCTTCCGCGGCCGTGCCACTGTCATGAACTCTCTCATTCTCGCCCAACTTTGGCATGTCTTGCGCGTAGTATCCTTCCCCGTCTCTTTTCTCGAAAAAATACGCACTCTGATGCGCCGTTTCTTCCGCTTCCGTTCGTTCCCCCCCATTGCTTTGGACACCCTCTGCCTTCCTCGCTTTCAAGGTGGTCTTGGCATCCTCGACCCGATTACACAGCAATGCGCTCTTCAGCTTCGTTGGCTCAAGCCAATAATCCAGAACCCATTGGGTCCCCGTGGTTTGGTCCCCAAATGGATGGCTTCTCTCCTTCGCACTGAGAATACGGATTGTGATCCCCTTCTACTTTGGATCTTCCCAGACTCTAGACCTCGCACCCATCGCTCACTGGATTCGCCTCTTCATCTTGTCCTGAAGGCCATGGACCACCTCCCGCACAAGTTTGACGACGTCCTCACGAATCTATCCACGTGCCTGATGTTGCCCTTGTCCTCCATGGTTAATAGCCCTCCCTCTCATCCGCCCTACCGACAATCTTGGCGAGACCTGAAGGTTAACCACCTATACCAAATTGATCATAATTTGGACGTCCTGATGCCCATTGCCCCTGCTAGACCTCTTCCTCGATTTATCACTCTTAATCGTATCCTGCAAAGACTTCTCGACCGTTCACTTGTGGCTCACCCTATCCTTTTCAGAGCTTGTATTCCTACATTCATCCTAGAATCGCGACATTTGGATATGCCTCCTCGAGATGGGTCCCCCTTTGACTTTGATCCCTTCATCTCTGCTCTGGTCCTCGGCAAACCTTGGTCACGCTTGTCCACGCGCTCTTACCGGCTGACCTGTTCTCATCATCATGCTAATGCTCAACCACTTAGCCCCCATCTTAGCCCTCGCCAACTGCACTCTTTCTGGTCTTTCGCACTTCCTCACCGGGCCCGTAATGTTTGGTTTCGCGGCTTACACAACAAACTATCGTGCCGAGCTCTTCTGCACCACATTATGCCCTTCACTGTTCCTTCACCTCTCTGCAATATCTGCCAGATGTCAATCGAGACGCAAGAGCATTTTCTTCTTTCTTGTCCTTTGAAATCTGCGGTGTGGTTAGGCATTTGGTTAGAATTTTTCGGCACCGTCCCACCACCTTCTGCACTTTCCTCGGCATTCACATCCTTTCTCTTCCCTCCCACGCTGAACCCCAGTATTCCAGCCGCCTCGGTTTTCGGACTGACCATCCTTGCTATCTGGGACCACCATTGGGCACTCCACTTTAACTCTGCTCCCTTTTTACCTTCCTTGGTTCTTGCCACTGCTAGGAAATCAATCTCCCGCATCTGCTCAGAGCTCGAGCTTGACTCCGCTGACTCTTCCCTCGCATAACACCACATTAACATTTTAACAAAAAAAAAAAAAAAAAAGTTTAAATCACACAAAAACAAGTCAAAAACCAAAAAGCCAAAAACATCAAATAACCCCCATAAACCCTCAAAACAAATGTTGTAATTTTCTCTTTTGCCCTACTCATTCAGAGAACTTTAATAAATCTGAGCCTGTCACAGCTCCATACAAACAAAAAAAAAATTAATTGGAGCAAGTGCGCGTAAGAATTAAAAAATATATAAAGTCGGTATTTGAAAATGATGTTCAGAATTGGTATAAATGACCAGTGAAAACACTCTACAAGTGCTACTAAACCTAGCAGGGTCACATCTCAGGAACGTCACACACTTGTCCTATTTTTATTTTTTATTTTTTTATTTTTTTTAAAAAAAATTATATAAATCACTTTCCTGCTCCCACCTATTTAATAACGATAGAATGGCATCAACAGTCTACGTAGGAAACATACCAGCAAACTCTCATTCGGACGACCTGAAGGAGATGTTCAACAAGTATGGAAGAGTTGTCATGATTGAGATCAAGCAGGGATTCGCCTTTGTCGTAAGTTTTCTTCAGAGACACAGACACAGACACACACAAACAATTACATGAGCACTACTGCGGTTACTGTCGACACATGCATCATGACGTGAAGAAGAAATTATCACCAAATTCTGGCACCGATGCGTAGGATGAATATATGCACCAAACGCAGCAGTGTTCTTGTCTTAAATGATCCCAGCAATAACATTTTGGATTTCTAAAGGACATGGAAGATCGTCACGCATGCGAAAAAGTCATTGGACATCTGAATGGAACTACTTTTATGGGAAGTGAAATTCGTGTTGAATTTGCACGTAGCGAAACAGATCGACGTTACAACGGTGCGGTCAAAGGAAATTGTTTCAAGTGCGGTGGAGTTGGTCACTTTTTACGCGAATGCCCGAGGTAAGACACCCGACAGTGGTTATATTTTGTTCTCGAATACCCAGTACACCATAATGGAAACTTTGCTTAATATCCTCGCCATTCGAATGATCGTGACCTTTACGAAAGAAAGACAGAAAGAAATGAAAATGCATATGATAGCGGCTATTTGTACGTAAGATGAATAATGTGTTAACTGCGACATATTCTCTATACGCGATTTACCCTCTTAGTGGTCATGATGGCATTCGTAACTATACAAGACGTTCTGATTATCGAGATTCGGCAAATGGAGCACCACCACCACCAACTGTAGATAGATATGTACCAGAGTACAGAAATATGCCTGTACCGCGAGCTCCAATTGACCGCTATGGAGATCGACCATATGAACGTACAATGAACACATTGGATACATCAGTTCACTTTAATGAACGCTATAGTCGTAATAACATCTCTGATGTTCGTGGTAACTATCCGACGAGTACGTTGCTTTTCGACGCACAGCCAGAGTGGAAATGTTGATGTTGACTTTATGTTTGGAATTTAATCCAGGAGACTTTGATCGCTATGGAGGCACATCCCGTCATTATGGGACTAACGGAAAGAATGAGCGGTTACCATTGAATTACCGCAGAGACGATATGATTCAATTAGACAGACCCTCTTATCGTAATAACCTTCCTCCCCGTGAAGAAAGAGGCTTTCACGATAGAATGAATGTCAGAGGACAGCGTATGACAAGAACTTCCGATAGAAGTGATCTTCGGTAAGCTTAACTTGGCCTGGATACAAAAAAAAAGAACAACTTTCTCACACAAGGCACAGACGTTCCCCTCCAAGACATAGACCATTATCGCCTGAACGTTACGTTTCACGACCATACAGGTGCATACTCTACGCTCTCTCTCTCTCTCTCTTAAGATGATAGATACAATTTTGATATATATATATATTGATCGCCAAACACATAGACCTTTATTGTATCGGGAGCCACCACCGCCACCTAGCTCACGCTATAGAAACGAACGTCCGACTATTCCCTCAGGACAACCGGTTAGACGTCGTTCTCGCAGCCCTCCTCGTCCAAGAGGACCACGTACGCCAAGCCCAAGACGATAAATATATTGTATATTTGGCTTTTAAAAATTCGTACTTTCTTTCTTCTTTTTATATTTATTTTTTATTTTTATTATTATTTAAAAAAAAAGGGGAGGGGAGAAGGGGAAAGAAAGAGGGGAAAGAAAGAAAGAAAGAAATAAATGATAAAAAGCAAATAGCTAAATTTTATCATTTTTGGTTATTGTTGTTTTTTTGGTTGTTTTTTTTTAAAAAGAAAAAGAAAAAAAAATATTGAAATGGTTATTTTGAAATTATTAAATCATGTTTAATTAAATCCGAGTATAGTGTGGCCGTGCTCACTACGAACAAAGGCATCAGAGCCAGTATTGTCTGTCTTGTAGTAGCCCTTCTTCAAGAAATGTCTCAGCTTGGTAACATGAACATCTTCAGGCTTTGTAGCATTGACCACTGGAGAACCATTGCCTGGTCCAGAAACTGCGACAAAGTTACCCTCGTATGTATCTGCAGGCAACTGAACAATTGCAGAACCATCTAAGGCACGGACCGCAATTTTGACGGCAGTAGAATTTTCCTTTTGGAGAATTTTGACAGCTGTAGGTCCTCTCAAAGAGCCAGCAATGAATTCCTTGGAAGGCTCATATTCACCCTTGATGCTTCCATCAAGAGTTCCCAAATGGATTCTTCCTCCTTTCAATCCCTAAATATATAAATATATGAATTAATAAATGAATAAAAGGAAAGGTTAGAAGTATGTTCATTAGCAGATATTTTCTCAATTTACCTTCAAGTCAATCGAACCTCGGCCAAGCCCAGCTTTGAAATGGTCGAATGAAATTTTATCCAAATTTTTACCAGATACGGTATTAACATCGTTCATGTGAAGTTTGAAACTATGGAATGACTTCAAACTAGGAGGGAAAACGATATCAATAGTGTAAGTCACGCAATTCTCTGGAGCTGGAGCTGGTGGTGCGGCAAGTGGACCAATGTTTTTTCTAGCGAATACTCTGCAGAAGTTAGGAGGATGATGGGGCCCGGTTTCTTCAGGACTGCCATGGCCAGGGTGAGGTTCTTTGGGAATAGCGTGAGGAGGACCACGAGGTTCGCTGTGTGGGCCGCTGCGTGAGTCGCCGTGGGGAGGACCGTGAGGGCCATCGTGGGGACCGTCGTGAGGAGGACCGTGGGGACCGTCGTGAGGAGGACCGTGAGGACCATCGTGAGGACCATTGTGAGGACCGTCGTGAGGAGGACCGTGAGGGCCATCGTGAGGACCATCGTGAGGACCATCGTGAGGACCGTCGTGAGGAGGACCGTGAGGACCATCGTGAGGACCATCGTGAGGACCATCGTGAGGACCGTCGTGAGGAGGACCGTGAGGGCCATCGTGAGGACCATCGTGAGGACCGTCGTGAGGAGGACCGTGAGGGCCATCGTGAGGAGGACCGTGAGGGCCATCGTGAGGACCATCGTGAGGACCGTCGTGAGGAGGACCGTGAGGACCGTCGTGAGGACCATCGTGGGGAGGACCATCGTGGGGAGGACCACAGGGAGGACCGTGAGGAGGACCGTGAGGAGGACCGTGAGGAGGACCGTGAGGACCATCGTGATGGCCATTGTGAGGAGGACCATGAGCGCTCTTATCGCTGTTCAGTATTTCAACAGCGTATTCACCGTCATTGTTGAATGCAGTGAGGAAAACCTGATCTTTTTTATAGTTTACTCCGTTATAAAGAGTAATGTTTATCACGACATCTGTATCATTAATATTTGGAGAGATCGATTTGACAATGTTAATGTTGCTTCCTGAGGAGAAGAATCCCTTTGAGAATATGATAGCCTTTTGGAACTTCTCGGGAGAGAAAGAAAATACGTGGGAAGTAATATCGGTAGCATTAATCTTACAGTCCCATGTTGGGATTGGAAGAGTATTGTTAAGATCCTTGTTGATTAACTCCATGTTCTCACTGTTGTCATTCTCGTTTTTCTTTATTTCGTCGTCAGGGATAGGGTCAAAACGGAATCGATGGTGGCTGGGAAGAGATCGATGTCCATCGGCAAGAACGGGGGTCTCTCCATCTTCTGGCGAGTCTTCCTTGTCATCGTGATGCTTTCCGTGCTTTCCGTGCTTTCCATGTTTGCTGTGTTTTCCATGCTGAACATGCTGAACATTCTTCTCGTGTTGTTCATGATGAACATGCTTCTCATGTTTTTCGTCTTTATGGTATTTTGCGTGTTTGTGGTGTTTGTGGTGCTTATGGTGCTTTTCCAGGTGAGCATGGTGCTTTACATCGTGAGAATGATACTATAATTTAGGAGAAGAAGAAAAGAAAAAGTTAATAAGAAATACGAATAATGCAATACACAAGTGTTACATACCCCCTGGGGACCAAATCTGGGACCGTGTTCCCATACATTTGGGTAATCAAACGCATACTCAAGATCATGCATATATCCACAAAGCTGCCCAATTTCTCCGTGGTCATGCACTTCATGTGTCTCACAGGATGAAACAGCATTTTCCGGATACAAATTGCCCTTTAATAAACGTATGGGACATGGTTAGTATTATTGTTATTATTTTTGGTTTCATTATTTGTTTTACCTCTGATCTGAAAAATGGAATCTGGGTCAATGTGAGTAGAGCGATTGCACCTCCAATCATGAGTGCCTTTTTAAAAGTTCGGCCTAAGAAGAAGGAAGAATAAGAGTTGTTAGGATCTTTGTGAGGTGAATGTATAAAAGAGCATCTCTAGTTACATTTGCCATTGCTTTGGCATGATTGAGTTGGGAGAGGAGTAGGAATCTCCTTTTCTTCGGTTGGTAACGGTACGTAATCTCCTTTCTTTTCCATAGTGAAAATTGAAAAGGAAGAAAAAGAAAGAAAGGAAGAAAGAGAAGATATTTATTGACGGTACAAGGATTTTCTGTAGTTAGCACTGTTTTATAATGATTGGCTTTTGCGTTTTGTTCCGTAAAATTACGATACAAAAAAAAAACTGCCAAGACATTTGATCACTGCCAAATCGGGTTGAGTATCGTACAGCCAAGACATCATCCTCACACCTTCGGTATTAAGCGAATTTCGACAACACCACTCTTGGTGGATATAAGATGATGCAAGATATCACATAGACTATACCTATGATATTATTATTAACCAAGATAGTAGTGCAGAAAAGCAAATAGAGTAATTTTGGTGTTTCAATTGAATCAAGTATTGGTTCACTGTAATGTCTTTTGGTTTAACTGTAACTAAATTTTTATTTTTATTTATATGATGTATTTTAATTGTAAGATTTTATTCAACTCCACTGAAACAAAGATTCTTTTATTTTTTATTTTATTTTTATTAGTTACTATGCAATATGTTTGTGTGTGCGTGTGTATATGTTTATCTCTTGGATATAAACCAATTATTGATAGCATAATATACCAGTCTTTGGTTACTCATTTGAGAAATATGAAGAAGTATGTATTACTCTTCTTTCTTCTTGTAACATAGGTTCAGATTGTCGTATATACAATTTCCAATTATAGACAATATAAAGGGTAATCTTTTTAAAGCCATTATCAGATCTGTCAAATTATATTCTAACAAATGAATTGTCGGCAAAGGTTTTTTTTTCTTCTTTTATATATTATTCCAACAATCCGATCGTTAGACCTTACAGACAACCCTTATCGGAAAAGCTAGTAACATCATTTAATTTTATATATACACAAGTTCTCACTATAGCAACATTTGTATTGATAATAGTTATACAGAAAAAAAATACAAGCCTTTATTTGCTTTGTGCCTTGTTTTATTCTTGATCACAACACTCACAGCAAAACAATTATATTGTTTTTATCGCTTTTTATAGTGCTATGTTTTAATCAATTCCAAAAATGAAAAGGCGAAAAGGTCCACTTGTAATAGCTGATACTGATCAATACAAATTCATCGACATTAAGGTGTGATATTTCATCTGATTCATTCAAGGTAAAGTAAAAAAAAAAAAAAAAAAAACGAATGACTGGCAGAATCCACAGATAAAATATATAAAAATTATTACCAAATTAATATTAATTAGCTATATTCCACTCTGTACACTGTTTTAATATCTATATTTTGAAGATGCTCAAACTTTCAGGCATACTATAATTTGAATAAACATATGGGAAAGAGTAACATTAAAATATGTTTATCTATATATCTATATATATATATTAAAATTAAAAGAAACTACAAAATAAGTATCATATCATTCAGAACCCAAAATATTCAAAACTTTATATACCAACTTTTGGAATCAAATCAGAACAATCCAATTGAGTCCATGATGTCACACATCATTTCCATTCCGCCACGTATCTATTTTCTGAGCGGTGTTTGATCCACAATCCTCTCTCACTGGTTCCTGTTATAAGTACTCTAATCGTTATAACTAAAAAAGAACGCGCCATTATGAATTTTGACGAAATTGAAGAACAAGTAAGGAGTGAGGCAATCGTCACCAAAGCCCTAATCCATCTCCTATTTTCTCTAGGATGGTGTTCGATTCTCTTGGAATGCATGGCCATCATCCCGTATTGAAGCCAACAAAGCCGTCGTCCCAATCGCCTGTCTTCACACTCCATTAAAGGAGCGTGAAGACTTTATCGAAAGTCCAATCTGGTATGAACCCATCACCTGTAAAGCACCATGCAGGGCCATCCTCAATCCTTATTGGTAAGAGAACGAAGAAAGAAAGCATCCACAAAAGGTAATGAGAAGAAACATGCTCACAATCTACAGCCAAATCGACGTGCGGGGCAAGTTATGGATTTGCCCTTTCTGTCTCCAGCGCAATTCATTCCCTAGCAACTACAAAGACATCTCCAATACCAACCTTCCAGCAGAGCTTTTGCCTAAATACACCACTATTGAATACAACCTCAGTCGCACAGCTCAAATTCCTCCTATCTTTTTGTACGTTGTCGATACTTGCTTGGACGAAACTGATCTTAAGGCTCTCAAAGATACTTTGGTACTCAGCCTCAGCCTCCTACCCACTTATGCATGGGTTGGTCTAATTACTTACGGAACTATGGTATGTGTCAGATTAAGTATATTTGCTTGATTGTCTGTTCCATTCTGACATATGTGATGTACAGACCCAAGTGCATGAGCTTGGTTTTAGCGATTGCCCAAAATCATATGTTTTCCGTGGTACAAAGGAGTATGCGGGTAAGCAAATTCAGGAGATGCTTGGATTGGCGGGTGCTACTGTCCGACCCAACCAAGCCCCTGTCCGCCCTGGACAGCACTCCCAGCCTGGTATGGCAGCAAACAGGTAAAATAGAATAAAATAATTTGCACATAATATCTTTTATATAATAAGTATTTCATTATGATCTTTTTATATATTAAATTGTCTGTATCCATAGATTCCTCCTTCCCGTCAAAGATTGTGAATTTGTATTAACCTCTATCCTCGAAAACCTTCAACGAGATCCTTGGCCTGTTGCTGATGACAAGCGCCCTGAACGTTGCACTGGTGTCGCCATGAGTGTCGCAATTGGCTTGCTTGAGGTAAAATAAAGAAAGATCTACATCTTATGAGATAGTGAAAGGTAGATGGTATTAATCGGAAGCACTCTTTAGACTGCATTTCCTAATACTGGCGCACGTATTATGTTGTTCAGTGGTGGACCTGCTACTGAAGGTCCTGGTATGGTTGTCAGTACTGAGCTCAGAGAGTCTATTAGATCTCATCATGACATTGAAAAGGAAACCGCAAAACATTACAAGAGAGCCATCAAGGTGTGTAAATATCGAAGTAAAGAATCCTGTGTATATTACTGGCGATATTTACCATTATTCCTATACTTTAGTTTTATGAAGGCTTGTCAAAGCGTGCTTCTACCAATGGTCATGCCATTGATATTTTTGCGGGATGCTTGGACCAGATCGGATTATTGGAGATGAAGTCAATGGTGAACGCAACAGGTGGCTGTATGGTCCTGGCAGATTCATTCAATACTGCCATTTTTAAGCAGAGTTTCCAGCGACTGTTCCAAAAGGACAGTCAAGGGCACTTACAAATGGGTTTCAATGCAACATTGGATGTCCAGGTTAGTTCAATAAAAAAATCACTCGTTGAAAAATCCATATCAGAGCTATCTTTTTGACATGTACTTTTTGTTTTATTTTGTGGCCATCAGACTACTCGTGAACTCAAGATCTGTGGCCTTATTGGACATGCCACCTCTGCTCACAAAAAATCTACATATGTTGGTGAGACAGAAATTGGTATTGGAAATACTTCTGCCTGGAAGATGTGTTCAATCACTCCAAAGACCACCAACGGTATCTATTTTGAGGTTGTAAACCAGCCAACCGTACCTTTCCAGCCTGGATCACGTGGTCTGATCCAGTTTGTCACTCACTACCAACATTCAAGTGGGCAGTTCCGTCTCAGAGTTACTACTGTTGCTAGAAACTTCGCTGAGGGCCAGAGTCCTGAGATTGCCAATTCGTTTGACCAGGAAACTACAGCTGTTCTTATGTCACGTATCGCTGTGTTTAAGGGAGAGATTGACGATGGTTTGGATGTACAGCGGTGGGTTGATCGCATGTTGATCCGTCTTTGCCAGCGTTTTGCAGATTATAGAAAAGATGATCCTCACAGCTTCCGTCTTTCAGAGAACTTCTCTATCTACCCTCAATTTATGTTCCACTTGAGAAGAAGTCAGTTCTTGCAGATATTCAATAACTCTCCTGATGAGACCGCTTTTTACCGGTAAACTATTCTTCTCATATGATGTTTAAACCGCCTTCTGACTCTTTTGTTTTTTGTTTTAACTAATAATAATAGCCATGTTCTCAACCGGGAAAATGTTGATAACTCACTAATCATGATTCAGCCTACCCTGACTTCGTATGGTTTTGACAGCCAACCTCAGCCAGTATTGTTGGATTCAGTATCAATCCAGAATAATGTGATTCTCTTGCTGGATACTTTCTTCCACATTTTGATTTTCCACGGTGAGATGATCGCTCAGTGGCGTCAGGCGGGTTACCAAGATCTTCCTGAATACGAGAGTTTCAAGCAGCTCCTCGAGGCACCCGTTTTGGATGCACAGGACTTGCTTACCGATCGTTTCCCTGTTCCTCGTTATATTGTTTGCGATCAGGGTGGCTCACAAGCTAGATTCTTACTTTCTAAACTCAATCCCTCAACAACACATACATCTGGTACTCCTTATGGAGCACCCCAGGGTGCCGCAATCTTTACAGATGATGTTAGTTTGCAGACTTTTATGGAACATTTGAAAAAGTAAGAATTACAAATAGCCAGGAAAGAAAGAAAAAAAGAGACAAAAACAATTGGATACTGATTGATATTGGGGTTTTTTTTATAGGCTGTCTGTTTCTGGAGCCTCTTAAACAGTGTAACGACGACAAAACGCGAGCATATCAGCACAGAATATCCATATTTATAATAACATACACATTTCTGAGCCTGTAATGCTTTCATAGCAACAGAAACAGAAACAAAATTAAATTGCTTTTCTTATATGTCATGTGAGGGTTAAAACAGATTGAATATAGTAAAAATGGTTAAAGCAAAAAACAGAAAAAAAAGAGGGTAGGTGTATAGAATATGATGTACAATACAAATGAGTGAGTGTATGATCCATTTTGAATGTGTGATGAGAAAGGAAAGAATACAAAGTCTCGGATTAGATTTCAAAGTCTTCACAGTGAAGATGTGGAATATTTTTACAGTTAGTGATGCTGGCAACTGTATTTTTTATGCTGCCATTAAAGCCTGGAGGTCCACAAGCTAAATATTATTATTATTATTATTTAAAAAAAATTATCAGTAACACTAATCGAAGAGGAATAATATTAGCTGCTTACCAAAAACACCCAAAGTTTCGCTACGCATGGTCTTGAAAAATGACTTCAAGTCTACACGCTTGTCTAAAACTATTGATGGTTGGACCTGTTTAGAGCTAGTATTCGTATTATCAGTCTCATTCTGCTTTATAAAACCACTGGTTTCCATGGTATATCTGGTCGCTTTCTCGTTATTCTCCATAGTTTCAGAAAATGCATCAATAGTCATGTTGGAGCAATCATCTTTCTGGCGAGTGACATAAAATACAACATGAAGACAAGGAAAACGTTCAGGATTTTGCCGGTGGATGGACTCGAATCCATTCATGATTATCTGGATTTCGTCACGGAACCAGCTAAGTTCAGCAATAGAGCGCACAGACCATAAGAAATGGATGTTTTTTGTCTTTATTTTTGATTGAAGGCAGCGGTCGGGTTCTTCAATTAGGGTTTGGTAGAGTCCGCGTAAAAGACGAATACCAAAGGTGATTCCTGCGCCTCCGTTCATAATAGCAATCGTGTCATGTACGGTAAGCATGGTATTAGCGTGAAGGTCAATCGAGCCATTTCCGAATGGCCCACTCAGAAGTACAGTGAGTTCCTGGGAAGGGTCGATTTTTTCAAATAGTTTACGGGTCCAGTTTCCACGTACAGTAATATAGACTTCTATCTTGTCACAAGCACCGTCTTCTGCTACATGGGCACTGGTGATAGTGAAAGGATGCCATTCGAACCAAGAGACCGAAGGGATACAGAGAGAAATGTACTGGCCGGGAGTATGTACCATTGGGCTCGAAAGACGAAGCGATAAACGTACGCACCGTTCTGGTAATATATCGACACGTGCATGGGCTACATGGGATTTGACGCACCAGCTGGAAAATACGTTTAAAAGATAAACAATAAGACCTGCCACAAAATATCGCATTGCATATGGCGTGTGCTTTGCAATGGCTCCAATGAATCCAAATGCAAACAGATGGGTAAAAAGAAAGAGCTCATGGCTGTATTTCCGCAGAGGATAAATGCTGCCAACAAATACCAGCATTAAGCAAGCGTATCCTGCCAGGCCATAGTGTACCTTCATCAAAGCCAACTGAGAAGCCAAGAATACAGGAAATTTGACCCAAGATTTAATATGGAATGCCATGTGTATTGTTGAGAGTACAACCATTGATGTTCCTAGCATTCGGTGGAGAACATTGAGTTTCACCGGTGATATTCCTGTTAGTAGGCTCATAGCTGAGCTCTTTCCTGTAGATCCGAGTACAAATGGTACAATTGATAACGCAAGGAATCCAGCACGATTTGAATTCAAGGAAAGATCAGTATTGACCAATAGAAGAGGAATCCCGGTCGACAGGAGGACAATAAGCATCAGAAAGGTTCCAACCGGAGGGAATATCGATATGCGAGGTGCAACGGTGTACGAGCATTTGTTGATAATGTAGCGTTCGGTCCGGGAATATCTTTCAATGAGTGAGCCTAATGTTGATTGTTTGGAGCGAGAATGGTGATTCCATGTCATGAGGCCATTTCGAATGGTCAATAAGAATGTGAATCCGGCTAAGACTCCAGCAAGTGCTCCAGCATAAGACATGTTTCCATTCCAAGGGGTTTCCTCTGAATTCATGTTCATTCCCTCCATGGTAACTGTTATGTTGAAGATAAAAGAGAAAAGCAATGCAATCTAACAAGAAAGTCCGCAAAAAATCGAACTTGGTAACCAATCTTCCTGAGTTTTAAAGATTGTTAGTCCAATCATTGTCTCAAAGAAAGCAAAAAAACCGCAAGTCTGTTTTGAATCCAAACAATATATTCCCATCCGTCAAAACAGTCTCTGTTTACAGAAAAATTGAGGTTCTATTTATCAGCAGATTCACATTTACATTGAACCTTTTTTTATATATATTTTATATATAAAAAGGAGGTCTTTACTTTCACTAAGAATAAACTGAGATATCTCCTTAATGTTATCACTAAGTTTTTCTTTTATTTTGACTGTAGATGTTTTATACTACCATATTTAACTAAAAAGTAATATGTTTGATGTGATAAACGGCCGTTTAATTAGCGTAATATATATATTGAATTATACTAGCTATGTTCAATTGGGCTCATAACCAAGCTTTCTGACCGTCAGTAATACATGTACAGAATCTTTTAACAGCCACTACGCCACACCATACATGGATAAGTATGATAATTGACCCTGTCCTCTTGGAGCATGCATATAATGCTATGTTTCATAATTTAAGTTCTTAGGTAAGCAGCTGTTATATGCGACTTGATTCACAGAATATTTAAAAAACAAGAGAGGATCAGGTTAGTGACTCCACAAATAACCTTATACAATTACAATGATTTTATTCGGACTTCTCTATTGTAAATATTTTCTAAAGATTAACTAATAAATAAATAAATAAAATGGCTATATTACTTGCTAGTAGGCTTCTAATACGTTTTCCAGGTTCTACTTATAAAATACTCTTATTATGTTCATGGAATCAAATAAATAATAGGCATATACCCAAGGACAGTTGTCCATCTTGATAAAGACATAATTTCGTTAAAATACATACTAACAATTTATGTTTGTAGATTTACATTTTAAAATAGTATACAATATATATAATTATAACGAAGCTTGTCTATTTTCATAAATCTTGTAATCGGTGTATCCCTTATTGCCAGGGGTATAAAACGTTGATCGATCGTAAGGTGTTAATTTCCATTGATGGCGTATTCTTTCTACTAAATCAGGGTTTGCGATGAATGCTCTTCCAAATGCCACAAGATCACCAGTAGCTTCAGAGTGTGATGTGGCCTTCTCCGGATCAAGTGTATAGCCACCAGCACTGATGAATGCACCCTTCCACACAGAACGGAAAGGATCCAATGTTTCGGTAGCAGTAGACCGATCGTCTGTGAAGAACTTCACTCGAGGCTCAACAATGTGCAAGTATGACAGACCGGAGAGTCTGGTCTGTAGTTCTTTTACGATATATCCCCAGGTTTCATAGGGTGTCTCATCCTCCATGCCTTGGAACTCTGACCATGGTGACAATCGAAGACCAGTTCGGTCAGCTCCGATTGCTTCACTTACTGCCTTGACAACCTCAAGTGTGAAACGAGTTCGGTTTTCGATTGAACCTCCATAGATATCCGTTCTCTTGTTGCTAGAAGAGTTGATAAACTGATCCAAGAGATATCCATTTGCAGAATGTACTTCAACCCCATCAAATCCAGCTTCTAATGCATTCTTGGCTGCCTTAACGTAGTCTTGGGTGGTGGCATGAATTTCTGGGAGAGTTAATGCCCTGGGTACTTCATTGGGCTCACCAAATCTGTTTTTTCCAGGAATAGCCAATTCTGAGGCTGATACAGGACGTTCGTTATTGGGCAACATGGACGATGACGAGGCGCGACCAAGATGCCACAATTGGAGAAAAATTACTCCACCCTTGGAATGGACCTCTTTGGTTACTTGTTTCCAACCTTCAATTTGAGCAGCTGTGTAGATTCCGGGAGCATTGGGGAATCCACCGGAAAGTTGGCTAATGAATGTGGCTTCGGTGATTAGTAAGCCGCCATTGGTTGCACGTTGTCCGTAGTATGTTGCCATATCAGGGGTAGGTACACCTTCGCTGGAGGCTCTGAAACGAGTCAAAGGAGCCAAGACAATGCGATGCTTGAGAGAATGGTGACCGATTTTGACGGGAGAAAAGAGAGCCATGAAAAATATGAAGTGAAATGAACAACAGCAAAAAGAACAAAAGACACGGAGCGATTGAGAGAGAGAGAAAAAGATGACATTTTATATACAGGAGAATTGGCTTTCTATACATCTCACCCCGCCGGCATCATAGATATTTAAATGCCAGCCAAGCTCGTCATTCAGGTCTTTGTTTATCTGCAAAAACTATCGACTTCTTGGACCCAAATGTCTTCTATTTTAGTCCAAAACGCTCGAGCCTTAATATCTTATTCTGATACAATTGGTTCCACAATATAATTTCAAGTTGTCCTTTTTTTCATTTAAACATTAAAAACAAAAACAAAAACAGAAGGTAATACACACCCATCATTATTCTCACCTTTTTTGGAAAAAAGCATTTTATAGTTTTCTGGGCAGTCTATTGCCTGATTGTCAAAAGAAAGTCAAGTAAAAGCTTTTAGGTTTTGGAATCTTCTTAGCATTTTTATACCTGGGATCGAATCAAATTAGAAAAATGAGTTCAGTTAACTAAATGATAGTTTTTTTTTTTAATTTGTTTTAAAAGGTAAAGAATCATTCTTTCATTCAATATCATTGGCCGAGAGTTTAGAAACGCTGTATTATTAACATTATTTTTTTTAGTCTACATTTCGCACTATATATACATACACATTTGATCTCCTTATATGTTACAGGTAAGATTCAATTCACACATGGTTTAATTATTAGTCAACCATATTTTGTATCTGACAATTAAGTTTTTTTTTATTTAGTGAACAAATATTGGTAATCGGAAATCAATGACCAGTAAGTGCCAAACTTTGAAAAACTAATTATAGTTATAGATCTATCTTCACCAAAAACAAAGCCAAAGTCCATAACCTCCTTACATTTGAAAGAGTCATCAACAAGGATTGCCTCAGCTGAGAGTATAAATGGATTGGTATGGATATCTGTTAAGATTCCAGGGAGCCAGGAAGAAGTAGAAGTATTTGCTCGAACAAACACATATCTTTGCAAGACAACGCAACCGTCTTTACCGATAATGATCTTTCCAATGAACAACCCACCGCTAGTAGAGAAAAGTCCAGTTAAGCCATTAACAATTTTTTATTTGTTGATGTAATAACTGTCTGTGACATTCGTACGGGCGCCAAAAAAATGTTTCTTGAAGGCAACATTGTCTGCTTGCAAGTTCTTGATTTCGAATCCACTTTCGCCACGAACTACGCTCTCTTTTTTAATTCCATTTTCTTTCCAAGACTTTGTATACACAAAGTATAAGACATTGAAGATTTAGCGACAGATAAACTGTTTACCAAATCTTGAAGCAACATCCCGAGATGTATACAGTCGATTGGTCATGAAGAGATGTTCACGGATGAACTTGTTAAATTTTTCTGCGCTCTCCGTTTCATATTGAAGTGGGCATCAAAATCGTTGAACATCATCGAGCAAGTGGTGTAGAAGGTGGATCTTTGGCCTGAGAGAGAACTTCGGAGACTTTGCGTCAGTTTGACACAAGTGTTTATCCAGTACATATAAAGAATCCGTGAAGTTTGACAATGTATCTCTGAAGACGTATATATATTGCTCGTAGTTCGATTCAATACCGCGAAGGTATATAAGTGAGCATAGTTGTCCAAGGTAAATAAAACATTGAGAGAACATGTTTATACGTACAGTCGATTGAAGGAATAGTTTGCTGATAATTGTTGGTAGAACTTGGATAAGCTGTTTGTAATCCCTGCCAACAAATGATCCGCAATGTCGAAGATTGTTTCGAAATATTCTGGAATATGCATTCCGATTTCTACTAGGCATGATAATGTTACCAAGTGTATCCCTTTCTGCTACAGTGAGAACTTCTTTCATAAAGTAATCTACTAGATACTTGATACAACCAAGGGGAACGGTGTGGAGGACTTCTACTGGGCAATCTTTAGTCAGATCAAAGGAATTAAGTCGAAGAAACTCTTCACTACCGTTGACTGAGAAGCTTAGTGTGTCGGTTAGAATTTTATAGCGAGCTGCATTGGGGAGTTTTGATTGAATAACATCGTGTAGATGAGTCAACTCCCTTTTTTCAAAAGTATGAGAGATTTTTTGTTGCTGCTGCTGTTGCTGTTGTTGTTGTATTTTCTGCTTGTTGATTTAATTTTTCGGGAATTTTTGGTTTGAGAGAAAAGCATTTACGGCATGGATACTTCGAGTTTGTGCCTTTGTGCATAGCCAGTTGTGAATGTCTGGAGTTATCGGCAATAAGGAGGAGGAGAGGAACAACAAGAAGAACGTATTCATTGTGATCATATGAAAAGACTTCGATTCCAATTTCCAGCTTAACAAAATCATCAACAATTGGGCCCAGCATATCAAAAGCTTTCAAGTTTTTATCCGATATACAGATGAACAGAGTGTTTTCTCGTCGACTTTTCATTTCCAGAGGCATTGCAGCCATATACATCAAATAGCCATAAAAAACATTGTATTGCTTTGATTTGTTATCAGATGTATCGTCAGACCAAAGGAAAATGGGCGCTAGAACCATCTTTAAATACTTTTTGGTGTTTGATGAGCCAGGAAGAATTCGTTTGAATTTGTTGCTGGAATGATTTTCAAACCAAAAACGAGAGATGACTTCTGTAAGGCCAGCAGTGAAGCCTGGAAGAGCAGACATTTGGTTCACCATGTCCGGGGCGACGGCGAGATGTTTTAGGTCCTTTGATGGTTCATTCATGCAAAACGAATGATCTTCTCCCTTCTTGTCTTTCGCCTTGTACCCAACAGGACTTAGAATCTGAGCCTTTGGTTTAATACGTTGCTGAAAGTTGAGTATCCTATCTGGTGCTGGCAGGACTATAGGCTCTCTTGTTGACTCTTGAAGTTCCATGGTAAGTTTCAGCATATAATGGATCCTTTTTACCATGCGCTCGGAGCAAAGATGTTTATTGGCATAGGAAAACGCGTGAAGTAATCCTTCCATACTGGATTTGAATGGGTCTACCAGATCCGAAACACTGTCTAGTTCTTCTATATGGCTTGTTGTATATCTTGATAGAATAATATCCTCTTCTGCATCAGAGATTGAATGCTGCAACTGAGTGGCGATACCTACTATGTATCCAAAAAGGAGATAAAGTGGTGCTTAATAAAAAATCCAACCTTAAAAAAACCCTTAAACTTCGGAAAACATAACAAAAATCTTACTAAAATTGCCTGCTTTTTTTTACCATAGTTTGTAGACAAATTTTAATTAAAAAGAAATAATTGCTATTGTTCTCACTTTTCAATATTCTACTTATACTTGCTTTAATACCAAAGATAAAATAAAATACTGGCGCTCTTTTTTAATATTATTTTACTGTACCGAGAACTATTTCACTCACACAAGCACCCAGATATGATAAGTTTTTCTTTCATTTAATAATGGACTAATAGATTGTTTATTTTAACTTTTATTATTCGGTTTACTTTGTAGTATTAAATACCAGAGTCTCTTTTTTCGTTTTAATATACGGTGACTTGCACATTATGTGGACAATTTTCTATAAAAAAATTATTTCAACTCAAAAGCACTGATTTTTCGATTCCAAACCATTCGAAATTATGGCAACCGAAGAAGACGTGCAAAGTAATAAGGAGCAACAGCAGCAATAGTACCACCAGTAGAAACATTTTTTCTTAAAAAAATAAATTCTTTTCTGCCTTTCTTCTTCTGTTAATTCAATCATGACATGTCAATTTTACATACATTCTATCTACCAGCCAAACTCAAGGCCTGCTGCGCCATGTGCATGGGTTATCTTAATGATCTCAAAGATACTCCCCAGATAGAAGAGTCAAAGGACTTTGACTCCGTAAAATTCAAGGATACAATGGCTAAGCTTGGCCAGATTCTATCTCATGATGCTACCAAGCTTACCTTGGCTTGTAAGCCACCTCGTCAGCCTGCTGATGCAATCAAGATGATCCAAGGTAAAGAAAAAACTACATGAATAAACTAATAACGAGATAAAAATAAGGATAATTCAATACTCTGTAATTGTTTTTGATTTATATATTAATACATATTCTAAATAAATAAAGGCTAACTGTGTGTGTTTTTATTATTTATTTATTGGCGTCTTAGAAATATCGAACACTTTATTCCGTCTGTTGGGCTTCTATCATTCTATTCCTATCTCAGCTGGCCGCGCATATCTTGCAGCTTACACAAGTCTTATGCGTGGAGTACTCCAAGGCACCCACACCCTTTGTAGTACATTTAGCGGTGATGCTCCAACTTTTATGATCCCAACAGCGGTGTTGTGGGAGAACTGTGCTGCCTTGGGTAAAAGCCCCAAAAACAATGAGGAAGCTGTACGAAAACTTTGGATTGGATTCGAAGAAACCTTGAAGGATGCTAAATCAGAAGCTCGCGAGATGCTTAATGAGGAAGAAGACGAAGATGATTTTGAGGATTCAGAAGACTCTGAAGAAGAGGAAGCAAAAGAAAAGCCAACCGAGGATCAAATTGCCGCAAAAAAGGCAATCACCGAGAAGTGTGTCCAGTTGACAGATTTAACCGTATTAATTTACAAGAAGATTGAGGTGCGCTGCCTTGATCTTGGCAGCATCGAGTGGTTAGATCGAGTGAGCGAACACGGTAACAATGTAGTAGACGAAACCGATGTTTTGATCTCGCAACTTTATGAAGAGGATGCGGATGCTATGACAGTATTCGTAAACAAACATGTAAAACAGTGCATTGACCTGGTGAAGATTGCACAAGAAGTAGCTAAAGATGAGCATGCCAAATGGTTTGAGGTAAATTAGAATAAGAATAGAACAGAAATAGTATTATTATAAGGTGTGTATGTAGAAGTATGAGTATTGAAACAAAAGGCTTTGGGTATTCTATAGATGTGCGCCACCAAATTGGAGACACTGACAATCAAAGCATGAAGAGGGAGAATGCTGCTGGGTCGGTAGATGCAAAAAAAAGACAAGTAAAAAAAGGAAAAAAGAAAGACAAAGCAATGATCAAAATGTACAGGGAGAGAGTTTAAGATGTCTTTGGTGGATATAGAGATGATCGACGACGGGGATATTGTGGGAGGGGAGGAGATGTGAGGGTCGGTGTAGATTCGCTGGCGCGGGATAGGTGCATAACTTGGTTATAAGTTTTGAGGAATTGTTTCGAGGAAGGGTCTTGGGATAATGGTAGAATTTCTTCAAGTTCTTGCCTCAGATCATTAGGAATCTAAAAATGATGATAAGCATCACATAAATATAAATATAAAAAAAAATATTTACCATGCAAAGTTGATCTTGATGTTCAATCAGTAATCGGACTACTTGAATTTCATCCTCTTGTGAATAGCTCTGCAAGGTTGAGTTTAAATCCTTTGATGTGTAATAGAGGATGTTGGGGGCAACAACGCACGCGAGATTGTAACTGTCCATACGGTTAAGTGCCTTAAATGTTGTAGTCCAGCTGAGAAGAGCCAATAAAAGAAATAGCAAGTCTCGATTTGGTTTAGGCAATAGACAACAGGCGAGATGTAGAACAGTCTGTGTATCTTTGGGTGTTTTCATACCTGATTAATACAACAACATTAGATAAATCATTGATTGGTTTAACAATAGAGAAATGAAGTAGCAAAGGATTACTTACGGAGGCTAGACATAAAAAGGCTATATAGTCTGTGGGTCATCAGGGGTTCAGGTAGTTCTCGCAGAAACCGTTTGAGGAGAGCGGCGAGTTGAACAGGGGATTCATTGGTATAAAAAGTGGAATCAGTATCTTGTCGGGCATCAATGGCGTCGTGCATTATTTTGAGTTGGCGAATATTTCCATTTTTGCGAAAAATTCCTTCGATGGACAAATCCTTGGAAAGCATAGCTAGAATACATTGTTGTACACAATTAGGGACTTTTGATCTTGGATCAAAAGCAGCTTTCAGACCAGGAAGTGGAAAAGACCGTATATAAGTAAGAGGATGAGAAGAAAGAGTCTCGAGAGGAACACCGAAAGTGGGCGGTAAAAGGGAAGAATCTACTGGAGGTTTAAGGGTGCCAACTCTCATGTGGGTTTTGAGCTTTCCCCACAACGATGGTTTTTTGGCTTCCAATAAAGTGGCAAGTGTTTCCGAGGACCATCCTAGGAGGTGTAGTTGACCAGTGACCCACTCCCGGATAAACTTATCCTGGTCAATAAGAGAAGATAAGGGGGATGGTGGCTTGGAGACAAGACGCGGGGAATAGCGGCTGGAACTTATGGTACTGATACTGCGGTTACGTATGGCAGGTTCTTTAGGTATAAATGCTCGTAATGCTTTGGCTCGTTTTATGTGACCCATCTGAATAGCATCTGATGGTTTTGACTGGGCTAACATGGCTAATGAAATCGACGAAGTCTGTGGTACTTGCTGCTGTTGTTGTTGTTGTTGTTGTTGTTGTTGTTGTTGTTGTTGTTGATTTAATTTTTGTGGCGTTGGCTGTAATTGCGACGCTGATAGAGGAGAAAATTTAGGGATCGGGATGGTTTTGGTCTTGAAGGCGTGTTCAAGTCGACGTAGACTGGCGTGTATGGGCCGAAATTGGTTTTGGGAGAGAGGGGAGAGAGGGGAGAGAAGATCGGCAGATTCCAGAGAATCTTTAGGTGATACTCGATCGAGAGCATCAAGAAATTGCCTGACAGTGTTGGGTTCGTTGTACTTGTGTTCCTGTGCCAAGTCAAGTCAAATTGAATTGAATTTTCTTCGTCTTCAACATCAACACAAAAAAGGATGATTATTTATATTTATGAGGAATATTTACCAGGGAGAGTGCAGCCACCAGAGCAAGGCGCATAAGATCTTTGAGAGCATAAGCAAGGCAGGTGATGGTATGAGTAAGTTGGGTAGTGTGACTGTGGGAAAGATGATCAAAAAAGAGGACAAGTTGCTGAGAAAGTAAAGAAAGTGTTTCTTCTTGGAGTGGTTGGTTATGTTTTTGAAGACGTGGACGAAGATAGTCAATGGCGCAGAAAAGGTGGTGTATATACAGAAGAAGGTGATTAGAAGTACGAAGGGTATCTGTATAGCTAGCAGCGGCGAGATGCATGAGGATGTCAGATATGCAGGCAGCAGACGAAGCTTCAAAAGCAGCCATGTCTGACCAAATGTGTGTGCACTGCTGGTCTATCGCATCTTGGACTGCATAGAGAGAGGTGGAATTAAGAGAAGAAGTGTTGATCAGGCAGATCTCTTTTAGACACACTCGCCAGTGTTTGTGGATCATATAACATTCTGGATGCCACCTTTCTTCTTGTTGGCTAGGTTGGACAAATTTTTGCAAAATGGTTTGTAGACAGCCACTACAGCTGGTTCCTTTGAGAAATGAATAGTGAAAACGGCAATAGGGTCGGCCATGGTAGTCATAACATTCTGCTTCACGGGTTTGTAATGCCTGTGGCTGTTGCAACCAACATCCTACACATCGTACACAGGATGAATGGTAGGTTTGCCCATCCGCTGCAGTGTAAACTGCATGAGAATCATAAGAAGATTGGCATATTGGTTGGCGACATTGAGCGCATGAGTTTGGTGGTGTACTAAGTGGGGTGATTTCAGGTGCATCTCGAAGACGATGAGGGGAATCGCTGAGTGATCGCTGATGAGAGGGTCTGTGTGAAGGACTCATTTGGATAATAATTGACGAAAAAGAAGAAGAGGAACGGACACAAGCACAACAAGGTTGTTTATGAGAGTTGCGGGGTGGGACGTCACTCGAGCTCTGGTGTGCATGTGTGTGTGTGTGTGTTTGTGGGTTGATGAGCACAGGCCACACTACCCAAACGCCCTTCTGACCGAGAGATATAAAAAGGAGAACTCCGCCAATGCTTATTTTGTTTGATTCTCTATTTTTAGCTCTCGACATCTGTCTAAATAAAGACCCAGCCGGCTGCACCACTCGGATGTCTATTGATGCATGTCAGTCATCTAATCAAACATCAGTTATTCTATCAGTTCTTACCTGTTGAGGGGGTGATGTGGTAAGTATCTCAATGCTTTCTTCACTCAGGGCCAAATACGGCTTATAGCGACGAGAGCGTAAAGTACGATTACGGCTATTTGGGCGGGAAGGTCGCTTACACATTATTTGAATATGTGGTAAGTAATCAAGTAACTCTGAATTACGTGGTTGAACAATAGTTCTTAGAGGAAGAATAGGTTCGCAAGCCTCTAACATATTCTCTTTTCGTATCTTTGTGTTCTTTTCCAGAATCTCCCAACCATAAGCTCCATGGGTCCCATGCACGCTCCGGGCCAGCCGAGTCAGAACTGTCTGAATTTCCTGTGCCAGTTGGTTCGGGTCAGACGGCACATCCCACAGCCGACCAGTACCAGAAGGGTGATCCTTGGATGACTCCCATACTTTCTCTTCTTCTTGCAACGGATCATTAGGGTGGGCCATAAACGCGTCTTGAACCGAAGCCACTTCCAAGCTACGCCACAACGCGTCTAATGTTGTTGACGACGAAACTTCTAATTCTGGAACAAAAGGTTTTAAAGATGATAGTGATGAATCTATCTGATGTTTCTGATATTCCTCGTACATCCTAATCAATGGATCATCTTCATGCAATTCATATTCAATATAGACCCCAAAAAGTCCCGTGCAGTCCCTCTTCCACTCATCTGAGATATCATCCCCCAGATCAAACTGTGGACACCACACTTGTAATGTATTTATGATCTGGCGCACGTCTCCTACCCAGGCCACCAGACACACCAAGTCTACAGGAGGTACAAAAAACCCTTCTGCAAAACATATAAGCTGCAACCATGGCAATAGTACTTCTGTCGGAGGAGATTCGAAATGCAATATCCCGTATAACCGTAAACTCTCAATCGGGATCGTACTTGTATCTATTATTGATATTAAATCATTTCTTTGTATCAGTACATATTTGGGTAGTTATATAAGCTTACCGTTACAAGTCATGATTATAGGTCGCCGACTTTTGTCTGATAATTCTTCTACTGCTGACCAAAATCCTTTGTCTTCTTCATATAGTATATCTACTTGATCCAACAGGATCAGACTTTCCTTAGGCTCCTGGGGTTCGTTGGTCTCATATTTCTCCTCTTCATTCTCTACTATATCCATTGCATCATCTATTATTGGATCTATATGCATAACATCTATATATTCTTCTGCAACCTTCTCAATAGGTTTGATGCGTGCAAAATGTCGCATAAGCCCAACGTTTGTAGGCACTGCTGGTGGCTCAGGTTTTACTCTTCGCTTGTTTGGCAGATTTGGTTTGGAGACTTCACCTCGTCGTTTATCCCCTGTTTTGCTAAATGTAACCAAGTGGCTTTCAGTCATGGCACCAACTGCTGCTATAATATCCTTGCCAGAACGTCTCATTCCTGCATGAACTTCAAAAACCTCGTATCCTATTTCCTTTGCAGCGGCATATACTGCAGCGGTTTTGCCCACACCCGTTGGCCCCACAAGTAGCACCAACGAAGTTTCAGGTGGCCTAGTCTTCTTCTTATCATTTCCATGTTGCTTTGACTTCAGTTTTGGCTTCTTCTCTTTTGTCTGATCCTCGTATGGATTTCCCCAGAAACGTTCGAATCCCGCATTAGTTAGAAATCCATGTTCATCAACTTCATTTTCCATCAGTGTCAAATGTTCCATTTCCAGATCTTCGGAGACAAGTCTTCCACGATTAGATACTTTCTTGTATTTTAGCCAGTCCCAAAGTTGAATCGATTCTTGCTTATTGGCTAGCATACCATCTAGGTTGGCTGGGCTATATTTCTCAGCCCAGGGTTGATGGGTACTACTACTATTATTATTACTGCTTATAGTGGTATGATCGTAATAAAGTGCCCGACATGCACTGGATGATTCCCATTCAGGATAAACTTTGTCCATCATTGTCTTGATCTCAGTCTTTGTCCAGCGAAATGGTTGTATATAAGAAGGTGGTGAGGGCCGAAGAGGTAGATGACATGAGTTACAAGACTTCAAACGATGTCTGGATTGATTTTGGTGAGTTCTATGCGCTTGACCACCAGTTATTATTCTACTAGGTATATGTCCTCCTTCGAACAACACCCGATCAGGCAAGATCGCGTTTGGGGTGCTAGGTCCGGTAGGCCGATAGAAGCTCTTAGGTGGCGTTGGTAATGGCTGTAATGTTGGTGGTGGTGGTGGTGTTGCTACAGATTGAGAAAAGCTGATTGGCTGTACGGTTGGAACTTGAGGCCTGAAAAAGGCGTCTAGGGTCCTCTTGGGTTGAGTAGACATTGAAAACAAAGGGAAAAAATAGAGAGAGAAAAAAGGGTATAAGGAAGCAGTTGTGGGGTGGCGCGGCGTGGCGTGGAATCGGAGCGTGGTCGTCAAACACGACACCGCACAACACGAAGCATCGCGTCGCGTTTTATTAACATTTCTCCGTCTTTATTGAAAGAAAAAAATATAGCTCCTCTAAATACTACTTTATTATACATTTGGATTCTATATAGTACACTGAGTATTATATATATATATATATATATATATATATATATTTCTAATGTTTTATAATTCAACCATAACACTCTTAAGAAAAGTGAATTCGTCCAGACCGGCTCGCCCAAGCTCCTTGCCAATTCCAGACATGTTTCGACCACCAAAGGGGAGAAAGTCTGGTACAATATTATAGAGATTGATCCATACTACGCCAGTCTTGAGACGTGCAGCAACCTTGTGGGCTTCTTTGTGGTTTTTTGAGAAAACAGCTGAAGCCAAGCCATAGTTTGATGAATTTGCTCGGTGAATAGCTTCGTCTGTGGTTGTGAATGGCTCTAAGACACTTACAACTGGACCAAATATCTCTTGAGCCACATGTGGACTATCATCCGGTACATTTGTATAAACAGTAGGCGAGACGTAAAATCCGTCTAATTGGCTCAAAGGGCTGGTCCAGTTTTTATATGGATACTGAGTGTGCGGATATATATGCTCATATTGTATCTGATCAATGAGAGGGCCATACGGGTATAGATTTGGTCCAACGGTTTCAAAAGGGGTAATTGCCTTCCATTTCATCGTTTCTTTTTTTAGATGAGTTAAGAAGGTCTTATATACATCATTATGCACGTATATACGTGACACCGCACAGCAATTTTGCCCAGCGTTGGAGAAAGCGCCTTGACTAATTGTATATGCGGCTTGCTCTATGTCTGCGTCTTTAAGTACAATCACTGCATTATTTCCTCCACATTCAAGAACCCCGGGTGTAAGTCTATTTCCAGATTCTCGTTGAATAGCTTGCCCAACTAAGGTAGATCCAGTGAAGCTGGTCTTGTCAACTTGTTCCATTAATCTACAGGCCACATCTGCACCACCTGGAAGAACCTGTAACACACCTGGCGGAAGAATGTCTGTAGCCAATCCTGCAAGTGCCAGTGTAGTCAAAGGTGTCTGGGGTGCAGGTTTAACAATAGCACAATTACCGGCTGCCAGCGCCGGCGCTAGTTTCCAACCGGCCAGAAGTAAAGGATAATTGAAGGAAGTCACTAATCCTACAGTTCCATATGCCTCTCGTATTGTGTAGGCATGCATACTTGGGTCCATAAATGACTCGCCTGGTATATTTGTTTGCCCACTAAACGTTCTTAAGCACTCAACAACAGACTGTACTTCTGAAATTGCATCATTCAAAGGTTTTCCTGTTTGAAAGCTCTCTAAAGCTGCAACATCTTCTGTGTGTCGTTCAAGTGCATTAGACAGTTTGAATAAACAATCGCGGCGGTAATGAGGGTTTTGTTCCCATGAATATTGAGCACGATTTGCACACACGATTGCCTTATCAACTTGATCGAGTGTAGCATTTGATAGTTCACATAGGGGATTCCGTGTGGAAGGATTGATGAGTGTCTGGTATGCCGTCGTCGGGGTAAATCGACCATCGATGTAGGGTGATAGCCCCTTCCCAAGATTTTTCCAAATATGTTGCATCAACCAAATATATATATGGAACGATATAGTCGAAATAAATAAGTAAATAAATAAATTATAATAACTCCATAATATAAATTATAAGACAGATTAACAGCTGAGAATCACTGCACATCCCCGTAATGTACTCCTCTTTTTATATATTTATATCTACATCTTTTCCCCTAATACTTCCTTTGTTAACAAATGAGTGCTTTCCTTAATTGATCTTGGACTAGCTTGAGTGAGTGGCTGCACGGAAGAACCAGGTTGAATAGAAGTATGGAATGTTCAAGGAGTAAAATAAGAAAAGAATAATAAAGTCTCCTGTGTCTCTGAACTGGCCACAATGGTTTTTTAAGCTATCCTAATGGGAAGTATAAGGGTGTGCAAAATAAAGGAGAGGGCAAAGGGATAACATACCTCAGTCTACACCATGAGAGGAGTGCAGCTGTTAATGGCAGGAAACAGAGATAGAACATACATATACATATAGAAGAAAGTGAAAAGGCTATAAAAGGTCTGAAAAAATCAAACAATCGAACAGTATTCACATCTCTCTTCTTCTCTCATCAATCTACAATATGAAGGCCACTTTCTTCCTCGCTGTCTTTGCTCTCCTCGCCGTTGCCACCTCTGCCATCCCCCACGGTTCCGACCAATCTGCTAAAGAAGTTGGTAACGAAGGTTCCGTCTCTGGCGTCGTAAGTTTCTCTTTCCACCTTTTATGTGTATGTATAATTTGCTAAATATTCTGATAGTTCAACAACTTCGCTGCTGCTGGTGCCTTGAGCGACAACTCTCTCAAGAACTCTGTCAGCCAGTCCGTTTAAGCAATTACTTATTAATGTCATGGAGATTGATTGAAGATATCAATTCTAAATGTATTCGAAAGAGAATTAGCATATTCGATCCATACAGTCATTTAAACTTTTTTTTTCTTTAATAAAGCATATTGATTCTCCCATAATAACTCAAGGCAGAAATTAGACAATAAACTATGTGTGCTTAAACAGAATCAGATGATATCATAAAATTCTAGTTAATGAGTGTCAGAACTATATTTGACAGAAAAGGGGTAATTATAAACCACTGTATGACTATTGATACTAATGCCAATGCCAACGAAGTATCTTTGGGAAACACAAAGATAAAATAGGAGAAAAGGGGATAAATCGCAACCCGATCATTTGCAGGATTAAATGCCTTTATAACAGATCTTTGTTTGGTATTTGGTGCTTTACTAAGCTCAACAATCGAATACCAGGAGAAATCGTACTGCAACTGTAGTGTGCTTAGAAATATATGCAGGAATATTGATTACCATTAAATCTGCGGTTAATGCTAAGAGGTCAAGTTAATAATACCAACTGAGGATAGATATTAAAAAAAAAGGTAGTATTTATGACTTTCTGTATATTTTTAATGGCTACTTTTCTCTTATATATATAGGAAAAGTAAGATAGGAAATGATGTACAAGATACTAGGATGATGAAGATGTATAAAAAAATAGCCCTTTAAATGTCGAACAAAAGGGGTTTTGGTTTTGGAATGTCGGGCTGCGAAGGCTGGTGAATGAGCTTGAACAGACCGGTACCAATAGACATAGGGATACCCTAGATTGTGAAAAATTGTAAGTGAGTTTAGTAAAAGTAATAGAGGAGGTAAATTATATTTCAATAATAATATTTACCATGATGATCTGTTCTGATACACCCACGACAGCATCGCATTTACTGTACAATGCAGCCTCAAACAAGTGATCAGTAGTCTTTTCGAAAGAAGCAATACTCAAGACACTGTCTCTCATTTTCGAAATACCGAATCGAGTGATACCCAGTACTTCACCCTTAAAAATAGAAAATTATATGTAAGCTTTGGATTATATGTGTATATTTAGCTCAGCTTACCTTGCTTGTCATAATGTCACCAAGCAAGAATACGTGACGATGATCAATAGTCATACCGTGACTCTCCATGGTAACTTGAATTTCTCTAATAATAGTGTTTCTATGTAATTTATCCCCCAGCAGAATTATGATGTTAGAAATATGCAACCTCAAAACCAATATATACAAATATCTATTTATATTTATAAATATATACCTTGCTGCTTCAATACCCAATACTTGGGCTACTTCCATAATATGATTAGAGGTGGTATTTTCGCCAATAATACCATCGGTAGTCATGACATCCAAGAGACCGTAACCTTCAACAAGCAATTGCTTTGATCCACTTCCACCGGCCTTTTCACTGATAACAGCACGGACAACAGAAGGAAGGCCCTTTAAATTAAACGGCCAGAGTCAGCTTACAGATATTAACCAGAATATACTCGACTTATATTACCTTGATAATAACAGCGCATAAAAGACGCTTAATAGCTTTGAGACTGTAGTACATTGACTCGTCTTGTTTGGCATGAACGTAAACGCGAATAATGTCAGGGCGGCTGGTTTGAACATCCTGTAAAACGATTATTTAATTAGTATACTTTTACCATTCAAATTATTTCTTTCTTATTCTTGTAATATGTTTACCAATTGGCTGCTCTTCAACTTGGGGGCTGTTTGGATGGCCGTTGCAATTTCATAAATATTTGTCTCAAGCTAGATAAAAGATAGAGAAAATAAACAGATATAAGTTTTTTTTTTAAAAAAAAATATCGCTAGGTAAAAAGTGAAGAGTAAATATACCTGGAGTTTGTTCAGTGCATCCAAATCAATTCGGAGTAAGATATGTGTATCGTTAGGTTCATACACTTCTTCCATATACATTGCCACATCCCCAAGAGTTGTTTTTTCGACACGACCCTTGACCACACGAGCAGCTCTGACATCCTTGTCAGAATGCAAGTCGCAAGTAATAATGGGGGTCGAGATGACCTTGGCAGCGTTAATAATTTCTTTAATACGGGGTACACCAAGAGTAATGTTCATGGAAGCAACACCAGCAAAATGGAAAGTTTTCAGTGTCATCTGTGTACCGGGCTCACCAATAGACTGTGCACCAATAGCACCGACAGCAGTACCGGGCTCAATCTTAGCTTTCAGATACTTGGAAAGACAAACACCGAGGTAATCGCGCAACTGACGTTCGGTGACAACGCACATATTTCTTAGGGCATGCTTGGTAGCCTCTATTTATGTTTACAGAGCAGCATAAGTAATGCCGTATAAATGTAATGTACAGAAAAGTAATGTTTTTATCTTACCTGGAACATCTTCGTCGATATCCATGTCCATATAATCCTCATCAGGAATGGATAAACCAGGAAGCATACCGTGCTTCTTACGAAGATTGGCCAATTTTCCAGCAACCTTATCGTTGATGAAGGTCAGGACCATGTCGATGAAAGACTGCATACAGTTGGTGGTCCAGACATCCTGACTGGTCACATCTTCGGCCAGCTTAATAATCTGCCAAGGCAAAAGACCTTCTTCGCCGTTCAATGGAGTACAAATCTAATGATAAGCATGAGTATCATATCAAATTTACTTTTATGCGAAAATATAAATCTCTTTTTGTTTGGTTTACCTTGACATGCTTCAGATTACGTTCAAACTCTACTGGGATACCGTCACCTTCAATAGTCATAGGGTCCAGACCATCTGCACCATAACGGAATTGAAGCATAGCACCTTCAGAGTTACGTACAGACAGATCATAATGGGTTGTCAGATCTTCAAATGCTTTCATTAAACGTCTAGCCATATAACCGGTTTCGGCAGTCTTGACAGCTGTATCGACCAGACCTTCACGACCAGAGACAGCGTGGAAAAGAAACTCAGTAGGACTAAGACCAGTAAAGAAACTGTTTCTCACGAAACCCTTGGCAGGAGGACTCTTAGCTGAAGTCAAAATAAATAAATATATATAAAAACATTAAAACAAATGAAAAAAAATGAAAAAAACTTACAGTGTTTTAAGAAATGAGGGAGAGATCGATCTTGGAAACCATCGGGAATACGACTACCGCTAATAATCTGCTGACCGACACATGCAACCATCTGAGATACGTTAATTTGAGAACCTGAAAGAAGAAGTTAGGACACTGTCAACAGATATTTTAATATAAAAACTTACCTTTGGAACCACATCGGGCCATGATACTTGGGGAGTTGTACATATTCAACTCGGTCATACAGACTTTACCGAGATCACCACGAACAGCAGACAGGATACCAGATACAGTAGACTAAAAATTGATGAGAAAAAAATCTTGATTTAAACATAAAAGAGATATACTTACCTCCATGGTCTGTTCTTCGTCACAACCAGCCATTGTCTCCAATTGACCTGATTTATACTTTGCGATAATTTCATCACACTTTCTGTAAGCTTCCTGTACTTCTGCTTGCTTGATTTCTCTCAGGCGCTTTCCGGGAGTAACATCACTAATACCAATTGAGAAACCCTGGTTGGCTAATATGTCGTGTTAGATCATGTGTGGATAGTTAATATATGATAGCTTTTTTTTACTTACCAAGATATCTAGCACACAACTTGGCCAATCTAATTATGTAATTAAAGTTAAAGCATTAATATATAAACTCTCTCACAAAATCGTTTTTGTTTTTGTAATGCGCTTGCCTGTTCATACACTTGGCAGCTTCAATCGGTCCATAATCACGCAGGATAACGTAGAACACGGAATTCTTGTTACCATCACCAACAACAGCCTTATCAACCAAACCACACATAATTTCACTGTCCTGGACAATAAGCCAGCCATCGTTGGGACAGAGATCAGGAACACGACCTTCTTGCTTTTCATACGACTTTGTCTTTGCCTCGACGTTCAATTGAACTTTGCTTTCTTTGTTGGGTCTGAAAAGAATATTGAACACCTGCTTACCAGTCCACAAACGCTGTGGCTTCCAGATAACAGGAGGAGGAAGATCGATATTCATTTCACCGTCTCCCATCATTGTGCACACCTGAGTAAACATGGCACGACTGTAGAAAGTATCCTTGTGGGACAAAAGATATGAAGCTGTAATGAAATCCTGGGTGGCGGCAATAAGAGGTTCACCGTTACGAGGAGTAACAAGATTGTTTTTGACACCCATAAGCTCAATGGCCTCAGCCTTAGCTTCTTGTGTCTGGGGTAAATGCATATTCATTTCATCACCATCAAAATCGGCGTTGTAAGGAGAGCATACACACTCATTGAAACGGAAAGTTCTCCAGGGCATGATTTTGGCAAAATGGGCCATGATCGACAATCTATGAAGTGAAGGCTGACGGTTGAATAGAACTACATCATTATCGGACATGTGTCTCTCGACAAGATCACCGATCTTAAGTTCGGCTGCAATGTTATTACGGTCACCAAATTTCAAAAATTTCTTGTATCCGTCTGCAAATGTCACATAATTTGCACCAGGATGGACATCAGGACCATTTATGACATTCTGGCGAAGTTTGTGGATATTGTGAGCGTGTACACGTTCAGGGAAAGTCAAAATTTTGGCAACACGCTCAGGTACAGCAACCTGGTCAATGCGCATATTTGGATCGGGTGAAATAACGGTACGACCAGAGAAATCGACACGTTTACCAGACAAGTTACCACGGAAACGACCTTGTTTACCCTTCAGACGTTGACAGAGACCACGACTGGGCTTACCAGCATTGGCATTTGGTACACCTGGCATTTCACTGTTGATGTACATGGCCGCAGCCAGCTGAAGAAACTCCCATTGCTCCATCAAATTCATTACTGTCACACCTCGTTCCAAACCAGCGCGAATAATAGCATTGGTAAAAATGATCTCAGTAAGCTTTGCAGTCAAATCATCTTCGTTGCTGCTGTTGTCGTCTTGCATGACTGAAGGACGGATACAGGATGGAGGCACAGGCAAGTATTGCCAAATGTACCACTCAGGCCTACCATGCTCTTCGCTCAAACCGAGAAGTTCACAGTCCTAGTCCATATATCAGTCACTAAATATCCAATAAACCTTTATTTTAACGTAAGCAAGTGATTACAACTTACCTCTGGGGTAATACGTTGGAAAAGACGAAGGACACGAAGAGGGTTCAGATCATCCTGAGCCTTGCTAAGATGGGCTTTCAATTCTGGCATGGCATTTGTTGCATTCTCAAAAGTTTTGCGGAACTGTTCTGCTTCTTCTGCTACACGCTTCAATCTGTATTTGTCGTGGGTAATCTTCATAGGGCCGACTTTTTTTACCACACCTACACACCTAGATGTAAGTCCACATATCCCCGCAAATCTTCGGTTTTATCTCCATTCTCCATTGATCCCCATTTATCTTTTATGTTTTATCCCTCATTCTCGTTATTATTTACCGTTTGTTGCTTTACAATGCGGACAAAATGTGACTCTTTTACAACGATCGTTAATCGCTTTAATTACTCTTCCACGGGTCAAATTGTCTAGACCAGGTGCACGCAATCGTCTGAGGAACGAACGACGCTCAGGCTCTTCCAACATAACACGACTACAGGACTAATTGATTTTGTAGAAAAGAAAAAATTACAAAATGCTCCAATGTCTGTCTTTCTTTATGCATACACGTTTATATATTGCATATGTAAATCGTCGTCCCTAATCAATATATTTTACCTTGCAAATATCCTGGAGAATGTTAATTACAGGTCGAAAGTAGCCAATGTGAAAAATTGGGAGAACGAGTTTGAGGTAACCCCAATGACCAGGACATTCTTGCATCTTCTGTCCACAGGTATCACATACAGCTTCTTTGTTTGAGGTACCCTGATAATGTCATGTCGAAATCTTGATTAGATTTTATTTTCTCTTCCTTTCTAACTAATTTTAACACACCAATCTCAAATCAAGAACACCACCTTTGACAGGTGTACGACTCTCAGGCTGATAAAGATCACGCTGGGTGATTTCAAACTCTGAGATCTTGACCATGTTTTGTGGTGACATTACACCAAACTGAATGTGCCGACTATTATTTTAGAGGTTAATAATTTGCCTGGATCTATTTCGATTCAACGTACATTCGCTTTGGTGTATTATCGTTAACTTGTTCTTTCATTCTGCTTGTTGTATGACTTTATTTATGAATTTCAAATTGGGACTATAATGGTAAAAAAAAAGAAAAAAAGAAGGAAAAACAAAGTGGTGAATGTCAATTGTGCCAAAGCCAAAGCCAAAGCCAAAGCAAAAGCCAAAAATTAATTAATTAATCAAACGAAAAATAATAAATATAAAAAAATTAGTACAATAAAACTGACCTTTAGAAATGTACAATTTTGTGTGCGTTTTTGTTTTGTTTTTGCTTTTTTTTATACACTGTGAAATGAAAGTATATTATGAATTCGACTGACAATGTAAATTATGTAGATGAATGCCCTTGATTAATTTCTATTAAACAGCCCTAAAGTCGATGGGCGGGCACACAGAACAAGTTCCCTTTACAAGAAAGCTTAAAAGACTTAAATGGGTTTTTTTTTCTTTTTCTTTTTTTTTTTTTTTTTTTTTTAAAACATGGATCTTCCAGCTTTCGCAGCAAAGTGACTGCTAGAGAGACGTAAAATTTTGGTGGTGTAGAACCCCGTTTTTTGGATTCCTTTAATGGAAAAGAGACATTTGAATATGGCTTCCTTTTCTTTATATCACTTTTGTAACGGTATATATATATCTATTCTTTTGGTAGGTTTCTTATATAATCATCATTGGCTTTAATATGTACCTATTTTTGCTTGGTTGTATACATATGTCTTATATACACTTATACAGAAACAATATTTGAAATACCATTCGATTAAATGTTTGTATGTTTGAAACTAGTTGTCAATTTATGAGCTTTAAGACATTAGGCACAATTGGAACAATTCTGCCTCAATTTTTAAAATAATTAAGGGAAAGGATGAGAGAGTTAGAGAGAAATGGTAATATGGAGTGTTCTTTCAGTTCCTTAAATTATTACTTAAAATACAACAGAAAGGTTTATTTTGTATAGGAATTCATTTTGATAAAAGATAATATAATAAATGGTTTGATTATATTCTTCTTCTATATATATTAAATGATATACTAGAGTATTATTATTTTTGTATTTCAATGTTAACATTAATTCCTGGTACAAAATAACTTTATATACTGCTGCCTATCTACTTAGTATTAGCTTGTATAAAAAGCATATTTAGACAATTCAATCTAATATTCGATTTTGACCCGAGTTATTTTTTCTTAAAGTATATATTCAAGGCAAGCCCTTGCATAGTTAAATCGTTTTCTCTCTTTCTAATTATATGTGTTGGCATTTGTGTTTAATATTTCGTTTCTTATTTTTATATACAAGAAATAATAATATTTCAAGCCATTTTGATTAAAAGAGAAAGACTCTGGTTGTCTTATTAAGCTTTTGTATAATAAGAAGGATATTCACATGTATCACATCTTGGGATTCAAGTCTCATATTATTACACAACTAATGAAGGTCTATTAAGTGTGAAATTCGTGCCTTATTTCTTTCTTTATGTATACATGTATTTTAGCAAGAAAGTAGATTAGTTAGTCCAAGCTCAATAATGGCTACATAATGAACTTTTTGTTTTTTTGATATCTGAAAATTTATAAATTGAATAAAATCAAAATTAACTAAAATGACATTTTATTAAATAGCTATATATTCTAAGGTAGATCATACTGAAAATAATTTCTATGGTTTTTCTGGAAAAACAATAGCCTTTCTTATAAAAATAAAGGATTGTATTCAAGTTAGGAATATGAGCATCACTAAATATATATATAAAATACCAGCATGAATTGTCCCTCTTAGAAAGGACATATCGCATAGGCCCTAAGCGGAGCAGTTTAATGTCCTACTCAGGACATTTTTCTAGCCAATCACATTCCACAATGGGAATGTGTGGCAAAGAGAAAGAGAGAAAGAGAGAAAAATAAAAGTGGTGGGAAAGCTCTCTTATTTATAGACAATCTTTTGGCGGCCTATCTATGACTGATATCCTTAGCACTCACATGATAGTAAATCAATTCAGTATATAAAATAATTACTATCCTAAAGGTATAAACAAAACAAAGCAAAAAAAGCTATATATTCATGCATTTGGGGTGGAAAACAGGAACCAAGATTATGTCCGGTGTTTAAAATATGCCACCCTCGAGACTTTTATGCATATTTTTGCGTCAAAGAACCCCAAAAACCAGCAAACCATTGCTAAACTAACTTCTAGACGTAATTTTAATATAAGCGGTATTATGTGCATATATGTAGCTACATATGTACGCACTAAAGTAATTTTATTTTTTCTTTAAAAAAAAAAAGTGTGCCAATATGGCATTCTACATCTCAATTAAACATAAAAAATAATGTTAAATAAACCTCAACTAAAGTTATTTGTCAAAGGTCACTTTCATATTGACAAATCATAAAGAAAATTAAATACTAACACTTACTTGTTGACATTTATAATTTTATACAATAAACTTAATCAATAGCTATTCTTTGTATTTCATGAACCCGTTAATTGTACATGTTTTGTAAATTTTTTTACCCCTAAGTATAACACCAGCAGAGAAATTTCTTGTGTAATCCTATTCCCAAAAGGGTGTCAGAGTAGACATGTTCATTTCTTTACCATATATGGATGAACAAATTTTTGCGATAGTTTCTGGTCGAAATAAATCACGGATTTAAAAATGCGTTTTCCAAAATATCAAAAATGGTTCAAAATAAATTCTGTTTCAAATAAATAGTTTTTATTTTTTATTTCAAAGTAGAAAAAATGCCAAGTTATTTTATATAACGGGGGTACTCAGCCAGATTGGTCGATCAAATTTCAAATTCAAAAATCAATATTATTGGGCTAAATTTGTAGAAGCGACAATCGAAATTTGATCGAAAAACGAGCGGCCCTCTGATTGGCTGAATCCTTACTTTTTTATATGCAATACAATACTGTTTTTATATTTCTCCTTAATAAATCATAGAATTTATTGTCAACAAAGTCATATAACACTTCTTTCTCTCCATCTTACATGCCAAAATATAGTACATAGCAACGAACAGTTGATGCCTTAAATAAATCGCGTAAAATCAGTGAATTTATCGTGAAAAAAAAACACTGGTAGAGTCTTTATTAGCAAGTACAGACGAGCTTATTAAAGATATTTTAGAAGTAATCAAAAAGTTAACATAAAGTTGGAGCAGATAACTGCCGTGAAGGAGCTTGAAAAAACCCTTAAAACCAATAAATACATACACATGGTTGACAATGTATTGCCAGATCTTGAGTCAAAGGAAAGAACGCTTGGCTTCTTCGAGAGTCTAAGCGTATATAGGTTCAAAGAATAAATCAGGATGTGCAAAAGCCTATTCTATAAATGCTATAAAAACCTATGAATTTTGTACGAATTTTGTACTTTTGTCTTTTGGTGTCCTCAACTACAAATTGATATCATTGGCCAAAATTCACACAAGAATTTGATCGATCAATCTAGGTGAGTACTCCCATATATATATAATGGAATACAGTAAGAGCTTGATATAGTGATATTTTTTCTTTTTGAAGATTTACATATAATTACCTTATAAAATATTTCCTTAACCTTATGTTTACATATATTGAGAAGAGCATAAATAACATTACTGTATTGATAACACCATGCTAAAGGATTACAGAATCTGCTTATGTGTACAGTGTGGATAATCTTTTGGGACCCACACTTTCAATGTCCGCCATTTAAAAACATCGTTTAATGGTGTAAATATCGATATTGTCATTTTTTCATCTCTTAATATCTCCATGAATATTGGTCTGTGTTTGGTCAAACAAGCACTGGGCATCATGGATCAACTTGTTAAACAGCTTTACTTAATAAAAAAGACACAAATTCTTGATTTTTTTTTTAGGTGCATACCCTGAGGGAACTTTTGGATCAAATATGCCTTTGTGGTGTAAATATCCAGAATCCTATTAGTAAATTGTTTTTTAGAGTAAAAAAATGGGATATCTTGCTCAATATTTGAGTAATCAATGTCAAATAACGTTTAAGTAGTAGATAATAGTACGCTTTACCAGTTTACTTATATATATAAAGTAATTTTGCTTTATGTATTTGGATTTATAGCTGACTTCCTTAATTTGATTTGCCAATTTGATCAAAGTGATATTTCTTATTAATCAACTTTTTATTTCAGCAATAGATTTAACACTATAGCGCACAACATAATGCTATCAATAATTATATCAATAGTGATAGCTATATAGATTGGACTTTCTTATTCTTACTACTATATAAAGCCTTGAATGAAATAAACTATCAACCTTTGTAAATCTTCTAGGTTTCCCTTTTTTTTTAAAAAATAATAATAAAAAAATATTAATTAATTTCTATGTAAAAAAAACTTCTCATTGTAAATTTTTGTGATTAAATAGGATATTATAACCAGAAGCAGCAGATCTTTCAAATGTCCTTTTATAACCACAAAATCGAAAGGATATAAAAAATACTTACTATTATTTTCTAAAGATTACCTTTGGAATCCCCAGTCTCTCTCTCCTTGTAGTGTGCAAGATCTTATGGCAACACATTTTGACAAATTACCAGACGATTATAGAGAGCAGCAATATATATATCTTTTGCTATGTTTGTTCTCTTACAAGACAAAGGCTACCAGGGAAATGCATAATGATAGTTTCAGTAATCAACCATATTATATTAGGTTCAAATATATTGTATAGATAAACAAACCCGACATATATGTTTGCAGATAGAGTTAGTGTTTACGCTTATATAAGTTGTCAAACTGACTTTAGATAAGAGTAATATGCACAATAATGCTTTACAATTCCTATGTTAAAAAGATTCTTCAAGATTTATGAAATTGATCAAAACATGGACACTTTTGGCTATAGTGTTAACATTAATTGATCAGACCGTGTTTGGAATTGAAACAATGATGTTTTGTCTAAGAAAGAATGTGTGTATATGTATGCATACATTTAAAATGTTTGGTAATATATATATATATATATATATATATTAAAAATAAGCTTCTTATCATGTATATCCATATAAGCATCTCATACAAGCATAGTACGCTTATATGTTTTTTAATATGTATGTATATGTATTGTGTTCTTAAATTTCAAAACATCATGTAATTTACGACATAATGTCGAAAATAAGGACTTGTTTTTTGTTTGCTTATTATTTCTCGTTTTATTCCCCTTTAATAAATGCATATTTTGCTTTGCAGTGGTTATCTATTGTTGCATAGAAGTCGAGATCAGTAATTCATTGCATCTGCACATTAATCTTAGCCAATATTTACTCTGTGTACAGCGTAAATGATAGTGAAGACTCCTTAGCCCAATTATGCTATTAACCCACAATATAGTTCGGGAAGATCAATAGAGATAAAGATAGACAATACAATAGAAATAAAAATAATATTAATTTTCTGTCTCTTCTTTTATTTTAAAGTACATTTCTTGTTTCGGGTGTACTTCACAAGTCTTTTTTTCTCTCTTGTTATTGTCATTGTTGATTGAATTGAACAACATACATGTTATTAAGCCATGAGTTCTGCTTGTCTTGTACCTTAATTTGTGCCAATTACTTATGCCCTGGAAATCCACAAGTCTCTTGTAAAGTAGCTGAAAAAAATACTCCTTTGCGTACCTTTCTTCCTATAGAATACCTATCTTCTTTCTTTGATCCAAATGCTTATTTTGATCAATTATCTCTAATTGATTGTACATATACTCCTTTAATTCAATTAAACTTTAACTCACTAACCCATTCACTCCCCCCTCTTTTTTTACATATTTTATTTTATATATATTTATAAACATTTGCATGCTAGAGTAGCTGTTATAGTAGCTATAAGCATATTTCTCTTTGTCATGATTTATGATTATGCTTGTAGTTCTGAAAATAAAGTAGTTTATTTATTCAACAATGGATCTTTGGAAAGAATATCTCAATGTATAATATATATATATATACATGATAGTAGCAAAATAAAGACTATTTAGTGTCTGCCGTTGTCATTGTTGCTGTTGTTGTTTTTACATATACACGTAAACTATATACTAAGCTACATTTACATATTAGCTACTTTTCATGTTCAAAAAGAAAATGTATCAAGCACTCCTAAAACCCAATGCAATGAAAGAAGTCACAGATAATAAATAGAGGTATTAGATCTTATACTTTCATTTATCCCTCCCACACACACATATAGATATATAGATTTATAGATGGACCAATAATCAGGGGATCCCTACAGCTTGTCCAATCTAAATGTTCTAGAGTCAACTCGTCTCTATTTTGATTCTTCCTTTCTCCATGTGTGTACAAAAAAGAAAGAAGTGTGGTATGAAAAAGGTTTGAATACAAGTCAATGCATTCATCTTTCCAAAAATCAATTCAAATCAAATTAAAGCAAATCTAGAGAGGTCTACAGTTGATATATTTGTATCTATAGGCAAAACTAATAAATTATACTGGGTATAAGCTAATATGAATTATTTCTGCTTTAATACTCAAGTTACTTGTATATATATATTCAAGAATAACTGTATGGATAGATAAAATGTATATTATTTTAATATTTTTACTGATACACACCTATACTTATCTTCTTCATATATAGAACCTTTTTTTTGGGGGGAGAGATTTTATTAAGATGTCTTTGTCTAGATCACACACATACACACGTACATATTTTACTTTGTAAACTACACTATACTATACGTAAAAGAAACTATTCCTTATCGTCTATAAGATAGACGATAAACTCTCCCAATAATAATAGAGTCTTTTATGCAATTGAACAGACTAATGGCTACATAAGATCCTTTGTATATCTTATTTGCAATGATTGTCTCTGCATATGCATTCTTAATTAGCTTGGAATTCACTACTTTATTTATTCACTGTGAATATGGAAAGAGATTATTGTTATTATGTTAAAGGTTGAAGTCTAATTGAAAATATTTACTTGTTTTCTAATTAGAAATACCCAAAAATATCCAAATATATGTATGACATTGATATTACTGATTTTGTTTATGTACGCATGGGGTTGTTTGTTTTGAAACTAAATCAATGTACTGCAAGTGCTGGTGTAATTCAGCGTGCCAATGCGTAATGCATAGATAATCTTAATGAATAATGTTATCATTATTATGAAAATCTTCTTTTTTTTTTTAAAAAAAAATTTGTACCAAAAAATAAATAAAAAATAACCGGCAAGAATATTATCAAACTCTGTCTTCTTGTGTATAGATACAAGTATAATATATAGTACTGCTAGGCTTTTATTATCTACTTAGATCTTCTATGAAGTGAAATGATTTAATAAATCAAACACGCAAAAATATAATTTTAAATCTATGTGTATATAAAAATGACTGTAGATATTAAACTGCAAGATGTTGTAATTGTTGCATGTGTTAGTATTGGGCTAAATAGGTAAAACAAGTTTGTGTGGCTATAAACGAATAGCCGATTTTATTTTATTTTTATTTTATTTTGTATAGAAAAAAGATCGGCTTCTTATCGGTCGAATTTCTAGGTTTGAAAACGTTTATGAGATTCAATAATCGATGAACAGAGAAGGAAAAAGAAAACCCAAAAAAAAATATATGATAAAAAAAACTAGCTTGATTTGGCTTCTCTTGATTCTAATTTTCCCAGTTATTATTACTATTATTTTTGTTGGTTGATATTTTTTGTTTGTTTGTTGTGAGATATATGTATTTGTATTTGTATTTGTATATATATATATATATATATTTAAAAATCTACCAACTGAACAGCTATGCTTAATTTTGTACTAATTATAATAAATAAATAAATAAATAAATAAATAAATAAATAAATAAATAAAAGCTAAAATACTAATATTAATAATTAATGATTACTGGTTAATGGCAATGTCAATATCAATTTTATTAAGGTCTCTTCTATACAACCTACCTATATACCTGTGTATTATTTATACTTATGATATTAAAGAAACATACACGCATTTATATATATATGTAAAAAGGGATATGTGAAATCAAGGATCAAAGTTATTCTTGAACCAGATTAGGAATATTCAACCCTGGCTTTGGTATAAAAAATAATAATAGTAGTGTTAGTAGTAATAGCGGCGGTGGTGGTGGTGGTGGTGGTGGTGGTTATCATTATTAGTATGATTACTTTTATGTTTATTTCGGGGCTCGGGTCAGGATAATACCCGCATCTCGCCGCATATAGCACTATAGAAGAATATGCAAGGGGGGCGAGGGTGGGTTGGGATAAACATGATTACCGAATGTCTGGATTTTTTCTTCTTTTTTTTTGGTGGTCCTGTGGGTCGATTACCATGGTTACACACATGACTTATAAGCTGTGTAATAAGCAAAAAAAAATCCGTGGTCACAGTCAGACAGAGATAATTTTAGAAACGTGTGGAACGAATAAAAAAGAAAAGAAAAGAAAGAAAAAGAGCATGCAGTACAGGTATGAACCAACAACTACGGTATACAGCCAACCGAAATATATGTATAGATGTATGTATGAATATTAATATTAGTATATATTCTACTGAATGATAAAAAAAAAGACTTTTTTATTTATTTAGTTGCTATGAGCAACAGACCTTTGCCTGGGTCATTATTAATTATTCTTTCCAGGTTTATGTTCTCGAATTCTATTGTATTCTGACGATAGTTATCCATGTAGTTTTTTATATATATTTATTTTATTCTGGATATAAGGACACAGATGCAGACTCACGCGTACTAGTAGTAGCTTTACGTGTCATCCTTTCCATTCTTCTTATTCTTCTTCTTCCGAGTATCCTGGTTTCAATTCTTGATCTGTAAAAGGAAAAAAAAACAAAGTTTTCTTGCTGGTTTGTCTGACTGTTTGTTGTTATTTCTCGCATTGATAGAGTATATAGTGCTCAAATCACGATTGAATCGTTTTCTTGTCTTTAACCACAAGGGCAATTCAACACTAATATCATGATTAATAATAACAACAACAAAAGGACCAAAGTTTCAGTTAGTTAGTTTGTGTACCCGAAACTTGTGCCCATTTACGAACCCCCCCTTTATTGTTGTTGTTGTTTTTGTATCGTTTTTGTATATTTAATTCTGTCTCTGTGTAAGCTCATGAATATTATTATTATTATTATTATTTGTTTTATCGGTCTGTTTGTTGGGGTTTCTATATTTTTCTCTCTTTCTTTCATGTGGGTCGTGGTTAGCCCAACCAACATTCCTTAGTTTATCATTAAATAGTATACATCTGTTTATTTTTGTATTCTTATTCTCTCAAGTCAAAATATCACATAATTCACATATTCATGTATATTCACTTATAGTATCTGCAAGGACCCATGTTTTCTTCTTCTTCACCTTGGTTTGCTTTAACCTATTGGACTGTGAATGGCTCTATAAAATCTCCCATTTTTTTCAGTTGGTGATAGTTGTATGTAGATATATGCGTATGTTTTTATTTGAGATGTACATGTATGCGTGTATAAAATGTGTAAAAGAAAAAAAAATGTATTTTTCTTTGGTGTGTTGTACGCACGTCGGCCTTTGCTCATGTATATCTAACCTATTTCCGGTCATTTTATTTTTGACACAAGGAATCATTTGTCCATATAAGGATCAAAATGAAATTTCTGCACTATCTTTGGGATTAGAATAATGGTACCTTTTTTTGTACTTTATCCCCTTTATCATGGTCTTGTCCTGTCTTGTTTTAGTTGGGAAGATATATCCAATTGTTTGCGTAAATATATATACTTACTCCTGCAGAACACATTATATATATATATATATATATATTAATAAGAAACCTTTATTTCAACTTTCCTTAGGTTGTATTTTTAATCTTTAAAAATTACTCACTACACACACATATATATATATTATATTTAAGATAAAATAAAAATCGGTTCTCATTCATTTGTGAATATAGGATAATATTTGTTTTATTTATAATAATAATTTAACCGAATAAAGCCCATTCGCGCCTTTGTTGATTATATGGGCGGTGCTGCGTTTCAAAAGGTGAGGCAAAGTGTCACAGTTCTTTTTCTTGCTTTCATTTCCTCCTCCCCCCCTTTCCTCCTTTTGTGTTATGGTGAATGTGTGAATATGTGAATATGTGAATATGTGTGTGTGTGTGTGTGTGTGTGTGTAAATGTGTATATAATATATATATAGATATATTTTGTTTGTTTTTGGGTTTTTTTTGGGTTTCTCTCGCTTTCTATTAGGGCCAATGATGCAATCATTCATTCTTGACAGTGCAAAAAAAAAATTACTTTTTTCCGTAATCAAAAGGCCTCGACTATCTTCTTTGCGGGTTTCACAGAAGTTGCCTTTGCGTCGGCGATTTTCTTTTGCTGGGCATTGTATGTCAAACGGTAAAAGTTGATAAACAAGAAGAGGTAGGATGTCAAAAGAGAGCAGCCAAAGATGGCAGCAGATTCCTTGCCGGCACAGTTACCAAAGTTGGGCAGTATCTGTGCATAGTTGTAGGCATAGTAGGTGTAGGAGCAGGTGTAGACGACAAGGAGATCGATGACAAACTGAGTAATCTGCATACTGGTCAGGTACTTCTTCCACCAGATCTTGGCTCCCGAAGAAGTGCGGAAGTAGTAGTAGTACATCAGTACGTGTACTGTCAGGTTGAGGACGATAGGAACCCAAGACTTTAAAAATCAAAATCAAAATTACATATGTTGTTTATGAGTTACTATTACTCGAGTTTTATGTGTAATATTATATTCACACTCTTATTATTCACGTGTGTATCCTCGGCTTGTGTGTGTGTATTCTGGTTTTGATTATTATTATTATTTGGTTTGTTTACTTACGACAGTTGTTCCCCCAACGATCTGAGAATAGCAAAGAGCCAAGGTCATGCTGTGATGGAAGTAATGCAAGAACTCTGCAAGTCAATTGGTAAGCCAACCGTCCCAAAAAATACATATTTTTCCAACAATCAGATATATATATATATATAACACCCCAATCATAATCCTAATCTTAATCCAAAGTCTAGTTCCAAATCCCTGTTCTTGTCCTTGTTCCCCATGCTTAAGATATAATTGAAATACTATCGAAATTAAAATTTTAAAAAAAAATACATACCCAACTTCTTCTTCTTGGCCACCATAAAGACAGTGTCTGCCAGCTCCCAAAACTTGACAAGATAGTTGAGGTAGTAAATGACATTTAACTCGGTAGTAAGCGAGCTTGGGTCACATAGGGCATAGTAGAGTCCTCTCTTGGAGAGCATGGGAATAAGCTGCTCTACTAACAGAAGTAGCAATGTACCAGACACGGCAGTCAGGAGTAGATTGTGGATTTGGAAGAGGGTTTTGAACTTGAAGGGTGCCGAGTTTCGCATCATGTATTCTCCACCAAAGATAACAGCATAGTATGTCAGGCATGTAATTATGACTATAAATTATTATTATTATTATTATTATTATTATTAATATCAGACACCAAAAGTGTTTTTCTTGATAGTATATTCTAATTTATTCTATTGTAAAGGCCTTCTGTTCTCTGTTTCTCACCTTCAGACAATGTAGAGAATCGTGTAACACCAGGAACAAATGTAAATTCAGATGCTCGACTTCCGGTTGCAAGATAACCCAGCTTGTCAAATATGTCAAAGAAATAGACGCCAAATGGTCTGTCTATGCTAAAGTGTACGAGTGTCATTGCAAGTAAAGATTTGTGCGCTTTGGCAGAGTGAGAAGAAGTGTAAGGGTCAGGTACAAGAAAGCAAGAGAGAGAGAGAGAAGAAGAAAGAAGCGTAAAAGAGAGAATAATTGGCGTCTTATAAATACTAAGATTTTTGCTTTATGCCCTTTTTTTTTTATTCGTTTTATTTTATTTATTATTTTGAAACACTCTGGCGCCGATCCAATATTCTCTACAGAAGCTCTTTGCGCAGAATTACAGTACAATGATCAAATGAAGGAATCTTTTTCCTCCCCTGTCCTGCTCTTCCTTACCCTACCCTGCCCTACCCACCCCCCAAATCCCATCCCACCCCCACCTCTACTACCCCTTCTTTTGATAAAACATATAAACAAACAAATAGTAGAATAAAGAATAATATATATCAATTGTGACAAGACAACAACAACAACAAAGACACAATAGAATAGAATACAATGACTATATATATAAAGGACACACTTCTTTAAATGACTTGTTTTATGTCTTTATATATTGCTATAATGATATTGATAGAAACCACTCGTACAACTCATCCTCCTATACCAACAAATATTTAATTGCTGTAAGTTGGCGCAGACACGCTGGTGGCACTTGGTTCCAGTATTTAAAAACAGAAAGTTTATCAGTAAAATACTCCTCTTAGCTGCTATTTTATCTTGATATACATGTACTAAATGTATAAATGTATAAATATATAGATTTTTAGATTTGTATACAAATATGTATGTCAAGCACTTGATAATAAATCCCTTTATTCCTTTCTTCATTGAGAACAAAAATAAAATAAGCTTATTCTAGATATTCAAAACATATAGTATAATAATAACAATACTATATATAGAAAGAGAAAGACAGAGAAATATTATATGTAAAGAAAATGAATAAAGAGGTAGCCCTGCATATCAAATCAAATACCTAGGAGACAAACAAGCAAAAAGACAAACACAAAACAAAAACAAAAACAAAGACACAAACACAAAACACAAAGCACAAAGCACAAAGCACAAAGCACAAATCTTGTCTCTCTTTGTCTCTGTCTGTCTGTCTGTCTTTTGGACCTCCCCCCAACTTCTCCTGTTTGTTTCTTTCAACATTCGCAAAATCATTAATCTCTAATCTATCTTGCACAAAAATAAAAATAAAAAACAAATAATAAAATTACGCTATTTTACCTCTTAATACAAATGCACATGTACACAATCCCACACACGCACATCTCCACTTACATATAATTGTCAATAATAAATAAATACATACATACATACTACATAAATGATAGTAAGTATTTTTTTTTTATTTCTACTACCAAAGAAGTACCTCAAGGGGTGACTGCTTGGAATGAGAACTCAGTTGCGTCAACTAGTAATTTTTTTTAAAAAAAATAATTTTCATTCACAGAGTATAGTATGATAGGGTGATTGGATGAGAGGGGAGGGCGGAGGGAAGGGGGGTGAGTGAGTGAGTGAGTGATTGTGTGTGTGAGTGTGTGTGTGTGCGCGCGTGTGTGTGTGTGTATCGGTGACTGTAAGGAGAACAAACCTAGTCAAACAAAAGCCAAAAAAAAAAGAAAGAAACAAAAAAAAATAGAAGGAAAAGAATGTTATCTGTTTTGCGAGTTCAAGCTGTCAGAGGACCCGCTGTCCAGGCATTCTGTCAGGCATCCCGTACATCCCGTGGATCCTTGCACACCGCACGCCCTGCATTCAACACAACAAAAGAAATCTCGCCGCTTGGAAAACTTGCCCAGGGCATCAATGCCATTCGTTCAACAGTATTGACTTCTTCCCTCAAACAGGCTCTTAAATCCCCACAAAAGCCAGTTCCATTCACTGGTGAGGCCGCAACATGGAATCAGGCGATCCGTGAAGCACAGAGTCTAGTAGAAACTGAAACCGAACGAATGATCGACCCTGCTCAATTGGTAGGACGTGATTTGTGGGAGCTCAAGGGCAACATTGGCAAGCTACTCGGTAGTGGCCATCCGTTTTTGGACACTGTTGCCAAGCACTACTTTAGTGGCGAGGGTAAATACGTTCGACCCCTGCTGGTTCTTTTGGTTGCCCAGGCAACAAGCATTGCCCCAAAGCAACCCGAGTGGGTTCATTCTCAGGACTACCAGTCAATCGACACTCCTATTTCGCACAACCTCGAAAACATCACATCAAAGGACACTTTTGACCGGGGTATCCACTACACCCCGTCCATGACCAACCAGGGCTGCTCTATCCTTCCAACCCAGCGACGTCTGGCCGAGATTTCTGAGATGATCCACACTGCCTCTTTGCTCCACGACGACGTAATCGATGCGTCTGAAACACGTCGAAACTTGCCCTCAGCCAACGCCAGCTTTGGAAACAAGATGGCAGTTCTTGGTGGCGACTTTTTGCTCGCACGCGCATCCATTGCCCTGGCCCGCCTTCGCAACGCAGAGTGCACTGAATTGATGGCAACCTGTATTGCCAACCTTGTCGAAGGAGAGTTCATGCAACTCAAGAACACCCAGGATGGAAAGACTGCTGGTGAAAAAGGAAAGCGCAACACGTTTGATTATTACATGGAAAAGACATACATGAAAACCGGCAGTCTGATTGCCCAGAGTTGCAAGGCGTCTGCTGTTCTTGGTGGGAGTACCCATGAAGTGTCTGATATTGTATACAATTTTGGACGCCATCTTGGACTTGCCTTCCAGGTAAGATTAGCTATCCTTACTACTATTGCCATTACCACTATCATCAGAATAACCATTCAATCAAATAATCATTCAATGCATTGGTTTAATCCCTTGATTCCTTAATCCCTTTCTTTGATTTCTTGATTTCTTGATTCCTTGATTAATTAAGGATTTAATCAATCAAACAGTCAAAGCAAGCAAGCAGTCAATCAATTAATTAAATTAATTAATGTAAAGGCTTTGTTAAACTTAATTCTATGTTTTTTTTTGTAGTTGATAGATGACATGCTTGACTTTACTGTCTCTGCAGCAGACCTTGGCAAGCCAGCCGGTGCCGATCTGAAACTCGGTTTGGCTACTGCCCCTGTTTTGTTCGCCTGGGAAGAGTTTCCAGCCCTTGAACCTCTCATCAAGCGCAAGTTTTCAGAAGAGGGCGATGAAGAGCAGGTAAATCGATATTCTTCTTATTTTCTTCTTAGAATATAAGACTCTTTGGCCAATGTGCAATTGTGTATACATATATATACATACATGTACATGCGCATGCACATATAATTGAATTTTCTGACACCTAATCTTGTTGTTTTTTTTAATTACACTTTTGGTTACATAAATCATAATAATAACAAATAACAGGCAAGACTCTATGTTTATCAGAGCGACGGGTTAAAAAAGACCTTAGGATTGGCAGAAAAGCATTGTCAGTTGGCCATTGATTCACTCAACCAGCTCCCTCCTTCTGATGCTCGTTCGGCCTTGATCCAATTGACCCAGAAACTGTTGACAAGACGTTCCTAATCATATATATATTTTCGAAGAGTTACTTATAGGCTTTCTTTTTTTTCGGGGGTGGAAGGGGGAGGACTCTAGTAAAATTATATTTCAAAAAAAAACACCCTTTTCTTCATTCAAGTAGTAGACAAGAAACAAGACTATATACATTAGTTCATACACGCATATATATATTTCATAGATATTCTTTACAACCTCTTGATTCTTATTTCATTTCTAAAGATATATTCATTTCTCTTCTCTCACTTTATATAACAAATACAAATAAATGAAAGTTATTGTTATTAAATGTAATTTTTTTTTTAAAAAAAAAGATATAATAATAAAGGAATTCTTAAAGTTTTCTGGTCTTTTACTTTTACATTTACACACACACACACACACACACACACACAGGTCCATAATAATGAATATATGAAAGAGGAAGAAGAGGAACAAGATAGGTATATCTATATCTGAGAGTAAGGAAGCGTGTGAGTGTAAGTGTGAGGGTGTGTGTACGTATAATATATATATATATATATATTAATATATAAAGCATATTGAAGGGAGGATTAACAAACAAAATAAAAGAACAAAAAAGATAAAAGTAAAAGAGGATATAAGGAAGGGTTAGGAATAATAATAAGAAAGTAACTAGATGTGGTGAGTAATAATAATAATAATAATAATAATAATAATAATAATAATGATAATAGAAATAATGATAATAGAAATAATAATAATAATAATGAGAGAAAGAGAAAGACAAGTAAATCTCATTCACCATCCTTATCCTGATACTTCTTTTCTTTAAAGCCTAATTTTTTTATATATCTTTATCCCTATTTCTATATATCCATATTTATATATCTACCTCTTACTTTCTCTCTTTCTTCTTCTTTCCCTTTAATACTTCTTCATTTATATTAAAAAGAGATAAAGAAAAATTAAGAAAAGAAAAAGAAAAAGAAAATAGATAATAAAAAGAAAAAGAAAGAAACACACTCCTCGCATCATTTCATGTTACGGGTAAAGATTTTTTGTTGTTGCTGTTGATGTCTATTGTACGCGAGGGTTGTCCATAACCATACTCTCAGGTTCAGCAGAAGTGGTGGTAGCATTCGTAATTGCATTGGCAGAAGTGCCAGGAGCTTGGTTCAGGACATCATCCAAGCTCACATGGCGAGACAATTCATTGAATACCTACAAGACATAAAATAAATAAATAAATAAATAAAATAGCATGGGATGAAGAAGAAATATCAATAATGCCAGAGATCAAAGGTTAGAGATCAGAGATCAAGAGTCTCTAATTATTCTTCACCTTCTAGTAAATCAACAGTTCTACCCAATATAAACCCTAATACTATAACAAAACAACAATGGAGACTTACAGTTTCATCCACAGGAATAATTGATTTACGTCTAAATTGTTGGTATTGGGCAGGAGGATGATCGAATTGTTGCTATGGAAACAAATGGGTTTGGATTAGATGATTATATATATATATATATATATATATAACCATAGCAACACACCAACACCAACCAAATATATATATATATATATATAAAGAAATTACCATGTCTGGATGAATCTCATCAGTGTGCTCAGCAGCATTGTCTGATTCAGCATCAGTATCTTCGTCTGTTGTATTGTCCTCTACTTCATCTAAATCCATTCCTTCATCTGATTCTAGAGCAGATAATAATATTGACATTAATTATACTAATAATTGGTATAGCACAGAATAACATAGCAACAAGTTCTTCTTCCGTTTTTACGTCTTTATATATATGTATTCATTATCTTACCGAGTTTGGCTGGGAATGACCATTCCTGGGGAACAGTTGGACCACAATTTGTGTCGACAATGATTGGTCCCATTACCTTTTGTTGCAATGCCTTCCAGTTTTCTTCTCTTTCCTTTTGTCTCTTGCGCTCCCTAATAAAAAGAAATCAAAATAAAACAGGCGTTAATTAGAACAGACAATATGTTAAATATAATATCAAGCTTACAACTGGCGCTGCTGTTTGTAATGGTTAGCACACTCATCAAACAAGACCGGGTTGATATCCATGCATAGTTTCAGTGCAGTATAAACCAAACCAAGGATTGTCCTTTTATATATTAAATAAAAAGGTTATTATAATTGTACGTGACTGTACTATTTATTATTATTATTATTATTATTATCCTTCAACTTACTTATTCCAGTGAGATTTTGATGTCTTGTAAAGAGCGGGGAAGACAATTGGCATAATCACATTGATATTCTCGGCCATTAGGCTGATCACATAATCGTTATTCCAGTAATACAGAGCACGTTCAGCCACCTATAGTAATAATAATAATAACAAAACAAAACAAAGAGAAAACCCAGAGTCCGAAAAGCCAAAACCAGATAAAAGAATGAGATAAATAGTCCCCCTCTTTTGATTACTACTACTACTACTCTTCATTTATTATTATATATATATACATATATACTTTTATACAGAAAAGAAGAAATAGTTTGAAGTCTCCTTAAAATAAAACTTACCTGGAAATGGGAACTGGAGACACACTGACCCAGTTTTGTGAATAGGGGTACCGAAATGCGTTGGAATTCATAGGCGTCAATAACATCCAATATCTCCTCAATCTCATTAAGGAACATAACCTCCTTGGGACTGTTGACCTTTGGCCAGTAACGGAACAAGCCAGTAATGACCTTTTCAAAAAAAAACATCGACAATTAAACATTTAGCCCGGCTGATATAATCTTTTTTTTTTACCTCTTGAGTCAATGCAGGATCTTTTTCCAAAAACTGAACAACACAATATGCAAGTTGAGGATGGTAGAGTACCAAGGATTTAACCTTATGGAGGGGGATGAGCGCTTTTGTGAGGAACATCTTGTGCTCTTCCTTTAGTGGTAACGCAAATCCGTTGATAATACTACCCAGGATTTCCAATAGCTCAGCAATACCGTTGTGGCGCTCGGTTTCATAAATGAACTGGAAAAAGATGTTGTTTATCGACCGACGAATAAAAGCTCGGAGGTTGAGGAATTTGCCGTAGATTCGATGTAAGGTTGTCTTTAAGAAATCACGTTCACGAGGATCTTCACTATCAAACAACTCCAAAAGCTATAATAGAAAATACGTATATATATATATATTCATTAATTAATTAATTTAATGATTTGATTTGATTTGATTTGATTTAATCTAATAAAGAAATATATAATTATAGATATAGATATTATAAAAAAAACACTTACTTGGTGAATGAATTTGTGATCAATGTGCTTCTTTGCGTAATTGATATTAAATTCAGGAGACTCTAGGAACCTCAAGAAGAACTCGTACACGATCTGAAGATGTGGCCAGGCAAGTTCCAATACAGGTTCATCTTCTTCGGGATCAAAAGCATCTCCGACTGGATTGACTTGGGGAGGGATGGGACGGAAGAGATTAATGACAAACTAATGAAATAAATAGATAGATAATAAGCAAAGATGTTTACAAACCATCACCCAAACCCCACCAAACACACACACACATTCAATAGTTAACACAGGTATGTGTGTATACACAGTATCTCTTTCTTTCTTTCTTTCTTTCTTTTTTGAAACAACATTCGATCAAACTATCGTTATAAAGTCCTTATAGTCTCTCTCTCTCTTGTTGTTATTTTAGAAAGAAAGATATTGATTGTGTGTGTGTGTATCCATATAAAGTTTCCTCTTTTCTTTCCCTTTTTTCTCTCTGATTTATTACCATGGTTACGATCTCTGGGTAGACTGCCTCATTCAATACACCTCGTGTCATGTTGATGTGCTCAAGAATTTCTTGGAGCGTGTGGCGCTTAATTTCCTTTTCCCGAAGCTCAGCCGACGCATCGCTGAAATCAAACACTACTTGACACTGGCGTAGTTTTTGGATAAAGAGTTCCTGACGCATATGAGGAGGAACCTCTATAATAATGATAAGTATTAAGACGATTAAAAGCTTGTAAATATATATATATTTGGTGGGGGAGGGGTTTTCTTACCGTGAAATCCGGGAGTTCTTTCTAATTGGACTTTTTCAGTGACATAGAAGCGAGAGGATTTCTGACGTCTGGGAGCCTTGCTGATAGGGATCTGATCTTTGGGAGCGTTCTTAAGTCTATTGAGAGGACTAGTCTTGGGAATGTCACGCTCAGCGCCTGTCTTTTGGTGAGGGTTGTGCATGAATGAAACAGCGTGGGGGCTGTTGCGGGGGATCTTCTGCTGAGTTTATAACACAAATCCAAAGAGGTAAATAAGGTAAATACGGTAGGATAGGTTATTTAAGTATTTTGTGTGAGCAAAGAAAGAAAGAAGTAAAGAAGAGAAGAGAAGAAAAGAAAAAGAATGCGGTTAATACGAATAAGTAACAGAGTATATATATATATATATACATCTACGCATATTTTCCTAGGTGATTTGATCCAACTAATTTATCTATCTATATTTCTCTCTTTCTCTCTTTCTCTCTCTCTTTCTCTATTTGACTCGATTTTGATATGATATGATATGATTTGATATGATATGATATGATTTGATTTTTTTAAATAAAATAAAATAAAATAAAATATTGATGATAATTTTGATTTCATTTTTTTTTTATTACCGTATCAGCGTTTTCTTCTGCATTGACGACTATGATGGAGGGAGCTGGACTGGAGGCCAGTGTAGGAGCTGCGCTGCTACTGGTAACTGAGGGTTGGGTGGTATCGATGGGGGAGGGGATGGCGACTGGAGATGGTATGGGAATGGTTTGCTGTGGCTCCGGTTGGACGTGACCGTTTACTGGCCCGGCAGGTTTATCGTTTGAAGGTGTTTTTGTCCTCGAGAGCTATTATTTGGTAAAGAATGAATGAAGATACAATAATTCAAAGTGAAGGATAAATAATAATAATAATAATAATAATGTCAAGCTGTATATTGATATTGCTATTATAACAGTGTTAGTATTGGTATTGGTGTGTAAATATAATAAAAAGGATACGACTCCTTTCCAGCCTTTCATCATTGGAATCTAAAGAGTATATATAAAAAAAATAAAGAGAGTGAGAGAGTAGGAACTACAGGATGAACGAGGTAATAAATAGACATATTAGTATTTTTTCAAAAACAAAAAAAAAACAAAAAGTTAGTGCAAGTTTGAGATGAAGTCTTTTTTGTATTCAAAAAGTTCTCTTACACAAAGAAGAAGAAGGAGGAGAAAGAAAGATGGTGTGATGAAATGAGGATTGGACTGAATGAAGTTTAAAAAAAAATAATAAGAAAAAAGAATAAGAATAAGAATAGCTTGTTATTTCGGACTTTCTTTTTTTTTTTGGCTTCTCTTGGTCGTCTAATCAAAGAAAAGGAAACAAAGAAAAGGTACAAAGAAAATGAAGAAGATATCTATGTATTTTATGTATCTATGTATTATAAAGATCAAGATAAAGAAGAGAATATGGTAGGAAAACTAACAAGAGTGTGCTTAGAGAAGGATAGGATACGGTAAGCCGAGAAGGAAAGACTAAGAGAGAGAGAGAGAAGAGAGAGAAGAGAGAGAGAAATAAAGATATATAAAAGTAAGACCGACAATTAAGGGGGGGAATGAAGCCAGTCTGTGTTTTTTTTTTTCATTTCGTTGTTCTACAGTACAAAATTTATTTAAATACGTTTTTTTTATATATAAAAATTACAAGAACATAGCATGGCATAGCATATTTTATATATAATTTATGTTATTTTATTTTGGCGGGCAAACTGGCGGAATAGACTTTGGTGCAGGCGTGTGCAGTACAGTACAGTTGAGTAGAGTTGCGACATTTGAGCAAAAAGTGCTATTTCCACTGTAGGCATTAAGCCAAATACAGACAGAGAATATTTCACCACACTTTTTTTCCGAGTTTCTGTGTCCATATAAGGCCATACACTACTTGTCCTAATATAATGCATAGCTAGGTGACCAAGTTCATATTCGTATTTAACTTTGATTTTATTCAATACATCTTCCCTATAACCATATCGTTAGTCTAACAAATAAAAACAACTATCAATGATTGGGTAAAATTAAAGTGGAAAGTTCAAGTATTTTTTATTCCACTTTTCTTTTAGGAAATGTGAAACAGACAATTCTTTTTTAGGCAATCAATTTGCATTTTTTTTAAAGAAATAGATTGATTACTCTAGGCTCATAAAAATAATGATGATGATGATGAGTCGAATTGAAATTACATATGAATTATTTTTCACACCAGCTTAGAAGCTATTTCGTTAAATAAAGACTGCAGTAAAAGAAAAGATGATGATAAATTGCATGTGCTGTAGCATAGGTATTGTAATGATATGTCATGATACTGAATATCATGGTGTTGGTATAGACTCAATGAAAAGTTGGGTGATGAGAGGGGGGGTTAATATTCTACTAATATAATGTCGAAAGTTAAAGTCCAAAGAAATCAACTTTTACACAATTCTCAACACAAAACTATAAGCAAATATAGAAACCAATACATATTACGCACATTATTGATACCTTTTACTATCATCACCTTTATCAATGTCATCGTTAATACTTTCTTTTTTTTTAGAGCAAAAAATAAATAAACAGTATAACCAATATTGTAGTCTTTGGAGCAACTAAAATGACATCCATACTTATACATGATTTGAATATATTTCAAGGCCATTAAAAATCCAGCAAATAGATTATTAGATCCATTTCAACAAAGCAAGAAAAAAAATTCTCTCGCTCACTCTCTTTTGAATTCAATCAAGATCATCACCATCATGTCCACAATGCAAACAAATAACTCTCATGAACCTCTTAGCAGACTATCAGACTGGGACAAAGGCCAAATTATCGGACTTCATCTTGCAGGACTGGTTGGGGCTGACATTTCAGCTAGAGTTAACATTCCAACAAGAACTGTTAATCGTTTGCTGGCGATGTATGAAACAACAGGATCAGTTGATCAAAATAGCTCTCCCGGAAGATCTAAGAGGGTCACCCCCAGATAAGAACGCTATCTTCAGTCAAATGTCAGAAAGGGTCGGAAACAAACTTTGGCAGATAAGTCTCGTAGTCGTAATGCCGAGAAAGGCGTATATACCAGTAAGCAGACGGTCGGCAGAGTTTTGCACAACATAGACATACACTACTGTCCCGTCAGGCAAAAGCCTTTGCTTAACAAAAATCATATCGAGAAACGACGACAATGGTTTGGCCATGTAAAAGACTGGACTGCAGAACGTTGGAAATCGGTTATCTGGAGCGACGAGGCAAGCTTTGGGATTTACAAGGAAGGTGACGGCTGCCATTTCTGGGTCTAAGACTCCGAACCAATTAATCCAGAGTGGTTTGAACCAAGAGATCAAGAAGGCGGAGGATCATTCATGGTCTGGGGGTGCATTTGGTCCGGAGGGAAAGGGCCACTTATTTTCCTAGATGGTAGCATGAATGGTCCCCAGTATATCGAGACTCTCGAGAAGCACCTTATGCCCTTTTTGAACAGTCTCCCTGCCGCAGAAAATAGTCACTATATCCTTCAAGAGGACAACAACCCAGCCCACAAGTCAAAGGTGGTAAACGCATACAAGGAGCGTGTTGGGTTGCATGTTATGGAATGGCCTCCAAATAGTCCCGACTTGAACCCTATTAAGAACATTTGGGCCCACATAAAGGATCGTGTATACACCCACAAATATCAGCTTAAAGATCTAGATGAGCTAAAGGGGTTGGTTCAGAAAGAATGGGATGCAATTGACACAAACATTTGCCAGACCTACTGCTCGAACATGGAGGACCGTCTAGCTGCTTTAAAAAGCAGGGACTTTAAGCATATTCCTTATTAAAAGATATTGTATATTCTTGTTATCATAAACACTGTCCATTTTACTAAAGTATTTTGTAAGAATTAGAACTCTATAAGGCTTGCATGTGTTTTATTGAGCGTTTAAAGATAAAGAAGTATATCACTATGGAAGCGGGGTTTACAAATGCTTCGAGATACATCCAAACTCTATATTGTAAACCAAAACTTAAAGCTTATCACAAATATACACATTCCAATTTTAGAAGATAGAAAGAAAGAGATCTGGAAAGTGTGTGTGAGCGTGCGTGAGAGAGAGAGATTGTGCGTGTGTGATATTTGTCTTGTAACTCGCGTTAAATAGGAGAAAGAAAATATATATACACATATATATATAAGAATAACATATTTCTCATACTTGTCTTTGTCTTTGTCCTTGTCCTTGTCCTTGTGTTTTGTATTCGTTAAAGAATGATATCCAGGCTTCTCAAACCTGTGAGCTTAAAAATTGATATCAAATATATAAATACATTATGAACTATATATTTTATATATAAAAATCTTATGTATTGCATTGAATTTGTTTAGTTGGCTGTAGTTGGAGGAGTAGCACTCGACATCACTGGCACAATTCAAGCTAGTGGTTCTCGTTCTCGTTCCGTTCTCCACACCTCCACACCCGGCAAGGTTAAGCAGAGCCTGGGTGGTGTGGGACGTAATGTGTGCGAGGCTTCAATGAGAACGGGTGTTCCTAGTTTTATGGTATCAATGACAGGCCAAGATTTAGCAGGAGCTACCATTAGAGAAGGGATGCATCTTCTTGGGATGGTGAGATTTCGTTTCATCCTTCCTCTTCCTATTTATTTTTGCTTTTTTTTATAAAAATAAAACAAAAGAAGCTTATTTATTGAATTATTGATTTTGCTAATCTTCATCATCTTCATCTTTAAGGACACACAATATATTAGTACTTCTTCAACGAGTTCAACTGCTGTAGGTATCAAGATATAGACTATATAGATGAACAGATTGTTTTGATCAATCTCTATATTTCTACTATTTTTATTATTATTATTTGTAGGTCTACAATGCATTACATACTGGGGATGGCCAACTAGTTGCTGCTGTGGCAGACATGGATATCTTTGACAGTCTCGAATCATCTACTGCAAGTAAACCATTTTTCTTTAAAGAAATATATATATAAAGAAGAAGAAGAAAATAGTGGCTAAAAATTAAATAAATTAATAATATATGTATGTATGTATGTATGTATCTAAGTATATTATATATATTAACTGTAAAAGAAAAAAAAAATACACCTCATTTTTTGTCATTTTATTAGGTCAGGGCCAGTTTGGAAGAGATCCAGCCAGGACTGGTTTGTATGGATGGCAATATTAGCTCAGATCTTATGCGTACCATCGCCCTTTACTGCAAGCAATCAAGTACACCTGGTAAGAGAAAGAATAAAATGAGGGGAGTTTTGCCCTTTAACAAATAAATCGATATATGAAAAATATTGACACATATTTTAGTATTCTTTGAACCAACATCTGTACCTAAATCACTCAAGGTATTTGAGCACGAGGATGTTCTCTCTTCTGGAGTAGTCAACTATGTATCTCCAAATCAATATGAATTGGAGGCCATGGTGGAAACAGCACGCAGACAACGTCCTGCGGTTAATCACAGTAAGATCAACATCGGAAATATAGTGACAGCGACAATGACGACCCCTGATATCGTGGAGAAGGTGCTACCGATGGCACACTATCTGTCGCAATTTGTACCGAACATCGTCACGAAGCTGGGCGAATACGGCTGTCTTTTGGTCAGCAATAATAAATCACATGTCCACACTCAATACTTTCCACCAGAGATCATTGACCCCACTGCGATCAAGAGTGTGACAGGAGCAGGAGATTGGTAATATAATAGTCAAAACTCCGTTGAAGAACAACCCAAAAAGACAGAAAAGCGGTTCTTCGATATAACTGCTATACTCTATTCTATTCTTTTCTACCATAATATAATCATATTATTTGATATTGGTATTGGTAGGGGTAATTTTATAGATATATGTATAGTAGCTAACCATAGCCTTTGCTTTCTGTAGTTTTGTCGGCACTTTACTTGCCAACCTATTGATATTGGACAAACCAAGTCCTACTAGATGGGCAGAAATGATACAACAGTCACAAAAGTCATCTATACTAACTCTTCAGTCGGATTTGGCTGTGAGTGTAGCAATCAGTCAAGAACTGTTGGTAAAGACTACTCTATCTTGATCAGCTTGTAAGAAAGAAATGCTTTTATAAAAATTTCATATTTATGTATTAATAAAAAAACATCCTCTCCAATTTAATTGAGCACAGGATATCTTTCTATTGGTTCTTGTGTTTGCGTTTACTTTTGCATCTGTAATTGCGGTTGTGCGTGTATTACAGGATCTAAACCCAAACACTAAAGATTCAAATTAGGATCTCCCTCGTACAAATACAAAGCGTTCTCTGGACATTGTTGCTGACAGTGGATGGCTTTAGTGTATCTTTTAAAAGGCGTCTTCTATAAATATTTTAGAGGGGCTTTATTAGCTACTTTTTCCTTTTGGCTATTACTTCAACACATACCGTCTTCATAATGTTAGCAATACCTGACTCCAACCTTTCGTGTAGTTTGGGTAGAGTGTTATTTATGGGTTCAATATGTTTCAGCTCGGCCCACTCGCTCACTTAACTTCTTTATGAGGAGTTCCCTTCATTGGACAAATCAATTATATTATTTTCCGTAAGACTATAAAGAAGATAAGATTAGCAACACAAGACGCAAAATGTAGTCAGACATGCAAAATAACAAATATTAATAAAAACATTTGTGAGATTTGGCGGTCCTTAATGCTGCGGGTCTTTTGCTAGTGCAAACGATTGTCAATTCAATATTTGCTCAACAACAAAGCTAAACAGAGTGCAATGCATATATTTGACTCTAGGGAATGGCCAATCGCGTAGTCCATCTTCCTCTTCAAAGTTTGATCAGCAACAACTTCTCTGACCGTATTGGCCCAATAGAGATCTAAATGAGTACTTCCTTTCAACATCTAAATATAATGATGTCTAGCTTAAAGATATATCTATTTTTGCCTTGAGTAAAAAGTCTAGTTACTTTGAAATTATTTCTGAGAAATTCCTCATGCAAATAGGCCTTTGTTGTGGTTGTTGAAGTTATGAACGAAGTTGGTTTGAAGAAAGATTTGAGATGAGGAACGAACATTCATGAGAACTTGTGTAGGGTTTGTTTATTAAAGAAAATTGGTTGTATCAAAATTTGACAAGGTTCCTATACGGGTGTTGTGTGTTTTCCAGCTTCGCCCATCCTGATTTATTTCCTTCTTCTCCGACCATTTCCCCTTCCATTTTTTCTTGTCATCATTTACATACTGTAATTATATAATTTTTAATTATATATATATATATATATTTGTATATTAATTATTAAATTGATTAATGGTGTTCCTGATTTCATACTCCTCGGTTAGACTCAGATAGTTTTTCTTTATTGTATAAATATATACATTTTTACACCAAGGCAGGAAAGAAGCATAAGAAAATGTTGATTATCTTTATATATATAAAGGTAAATCATAATGATTACAATAATAATTATGAGGTTGAGCGTAATTATGTAGTAAATGAATGTTAACTGAAACCCTCAGAAAGCAATAGTTGCGAACATTCTCTTTGACTTTTATCCGAGTAACAAAGCTTGTTTCTTTCTTCTTCTTCTTCTTTGTCTAAAAGTGAGGGAGAAAAGGGTGCAAAATTGTATATACATTTTATATAATATAAAAACAAGAAACGCATAATTGCCAAAATAAAATAAATATACAAGGGAAACCTTTAGCCGAAGCAAAAATAAGTTGCATGCCTGTGACTAGTTTTTTTTTCAGCCCAGGGTGGCCGACCCCTCCCCTCCCTCCTCTCCCTCCCTCCGCTCCTGCAAATAAAAATGGGCGCGAAATAGGAATTCTATGATTTTTTTTTGTTACCTTTCCTTCTTCAAGAAAAAAAGAAAAATGTTCGCTGCTTCCCGTGTCTTCTCCACCGCCGCCAAGCGTTCCTTCTCCACCTCCGCTGCCAACCTCTCCAAGGTTGCTGTTGTCGGTGCTGCTGGTGGTATCGGTCAGCCTTTGTCTCTCTTGTTGAAGGAGAACCCCCATGTCACCCACCTCTCCCTCTACGATATCGTCAACACTCCCGGTGTTGCCGCTGACTTGAGCCACATCAACACCAACTCCAAGGTAAGGATACAATACAATTGAAAACTAGTTAGATATACTGTATATATATATATATAAATGGTTGGGGCGTTGTGTATGAATGCGCGTGTATGCGTGTTGGTAGAGTAAATTCAACGAGTCTGGTTGACGCGATTTTATGGATATGAATATATTTATTTACTTTTATTTTTACAATAAAATAAAAAGGTTACTGGCCACACCGCCGAGAACAACGGTATCGAGGCTGCCCTTAAGGATGCTCACCTTGTTGTCATCCCCGCTGGTGTCCCCCGCAAGCCTGGTATGACCCGTGATGACTTGTTCAACACCAACGCCTCCATTGTCCGTGACATTGCTACCGCTGCTGCCAAGCACTGCCCCAACGCTCACTTCTTGATCATCTCCAACCCCGTCAACTCCACTGTCCCCATCTTCGCCGAGACCATGAAGAAGGCTGGTGTCTTCAACCCCAAGCGTCTCTACGGTGTCACCACCCTCGATGTCGTTCGTGCCTCCCGCTTCGTCTCCGAGGTTAAGAGCCTTGACCCCAAGGATGTCAATGTTACCGTCATCGGTGGCCACTCTGGCGTCACCATTGTCCCTCTCCTCTCCCAGACCGGTCTCGAGTTCACCAAGGAGGAGCTCGATGCCCTCACCCACCGCATCCAGTTCGGTGGTGACGAAGTCGTCCAGGCCAAGAACGGAACCGGAAGTGCCACTCTTTCCATGGCCTTCGCTGGTGCCCGTTTCGCCAACTCTGTCCTCGAGGCCACTGTCGGTGGTAAGAAGAACGTTGTCGAGCCTTCCTTCGTCCAGTCCGACATCTTCGCTGCCGAGGGTGTTGAGTACTTCTCTACCAACGTCACTCTTGGTCCCGAGGGTGTTGAGAAGATCCACGCCGTTGGTCAGGTCACTGACTACGAGAAGGAGTTGATCAGCAAGGCCGTCCCCGAGTTGAAGAAGAACATTGCCAAGGGTAACGCCTTTGCCCAGTAAAGCAGCTTCCCTCTACCCCCACTTTTTTTTATTAGTCACCAAAAAAAACAAAACAAGAATCAAAGATGTAAAAAATTAAGGTGACTTTTGTGTAAAATAATAAACAAAAAAACAAAAAACAAAATATGTATGTGTTGTTTATTGGTGTTTTGGGCATGTTGATATATGAATGTATGTATATTGGTAATTATTATTGGTACTTGCACTTGCACTTGCACTTGCACTTGCACAAGTGTTGATAAGAAGTATAGGAGGAGGAGGGGCTGGTATTGATAGTATATAATGTAATATAATTAAAAGTATTATTATAATTAAAGTTAATTGTAGCTTATATATATATATAATATGGGTGTGTGTTATCTGATTAGATTCAGTGGAAGTTTTCTAGATAAATCAGATTAGATCTTTTTCTTTTTTTCTAAAAAATAAAATAAAAAAATAATCATTTCATCGGTGCCTTGACTTCCAGGGCATGTCCTCTCCTCCGTGCCCAAGCAGTGCAGGCCATATTTTGTTGATCACATAAAGTCAAAAGTACTTTGCGCTGAACAAGCTTGGCTACTGCCTCCCAATCATCAACCTGGTGACATTCCTTCATTTCAAAAACTGACAGAGACGGGCAGTATTGTACATATGCGTGCAGTGTCGCATTAGTCAATCGAGGACAGTTATTTACCGACACTCGCTCAAGTAAAGAGCCTCTGAGCTGGGCAAGTAACAACATGCAGTCGTCGTCAATATCACATCCAGCCAAGCCAAGTACTACAGCCCGAGTGTGCCGTGCTATCAAACTGATCGACTTGTGTGTGATTCGATGACGCTCTCGAATCCGCCCTACATTCAAATGTCGAAGGCCAGGACAAGAAAGTGCAATGGCAGACACGGAGACATCTGAAATCAGGCCACATGCTCGCATGTCGAGATGTTCCAGAAGAGGACAGGTCTCTGCTACCTTGAGAATAGCCTCGTCTGTAATCCGGTAACACCCCGCAAGAGACAAATATGTGAGTCGTCTGTGACAGAGAAATGCAGAGAGAGCGGTGTTTGTGAAATAATCACAAATGTAGACATCCAGATGGCTGAGTTGGGTTGCATGACGGGCAATTTTTTCAAGTGGTACATCAATTGTCTTGTATTTGATCTTGCGCAGGGACAGACTTTGAAGAGTGGTCCGATACATTGGTACATGAGAGATGGGGGATAAGTCGTTCAAGACATGGTCATCAATATGGATGACATGGCTGGTATTGATTATTTGGTTGATTTGGGCTGTTTCCCTTGGTCTGTCTTTTGTTTTGTCATGCGTAGTAGGATCGGAAGAATCGAATATGTCCTGTTCTGTGTATTCGTTGCTAAACACAGACGCAAATTTTTGCAGGGCCATAACTTCCTCTTTGGTATCGTCAAACTCAACCTTGCGCCAAACAGCGCGCATTGTACAGTCGTGCCATAGTCGGTTGACAGACATACTGGCTAGTCTTCCAGCGTATTTTGAAGTAGTTTCCGACTGGTGGTCGTCAAGAAAGGATATGACATGTGATACGATTTCTGGCAGGCAAAGAGCTAGATGAGTTGGAATGGACTGCATAGATCAAATGTGCTAAGAGAAGGAGGAATAAACGAATAGAATGAAAGAGAGAGAGAGAGAGAGAAAACTGTGCTTCATCACGAATTAGAAAGAAGAAGGAAAAAATAATAATAATTATAAAAATAATATAAAAAGATAAAGGTGGGGGAAGATCGAGATGTACACATTCTTGCGTTTTCCATTTTCAATGTGCTCACTACTAATGCTAATGCTAATGCTAATGCTGATGATAATAATAATAGTAATATATTCCTTGAGTAGCTTTTGGCTTTTATTCTCTCTTTCTCTTATATATACATATATCATATATACATATATGCATATATATAAATTTATTCATTTCATTTATCTTCTTTTATGCACCCCAAAACTTGCAACTTCCCTCCAATTCAACAAGAAACACACATATGTACAAGCAATAATCACCCCCTTTTTAATATTTGACTTTTCTTGGATATATACACACATACACAGCCGTACAGTCCTATAGACATACAAACGTAAAGCTGTACAAGTATACAAGTATCCGAGCATATCAGCTCACATACACACAAAGTCAATTGCTGTTCTTGGTTTTATTTTCTCTTTAATTGTTTTTCTTAGCTTGATCTTATACACACAATATACTGGAGCACGCTATTTTACATATATATATATTATATTTAAAAGAAAGAAAGAAAAAGATTTCTTGTGAGTCAAACAAATTGAATTTTCATTCCAACTGCCAACGAGATGGTCCACTTTACTCGTTACATTTACTATTTACTATTTATAAGAATATTAAATGTATATAGTATCTACAGGCTTCTTTTTTATTTGATTCTATATACACCATTTGCGTGTTTATTCTAAATAAGATCTTATTGACTAATTACTTTACAGTTCAATTTGAGTAAGGTCCTCAATCACAACACTAAAAGCCAAAAGCCAAATAAATAAATAAATAAGTATTACAAAATGCTATTCTTGGTTTTTCTTTAAATCTCAAATATCAAATCTCAGGAACCGTAATAAGTCAATTCCATTCATCAGAACACCTGTCATTCATTCCCTACCCCGCAGTCGATAAAGGAGACTTAATGTCAAAAGAATCCGGAAATTATCCTTATAATATTTGTGCACGTTTGAATAGAATGAACAATAAAATTAAGTAAAACAAGGTTTGAATCCCTTAAATTGCTTGTGAACTACCCACTACGGGAACTAAACAGATAGATAAATAAATAAGAGGTGGCCCCGGGGAGAGAGAAGGGGTTTCTTGGGGTGGGAGGTTCTTACCGGGGGGTCTCTCAAGGGGAGATTCTTTTCTATCACTGTAGTAAATGGCAGAAATTACAACTCCGCGTCCGTAGGAATTATACGGTCCCGTATATCACTGTGGTAAATGGCAGCATTTATAACTCCGTACTCGTAGATTCTTTAGCAAATATGATTTGTGGGATTTCAGATTGTTTTTGCATCTAATCCAATCAATTGCTCTAAATATGGTAAATTTATACCTTTTTAGGTACTTTAAATTTTCTTATAATTGGTCCAACAAACTTAATGTTTTATAGCAAAATATTTTTATTTTTGACTTTATTAATAGTAAAAGTAATAAAATAAGGCTCTTCTTTAGCCTTCTCATATCTATAGCATTGCCTCTAACAAAGGGTACTAAAAAATAGTAGACGAATGATAGAATAAGTATGTAAAGAAGAAGACTATGATAATTTTAAATTAAATAATAAGTATAGTAAAAGTTTAACTTAAATTGTAAGATCAAGGTCTCTATAAACTACTAGATATCGCTTTGGCCAGAAATAAAAAAGGGAGTTTCGTTTAACATTACAAGAGCTATAGCTATATATCATTCTATCTATAAAATATGTGTATGTGTGCTTATCTTGTAAGGCTTTGATAAAAGGTTTTGTGTTATAGGGTCTTGTCATAGATCTCTTGCTTAATATTGTTATCGCCTAAAAGCTATAGGTTATTGGTTAGTACTTTGTAAAGCCTCAAAGACTTGTCAACAATAGTAATAGTGAGAAGAAATAGAAAGAAAATGACTTTACGAAATAAAAAACGTTCGCATTAAAAAAAAATATCAGTAGGCATGACTGTTTCTGGTATAAGCTCAGATCCAAGGTACGAAGTTCATAGGGCTTGTTTGACCCTCTAGTTGATTTTTCTTTAATCAAGCAAGTAGTTCTCTCTATTCGGAAATCAAGATGGTTTCCTGGGTTGATGACGAGACTTTCATCTTCAAAATATTTCTCTAGAGCCAAAATAGGATAGAGATATTCTAAACTTGGGAAGTGCTAGATGGTGTTCAAAAATCTGCCATTTCTTTCCAAAATAAGGCAGCTTGTTTCAAATACTCGTAGATTTTTTTCTACAGTGTCTGCCATTTACTACAGTGAGATCAAAATTTCATACCGCACAATATACAAAAGATCTCATATCCCCCCGCAACATTACAAAACCGATAAAAAATATTGATATGATGATTCTTTTTTAATCTATTAGTCTCAAAATTAACTCTTCTTTATCACAATCTCAAGTAGAAACACTGTATTATTGACTCCTCCCTCTCTTTTTCATATGGGGTCCCTAACATTAGGGTATTAAAGGAGTACCTTGTATGTGTATATACATGCATTGTTTAAGGTTTAGACATAAAGAACAATGACTTTATATATATAAAAATAAATATAATGGTAGTAATACAGATAGAAAGGAAAAAGAAAAAAAAAGAAAGAAAACTTAATTTATTATAATCCATTTGTTTTGACCCCTTTAAATCAACCTAACTTATAGGCACACCATCTGTCACAATCTATACTTTGTGAATATATATGTATTCTTTAAATAATTTATAATATGCCAGGACGTCTAGTAGTTTTGGAGCATCCGGAATATATATTTGTTCCATAAATACAACCTGTCTGTTTTATCACATCCTCATGTTTCTCAAAGTAGTTAGTGACCACCCCAACAATTTCTTCGAATTGACCTCTATAGTTGTGATCAGCATCGGGAATCAGTGTAAGCGTGTGGTTCTGGATTTGATCTGAGAACATGATAGCATTGTAATGCGGTACAATCTTAAAGGATATATACATATCATTCGTGGATTTATGGATTCGTTTTTTTAATAATAAAAATAAACAATAAACAATAAGTATGCATTTTGTATACATCCCCTTTCCATCCCTTTTCGTCCCCTCCCCCAGTCTGTGGCTGCTTATTTATATACCTCGTCTTTTAATCCGTGACAAGTCAATACTGATGTTAATTTAGGGATTTGTGTCACTGTAGATAATATTCTCTGTAAGTCATGCAACAATAACAATACTAGCACTGGTACTAATAAAGTGTCGAAGAGTTTTTTTAAGGATATAATTCTCACCAAAAGAATTGTCCCAGTTGATGAACTTGTTCACTTCTTTCTCAGTAACCTTGATAGTTGTTATCTTGTCACGCTGTCTCACAGTCCAATTGAAATAACCCTTTTGTTTTATGTGTGTATAGAGTTTATTGTTATTATTATTGTTATTATTATTTTGGAATTATTGCTCTTCCTTAAAATATCCAATCTTTCATTTATTTGAATAAACTATGTAAGTCAATTACAAAGACCTGACAGATCCCAAGCTTACCTGACGCCTTAGCCCTTCTCCTATCTCGGGTCGGTTCCGGTGAATTTGATTATCGTTCATCTTGTAGCGCCCAGAAATATTGACACAATGAGGAAGAGGCTTAGTGCATTTGGCAGCATATTGAAGACATGCCAACGACCCTAAAAAGTTCAAAGAATAACAAGAATAAGAACAAGAAAACTAAGGTTGTATTCTTATCAGAGAATTATTCTAAAGTTTACACGCAATCATGTATATACACGCATGCATGTATGTATGTGTGTATGCATTACCGCGAGAATGGCCTATAGTGCCAAACAACTCATAACCCAGTTGTTCAAAATGTGATGCTACAGTTGCAATATCGTCTGCGTCTTCCTAAAGAGAGAAACCACTTATGTGAGTACACTACATATATCTCAAGTGATAAGGATATTAATAACTATTATTTTCTTTTTATTTATTTTATTATTTATTTTATTCATTAAAGCCATTATTGTTTTCCTTACTTACTTCAATATTGGCGTAACCGGCCACACCTTCACTTTCACCATTCCCCCGAAAGTCTAAGCGGAATGTAGTGTACGGTAACTTTTCTGACATTAACCTTTGAAATAAATAGTCCTTATGCCCTGATGAGCTTGTCAGAATGACATTGGTAAATAATCAATTTGGTCATAGAAAATAATATGTATATAAGCATACCAAGTACACCATGAGCAATAATGATCAATCGAGGTTTATGCCAGGTTGTATCATGTTGAGTTTTTCTGGTGAGAATCCCAGCAATGCCTTCTCCATGATTATTTTTGATGACGATCTTTTCAACTTCCATGATTCTTTTATAGCAATGGCAACAAAAATAAAGAAATGTGTTATATATCTTTTTCTTAAAAAATATATTATTCTTATTATTATTGTTACAAGTAAAAGTACCACCAAATATACAGAGTGTGCACGTCCACGCTTTAGAGGTAATCTTAAGCACAAGGATGAAGGGTGAGGAAGGGAAGGAGAGAAGGAAGGAAAGATATTAGGGAGGTTTGTGCAAACTTTGTAACAAAATTAAAAGGGAAATTGCTCACCTAAAATGGAATAGTTTACTTCACACCTTTTAAACTTTCGAAATCCCAATTTGGAATTTCCAAAACACTTTTAACCAATAATCTTTTTTTATTTTTAATTGCTAGGCTAACGATATATTCAAAGCAAGATGTAGAAATAAAATATAAGTTAAAAATGTGCTTTTAAAGATGTAAATAGTATATTAGCATGGCTTCTTTTATGTCATTTTTTTTTAAAAAAATTAATTATATGAATTATATATATTATGCACTCTATTACAGGTTCTGCAATTAATAATATAGTTTATGCCAATTGTTTGACCAAGCATTATCAAACTATCAACTCAATCATTAATACGAATCACTTTTAATTAGTTTAGCTATTGCATTTCCCGACCGTAATTTGCATCTCAATATGAAAATGAAACTTCAGAAAATTGGTAAGCCATTTCTGTGTATATTAGTAAATTGGAAAAACAAAATTGTACAAACCTCCCTTTTTATGCATATATTTGCACCAAAGAACCCCAGAAACAAACAAAGCGTTGCTAAACTCACTGCTAAACGCAATTTTAATTTAAGTGATAGTATGTACATATGTGTAGCTATATAGGTACGCACAGACAAAATCAGAAAAAAAGGCCAAGTAGCTGCTGTTAAAGAGTAAGAGAAATATGTTGACCGTAAAGGCATAATATTTTATAGAGGCTACCAAGATCTATATATATACTCTTTACGAAAGTTATTGGTATACTTCTATCTCTTTCTCTAAAGAATCTATTTTTTTGGTGCACTTAGGCATTCTATTTTTTGCCCTGACGATTTTCAGAAAGAGTTTATAGTTTAATATTAATGAAGAATATCAATTTACTAATTAACCTGATATTAGAAAGCCTTTTCCTTACACCGAATGTGATATACAGTCAAGTTCATATTCATCCTTATACCCATTCAATATTTAGCTTATTTTGTCTGAAAATTGATTTTAGGACCTACCTAAAAGAAAGTGTCTAAAATTTACATCACACAAATTATTGCGAATAGGCATTATTTAAACGCAAGGTCCGAAGATAAAGATTTGATAGTGAAGATCAATCTTCGGACCAAGGAAGAAGTTATCTATTACTTTAGTCTTACACTTGATAAAGTAAGTCATAAACTTGAAATCAACCGGTGCCTAGTGTAACTTTTAATAAATATATGTATGCTTTTAATTATTAAACGGCTTCTCAATCTAAATTATCGTAAACTTGATTCCAGATACAAGTATCGATTACATTAATATCTTCAGAAACTATCCTATTCAAGGATTGGAATATCCACGAAAAGTTTCCTCGATAAAAATCGCTTCTCCAATCATCCATTTTCACCAGTCCATTACTGTCACGGGAATCCACTGATGTATCTCCAACCTTTTTATTATGCTCATAATTATCGAAGAACTCGATAGACTCACCGAATTCGCGCTCATATAGCTGTCGCATATTCCATGTCTCAAATAGATCATCGTCCAGGCCTCCAAAAATATGATACCAATTCGACCACATTGTACTATTATCCGAAGCTGGTCCCCCTTCATCTGCCTTGCTGTCCTCGCAAAAAAGCCTTTTCTCCCGAATTTCCATTAGGTTAATTAAGTTTTTACTATCAAAGTTGGATTGGGAGACTTTGAAACGGATATCGTACAAACGTAAGAGGTGAATATTAGACCAAGACATGTCGAGCTCAACCTTTCCCGATTCTTCATCCATAGGACCAAATACAATCATGCCATCTAAATATATGTACTCTAGATATTTGCAGTTAAAGGACAGATAAGAAAATGCTGATACATTCAAACTTCCTTTTGATGCCTTGACCATTCTTAACCCGTGGTCCAAAGATTGGTTGTTTAAATGTCCAGAATTAATCATGATTCCATTAAAAACATCGAGTCTCTTCAGAGCTGGGAACCGATCTAAAATGACGTTAACTGAGACAGCAGAGCCACAAATATGAATGTTCAAATCAACAAGATGCGGGCACCCGACAATCGTTGTTGTCATCTCCTGGATTTCGAAACCTCTTTCATCTCTTTGAAGAGTGAGCGTTTCGATTGTGGACGAGAATGATTGTGTCGAGCTCTGAACAATACTTTGTAGTAGTTCGATATTGATGATAGGAGGAGAGAATATGTGCGTTAGACCCTTGATAGGGATGTTAAACTGAGAAAGGATATTCCAATAAATTAGGTGTTGTTGTTCTGTACTCCCGGTAGTGCGGATACTGATATGGCTGAGGTGTTGAAACACATTTGGAAGGGATTTCAGGATAGAAATAGTTTCTTCTTGATGTAGATCTAATGTCTCAACTTGATCTATGCTTATCCACGCCAGTTTCTCCAGATTAGGATACTTGCGCGCAAAATAACAAATCCATCGAGAATCAAAAAGTGTTCCGTAAAATGTTATCATCTTGACTTTAGACTGTTGGTTTAATGTGGGGATTCGAGCCACATCAGTCGGAGAGAGCGGAAGGCAGGTGGCACTTAGGATAAGGGTATTCAGTTCATGTACACAGGAATTGAGTTCCGCAAATTCATCCAACGTAAAAGATATTGATTCGCAGTTCCTTATGCAAACTGATTCCAGGTGATCGAGATGTGGCAAGCTTTTCAGAATCTTAAGAAGTTCTGTTTTGACATCTGGATTTGTTACTTGTGATAAATTAATGTTTAACTTCGTCAAGGTTCCCCAGAGGTTCCAATTTGATATATTCCCGATACGGATGCCACCAAGGCAACCTTCGTCAATGAAAAGGCGCTGCAAATTCGGGAAACGTTGTTGTAGTGTAAGAAGGTCCTTTTCATCAGAGAAATTAGCTGTAGATATATTTAGTTCTCGGACATAAGCTCTACGATATCCATAAATTCTTTCTGCTCCTGGAGACATTCCGCATGCGGTATCCAACTTTTCTTGGGTAGTTATATTGACGATCCCCCACAATACTTCTTCAAAAGGGGCTCTCCATGCTTTACATGTAACAGAGCCAGCCAATTTGTCGCCGGAAACCACTAAGTTAGCGATACGCGATAAAATCTCAAACGGCAGTTCTGAAGCAAGCATTTGAAAAGAAAGAAAGGAATGAAATGAGCAAACTAAAACATACGCGCATATATTTAGGGAAAGATTTTTTAAGGGTGTTCAAATGACAAAAGAAAAATACAAGAGTCTATAAAAAGATTTTGTTACACCGTGGTTGTGTAAAGAAGTTAGTGTGGTATTGAGATGTAATGAAATGGAAAATAGAAAAACATGTTTATCACAATATATTTGACCAGGCCTTTGTGCTCCTGGGGCTTAACATCCTTTGTAATATCAAGAGTATTGATGAATAACTTTTATACACCATTTTAACTAATGTTTCGCACATATATATATATATATTATGCGAAACATCAGTGAATTTTTTTTATTGGTAATATATTTATCACCATTTTTTTCTCAAAGTCTATACTTATAAATAAAATGAAATATCAAATTATCGGTTGAATTGGATAACCAGTCATTACTAGCTCACATAAAAAAACAGTTTTACCTTTCAAGAATAGTCTGAAATGTTTTTTGTTTTGTCTCCATTTACCTGGTAAAATTATCTTATATGTTACATTTTAAAAATATTGAATGCCTTTGTAGTGTTGTTGGTTGTTTACGTGAAAAATAAGTTTGTCCTATGCTTACTTTTACAGTAAACATGTTCTTCTTCTTCTTATTGATTAACTTTTACTCTAAATAAGGTAATTGTTGTGTAGTATCTTTCAGGACAAGAAGCTTAAGGCTAGCAGAATATATATATATATATATATATATATATATCGGAGATCAAAATATAATATCCCATTAAGGAACTGCTCAGAGAAAGAAAGAGAGAAAAGAAAGAAAGGTAACAGTAGTATAAGGTAAGTTCATAATTAGTTTACGAATAGCAAATATTTTCTTAATCCAAGATAAAGGAACCAGAAAACATATCAAATAATTCGCCTTGAATTTAAAGTAATTGGGTCGTAGAAACAAACATTTGTTGTCTAAAGATCTGTCTCTCAATTTAAGGTTGCATATTAAGATATTTTTGGGTTAAGCGTCTTGACAATTCTTTTTAAAGAGTTGTAATTGAAACAAGAGATCCTTTAACTCAGCAATGCTGTTAGTATCATCTTCTTCCTTTAATCAAGTAAATTATATATAATAAATCCTTTTATTTTTACCATGCATTAGCAAAATAACAAACAAGACAAACAGAGAATTAGAGTGGCATTGACCAAGACTAGCAGTCACTACGACTCAATAAAATTTGAGGATGAATCTTTTTACTGAACTATTGGAGGGTGAAATTCATGTGACGTAGCAAAGAAAACATACGTCGACTGGCACCTTTAGAGCGGGACGTGGTTGCAAAGGAGATCAATCGACCCTCTTCCTTTCATTTTTTGTATATTTTGTGCATCCTGTCTTTTCGTTTTTTCTGACACTCAGAAATAAAACAGAAAAAAAAGACATAAAAAAAAGCCCAATCTATAAGCCATTGTGCTTTAATTTCATAAAAATCATGGATAACTCTCAATCCGGAATTCATGTTCCCGTTGGTAGTACACCATCCATGTACAATCCAAATCAGCAGCAATACTATAACCAATACGCGTATGAAACGAATAATCAGGAACAATCTGCAAAAAGTTATGAAGATAGACTCAACGAAAAAGCAAAGAAATGGCAACAATTACAAAACAAGCGTTATGGCGAGAAACGCAAGTTTGGTAAGTCCATTCAAAATCATCGATTGGAACAAAACTCATAGATTACGAATGTGTTTATTTATTTATTTATTTTTAAAAAAAAGGTTTCATCGAGCATGAGAAGGCAGATATGCCTCCTGAGCATCTGCGTAAAATCATCAAAGACCACGGTGACATGTCAGCAAAGAAATTTAGACATGACAAGCGTATCTATCTCGGTGCATTGAAGTATGTACCTCACGCCGTTCTTAAATTGCTCGAAAATATGCCCATGCCTTGGGAACAGGTTAGAGAAGTCTCTGTCCTGTATCACATTACTGGTGCAATTACATTTGTGAATGAAATCCCATGGGTCATTGAACCAGTCTACATTGCTCAATGGGGTACAATGTGGATCATGATGAGAAGAGAAAAGCGTGACAGACGGCACTTTAAGCGTATGCGATTCCCACCATTCGATGACGAAGAACCACCACTGGATTATGGTGACAATATCATGGACGTTGAGCCTCTTGAGGCAATTCAGATGGAAATGGATGACGAAGAAGATGCAGCTGTGTGTGATTGGTTTTACGATCCAAAGCCTTTATTGGATACGAAACATGTTAACGGCACTACATATCGCAAGTGGCGTCTTGATCTTCCAATTATGTCTACGCTCTACCGTCTCGCCCACCAATTGCTGTCAGACATGAACGACAAAAATTACTTTTATCTCTTTGATCTCAACTCATTCTTCACAGCAAAAGCCCTTAGTATGGCTATTCCTGGAGGTCCTAAGTTTGAGCCTCTTTACCGTGATATTGATACTTCGGATGAAGATTGGAATGAGTTCAACGATATTAACAAAATCATTATTCGTCAACCTGTACGAACCGAATACAAGATCGCTTTCCCCTTCCTATACAACTCTCTTCCTCGTAGTGTGCGCGTTTCATGGTATCACTACCCTATTGTCGTATATGTTCGCTCAGAAGATCCGGATTTACCGGCATTCTACTTTGATCCCATCGTTAACCCCATTTCATCACGAACAATTGAATCAGCTGGAAAGCAACATGAAGATTCCATATTTGGAGACGGCGATGAAGACACTGAGTTCAGCCTTCCCGAGTTTATCGTTCCTTTCCTCGATGAGACCGAAATTTCTACAGAAAACACAGCAAACGCCATTGCACTTTATTGGGCACCACATCCGTTTGATAAGAGATCAGGTCGTACACGACGTGCACAGGACGTTCCTCTTGTAAAAAACTGGTATCTCGAGCACTGCCCTCCTAATCAGCCCGTAAAAGTGCGCGTATCCTACCAGAAGTTGCTCAAGTGCTATGTACTAAATGCGCTCAAACACCGTGCACCAAAAGCACTAAACAAAAAATACCTCTTCCGCAGTCTAAAATCCACAAAGTTCTTCCAGACCACTCAATTAGATTGGGTTGAAGCTGGTCTACAAGTCTGTCGCCAGGGTTACAACATGCTGAACTTGCTAATCCATCGTAAGAACCTCAATTACCTTCATTTGGATTACAATTTCAACTTGAAGCCTGTCAAGACCTTGACCACTAAAGAAAGAAAAAAGTCAAGATTCGGAAATGCATTCCATTTGTGCAGAGAAATTCTCCGCCTCACCAAACTCATTGTGGACTCTCATGTACAATACCGTCTTGGAAATGTTGATGCTTTCCAGTTGGCAGATGGTCTTCAGTATATATTTTCCCATGTGGGTCAATTGACCGGCATGTACAGATATAAGTACCGATTGATGCGACAGATCCGTATGTGCAAGGATTTAAAGCACTTGATATGTAAGTTTTTTTTTTTTAAAAAAAAAAGGTTATTTTGGTCAACATGAGCAAGGAATATTTATTATGTGTATTGTTTTGTATTATAGATTACCGTTTCAATACTGGACCTGTTGGTAAGGGTCCTGGTGTTGGTTTCTGGGCTCCTGGATGGAGAGTCTGGCTTTTCTTTATGCGTGGTATTGTTCCTTTGCTTGAACGCTGGTTGGGTAACTTGCTGGCTCGTCAATTCGAGGGACGTCACTCCAAGGGTATTGCTAAGACTGTCACCAAGCAGCGTGTCGATTCTCATTACGATCTCGAGTTGAGAGCCGCCGTTTTGCACGATATCACTGACGCTATGCCTGAGGGTATTAAGGGTAACAAATCGAGAACAATTCTGCAGCATTTGTCTGAAGCATGGAGAGCATGGAAGGCCAATATTCCCTGGAAGGTACCTGGCATGCCCACTCCAATTGAGAATATGATCTTGCGTTATATCAAGGCCAAGGCCGATTGGTGGACTAGTGTTGCTCATTACAATCGTGAACGTATTCGTCGTGGTGCTACCGTTGATAAGACTATCTGTCGTAAGAACTTGGGTCGTCTCACTCGTCTTTGGCTCAAGGCAGAACAGGAACGTCAGCACAACTACCTCAAAGATGGTCCTTATATCACAGCCGAAGAAGCTGTCGCTATTTATACATCAACTGTTCACTGGCTTGAAAGCCGAAAGTTCTCCCCTATCCCATTCCCTCCACTTTCTTACAAGCACGACACTAAGCTGCTGATTCTTGCTCTTGAGCGTCTTCGCGAAGCTTATAGCGTTCAGGGTCGTCTTAACCAGAGTCAACGTGAAGAGCTTGGTCTGATTGAACAAGCATACGATAATCCCCACGAGGCTCTTTCTCGTATTAAACGTCTGTTACTCACTCAGCGTGCCTTCAAGGAAGTCGGTATCGAATTTATGGATCTCTACTCTCATTTGATTCCTGTTTACGATATCGAGCCTCTCGAGAAAATCACGGATGCATATCTTGATCAGTATCTATGGTACGAAGCTGACAAGCGTCATCTCTTCCCTGCTTGGATTAAGCCATCTGACTCTGAACCCCCACCGCTACTGGTATATAAGTGGTGTCAGGGTATTAACAACCTTACTGAAGTCTGGGACACATCTGAAGGACAGTGTAATGTTATGCTTGAAACTCAGTTCAGTAGAGTGTACGAAAAGGTTGATCTTACTTTACTTGGCCGCCTGTTGAGACTCATTCTTGATCACAATTTGGCTGACTATGCTACAGCAAAGAACAACGTTGTTTTGAACTACAAGGACATGAACCACGTAAACGCTTTCGGTCTTATTCGTGGTCTGCAGTTCGCATCTTTCATTTTCCAGTACTATGGCCTTGTTTTGGATCTACTAGTCCTTGGTCTTCATAGAGCTAGTGAAATGGCCGGTCCTCCTCAACTTCCTAACGACTTCTTGCAGTATCGCGATGTAACAACCGAGACCAGACATCCTATTAGATTGTACTCGCGTTACATTGAT